AGCGGATAGATTGAATCAACATACACTCTATGAAAGTAAGTACGTACGTAGGAGAGAGAGAATCCGAAGCCAAGCGTACGAGAAGAGAGCGGAACCGGAGCGGGCACACACACCTCCATTGGCTGTGCCTGGGGCGATGGTGTGTTGGAGGTACACACCTCCATTGCTTCGCTCACAGAGAGAGAGAGAGAGAGAAGCGCTCGAGTGTGGTATGCACTCGAAAGCACAAATCTTTAGAACCCGGGCTTAGCCTCAGCAGATCGTAGCAACGAGGCTACTCTACTGCTTACAGCACCCAGTTCCCATTCAAGTCGTCTGCAAAGGATTTTCCCCCGCGCATGTTTCACATTGTAATGTACAGGGGACACAGCACCCTTTCCGGAACTGTGCCCTACCTGTCGTATGGTGTACGAGCAAAAGCTCTATTCCAACACAAGGCATGTGCGGGACCAATGTTATCGCTTCTAGCACGGATTCTGGCTTAGAGGCGTTCAGCCGTTCTCTATTCATGCAATGGATAGTCTCATCGAAAATTTGGTACAATTATTATTATCGATAGGGTTTTTGAATCAGTGGAGGTTTCGACAAATCTTCATGTTCGATTAAGGTGAGATCATGTAGCCGAAAGAGCTGTAGTGGACCACTAACGAATAGATTTCGGTGGTGTGGAGACGTGTGGAGGGACTAGTGGAGTTGGAATGAAAGGTGTGCTGCATTTAGCCCAAGAACTTATGTGTAGTGTTTTCCTGGATGGTGAGGGTACGGAAACAAGCAAGGCAGGGCGGCAAAATTTTCAAAGCATAGAGAGCACCCGATGGCTCGAACAAACACGACACAATTAGTGGACACACAGTGGTATTAACCGCGAGGACGATATCGTGTACTTAAAGTATGGATTATTTACGACATGGGTATCACGTGGCTATTTCGACTGTCAAACGATTACGAGATGACAATGAGGACACTCATTATCACAGAGCGCTTCGACCGCCGCCAGTTAAGATCAATTTAGGCTTACGTTTCGTTCGCTGCTTTGATTTGTCATGGGACTGAGAGGGTACATCGATACTTGAACGAGCCTCGAGGGCATTCCATGCATCATCCATATGGCGAGTTTCCGGTGTTGCATCCGTGTGGATGCTTGTAGCAGCCGGTGTTCCCCATACTGTTTTGGGCTGATGCCCGGATCGGGTCTGAGTTGATGACTGAGAAGGCATGCTTGGAAAAAGAGCAGCCGGGTCTTCCTTGGCGCCAGGGTGAATCGGAAAGTACATCTCAGCGCCGACCATAGCTGAATCACGGAAAGAAAGCTCGCTCGTCTCCGCGGAATAAACTAACGGTGCCTCACGTTCGCAGTGCTCAGCAGCTGACCGAGAGCGAGCATCTTTCGAGTCTTTCTCAGCACGCTGACGTGCTCGTTCTTCTTTCGACGCCTTTTCAAGTCGTCGCTGCTTGCGTTGCGACAGAGTAGAGCTCCACGACTTCCACGGAATTTCACCTTGAATTGGGCCCAACAGGGCAGACGTCCGCGCCCAGTCAATCTCAACGAAAGATATGTCAGTGGACATCGGCAGATGCGCTAAATACTTGCACTTCTTCCTAAGAGTTTCGTCCACTGTTCCTTCTTCCACATGCTGAACAGCCAGCATGAGGGTATCTGGAAAGGCGGCATATGTGCCAAAGTGTGATAAAAGAACCTTAATGTCAATCGGATGCATAAAAACATGCTGACCAGATGCAGCCTGATAGTAAAAGTATGAAAGAGCCGAGGGTTGTTTTTCTTGTATACATCGTGCTACATCTGGTAGCGACTTTGCTTGCTCCCATTGTGACTTTAAATTCGTATGCGCCACACGAAGAAAGTCGAGACTGAGCTCATCTTGATGGATTGCATGCTCAGGTTTCATTTCAAGCTCGACGTTTTCCATATCCACCTCGAGTGATGAAGCCAGCAGGTCAGAGGATGCCAAAACGCAATGCGCATATGTGAGTGCATCTGGATGATCGCAAGATAAACCCATACTGGCATCTACAGGCCAAGTTGAGGATCGAGGCAGGGCTAGTGACGAGTCTCGAGGCCGTTCCATTAGGCGCATTGTCAAAAGCCCGAATGTTTCGTTATGCTGAAGCTTCGGCGCACCACGGGCTTCTAGTTCCCTCAAATAGGTAGCCGTATGTACGTCGGCGAGATTTTGTGAATCGATCCACTTGACAGCTTTGAGATCACGCATGTTAACATCGTCCCAGCACACCGGGCATCGTTTTATATACCGAAGCACTCCACGATCTCCCTTCCCATTTTCTGCCACAGTCAAGTAATGTAATATGCATGCATAGCAGTATACATGTCCGCACTGCGTAATACGCGGTGCTATCGGTGGCGACAAACATATGGGACAGGTTGTTGCCTGCATCGCCTCAAACGAACCATGGGCCCGGGCGCATGAATCACTCGTAGAAGGAACAAGTACCTGTACGATATCATGCCATGGGAGAGGCAAGTCAGGATTGATCAGATGGTGTCGACTGTCGAATGACGGCTTCAGAACAAATCTGAACTGTGCATTCACGTAGCCTTATATTTAAGTCAGCATACTAGACCACTGAGCTGCCTCAAATTTTATGTCAAACACTTACGCTCACGATTAAATGGCCTGTGCGACTCGTTCCGGCGGAAACGGCGGGGAGGCGCAGGAGGCGCACGAGGAGGCAATGTGAAAGCCAAAAGCTGAAGATATTAGCGCATCGATGCGTACATGATTCAAACTCTGTGCGCGCTTTTTGTCTCCCTGTTTCGATCTTGACGACAGTGAGTTGCTCATCTCAGTGGACATCGATGTGGCACGAGGCGCGCGCGCCTTTTCGCGTACTCAAGTAGCTATCGTGCCTGCCGTGGTCCAAGCGGTCGATCGGACTTAGCGGTCACAAGGCTTGAGCAGTGACAATGAAGTCATGGAGAAAATTGAAATATGTTATACGTCATGCTGACACATCCACTGCGCGTGAAAGACCTATCAACTATCAGTCCTGTCATGCCCATGCCATCAAAGCAGGCCTTGGCGCCTGAGCAAATCGTATGTTTTTCGGGTATATGCCTGGCGTGAGCTGTCTGTATATAACTTACATTGCCCTGGTCATCCTCAACCTCGACCGTGTCGTCTTCTTCAACGTTCTGTAACCGTTTCTGTCGCCGTAGTTTATCAGCTAGAGCGTACGCATCCTGGATTCTTGTCACGTCACGGAATTGAGGCGTGTTTGGTAGACCTAATGCACGCATACCAAATGCATGGCGTGATTCTTGGAAATGCTTCTCAAACACCTTTCGTCCTTTGTAAACAAAATCTGAACATATTTCGCATTTGTACTCGACACGAAGACCATGCAGCTTGTACATCCAAAACGGAATGGGTTTTCCATCCCACCCAACGGGGAGTTTTAGCGGGTTATACATCTTCTCTCCTGGAGCGCCGCCCTCACCATCTTCTGGAACATCTTCGTATCCCAAACCCCCAGTCTCGACTGCCTCATCCATTTCAGCATCCAGCGCCTCGGCTTCCTCCTCTCGCTCGCGTTCTGTTAGAGATGCTTTCCGTTCCACATTAGAGCGCGTTTCATCCCGCACAGAAGAAAGCTCTTTCGCAAGTGCTTGAATGAGCACTTCATCGCGTGCAATGAGTTTTGCGCGGAGCGAGCGTTTCTTCTGCCCCAATTCAGCAGCATTTTTTTCTCTCGTTTGCTGAGATTGCAGTGTTGGCTCACCTTTCTCTATGCGATGCATTGCTTTCATATGTCTTGCTGAAGTGAGGTGCGCATCATATACCGTCTGCTTTGCGTAGCTTCTCTGACATGCGTCACACCATATTCCTTCGCCCTGCTCGGTCTTGGTAGTATGGGGGCCATAAAGCGTGGTTTCTTTGGATTCCCAGCCGATGACACTGCCACTTTCCCAATCGGAGTCAAATTTAGCCAAACATGCTTCTTCAATAGCATCCACATCCTCGAGTGGCCGAGTCTTGTGCAAGAAGGATGACAGGTATTGGCTCAAATTCGTGAGGTATGTCCTGTAAGCTTCACTGCGCTTGGTTGCGACCGGTACAGTCGAAGAATCACCCACCATACAATCAAGGCGAGTGATATATTCGAGATAGCTCATAGGAGATACATCTTTTAGATTAAGATACATTTCATACTGAACATACAAGTCGAGGAAACGGCCACCCATCTCCTCACCACTAAAATCACGCTCCATCAAAGAAAAGTCAAATAAGGATGTATCATGTGTCCCAAGAATTGAGGGCGTGGCACTTGTTTCTAGAGCAATGGCGCGTTCAGGGTATTTTCGGTAGTAGTCTTGGAGATTTCCGAGGCGCTTGTAAAATTCCGACATGGCACCATTCTCATCGTCCGAACCCATTTGACTCGCTAGATTTTCCCATTCATTGGATCTTTCTTCATTCGCGTCATTGTACAATTCACTTAATGTTTGGTACCTGTTCACGATTTCATCCAAAAGCTGCGAGGCAGCAAGTTGCCATTGCATTTGGAGCCGATGCGATGACGCTTTTGGCGGATTATTCAAAGTATCAACCAAAGCATTTTCGTATTGTTCAATTTCTTCATGAGTCATACGTGTACTCTCGTACACCGAAGTATCTGCCATAATGAACAGCGCCTGCCCGCAGGTCAATCCCTGATCAAGGAAAAGTCGGCAGTGGGTGGGATCAGCTATCGAAAAGAGCCACGTGTGAAGCATTTAAAATTTTTTTTAAAATCGCGTCGCTCATCCTAGATTTTTGTGCTCAACTCAGTTGGCTTGTGTGTCTCGAGCGTGCGGGATTTACGATGGCGGTATGTTTTTCCTACAAGGTTCTGTTCTAATTCCAGGGAATTCACACCGCAAGTTCCAATATTGCCTTTGAAAGCAGCGAAGAAATTACTGTGGCGCCAACCTTTGTGCGTAGATTTTCGTGCGCTAACGATGCTAGGACTCTTTGGGGTTGAAGGACGATTTGCTCCGCGGTATTTATGCGTATAGTAAGTACGATCAATGGCTTACATGCGAAAGATTTTGAAAAACCATCAGCGATCCAGCAGCGTGCCATTCTTCCCATCTTACGTGGACGTGACGTCATTGCTCAAGCCCAATCTGGCACTGGTAAAACGGCCACATTCTCTATTGCCATGTTGCAGACCATCGACATTTCGCTTCGAGAAACACAAGCGCTTGTATTGAGTCCTACGCGCGAGCTTGCAACTCAAATTCAGAGTGTGGTGCTGGCACTGGGTGACTACATGAATGTGCAATGTCACGCCTGTATTGGGGGTACATCTGTGGGCGAAGATATCCGGAAGTTGGAGTATGGCCAGCATATTGTTTCGGGCACTCCTGGCCGTGTATTTGATATGATTCGTCGACGCCACCTACGCACGAAGAACATCAAGATGCTCATTATGGACGAAAGCGATGAGCTTCTGAACATGGGATTCAAAGACCAAATCTATGACATTTACCGGTATTTGCCCCCAGCGACCCAGGTCGTTCTCGTTTCTGCCACACTACCCCATGATGTACTAGAGATGACGTCCAAGTTCATGACAGATCCTGTGCGCATCCTTGTCAAGCGAGACGAGCTGACACTGGAGGGAATCAAGCAGTTCTTCGTGGCAGTGGAGAAAGAGGACTGGAAATTCGATACTCTATGCGATTTGTACGACACTCTCACTATCACTCAAGCGGTGATTTTCTGCAACACGAGGCGAAAGGTCGACTGGCTGACGGACCGCATGCGCGAAAACAACTTTCAGGTCAGCAGCATGCACGGCGAGATGCAGCAAAAAGAGCGTGATGCAATTATGGGCGAGTTTCGCCAGGGGGGTAGTCGTGTTTTAATCACCACTGATGTATGGGCGCGAGGCATTGACGTTCAAAACGTTTCTCTAGTCATAAACTACGACTTGCCAACCAACCGTGAAAACTATATCCACCGCATTGGTCGTTCAGGCCGATTCGGCCGCAAAGGTGTGGCGATTAACTTTGTTACTACGGAAGACGTCAAAATTCTCCGAGACATCGAGCAATATTACAGGTGCGTCCCATTTGACGGATACACATTCTTGCATATGTTTATGCTAACACGCTCCACACAGCACGCAAATTGACGAAATGCCAATGAAAATTGACGATCTTATGTGATGCTTCGATTTGCCGCTTGTACCTGGAGTCGTTGAATGCATGCAGTTAGTCTTCGCACGCATATTTCATTACATGTAATTGATTAGTTAAAGAAAAACATGCGTTAGAAAAGAATTAACGAGCCTGCTTCAGGGCGCATGTAAGTTTAACCTATAAACACACGGACATGCATACTAGCGAATCGGAGTTCCGTCGGTCCTTAGTTTACTGAATGCGCATGCTTGGCGAGATCGGTCGGCCTCATATAGGCGCGCCACTAAGAATCCCAATACGTTCCCCTCTAGCCTAGACAGCTCAAAATAATAGCTAAATGATTTATCACCTAGTCCCTTGGGTGTTGGCTGCGGTGGCCGTGGCTGTGACTATCGTCGATGCTGAGCAAATACGCAAGCCCGCTTCGGGCATGAAGACGCTTAGGCGCAAGGATGGCTTGCCGAGATGGGACTGGACGTCGTCCGACAAGAAGGCTTACGGTACCAACTTGGGTGGACTGTTCCTTCTTGAGCGCTGGATGTACGAGGACTGGATGGTGCAACAGGGTGGTGATGATGCCTGGGACGAATACACCATGTCCAAGAACCTCGGTGGTAAGATGAAGCCGATTTTGAACGACCACTTTGAAAGCTGGTTCACGGAGGACCACATGAACCAGCTTCAAGGTGCCGGTATCAACATGCTCCGTATCCCTATCGGCTACTGGCCATTCCTCTCGACCGAGGAGACTGGTGAGCCATACCAGAACGCATCGCACCTCGAGAAGTTGTCGCAGATCATGAACTGGTCGCAGGACCGTGGCATGTATGTGTTGTTGGACATTCATGGTCTCCCAGGAAGCCAGAACAACGACCAATCGAGTGGACGCAACTATACGTCTAACAATGACCAACAGATCGTCGACTGGTACTCGGATGAAAACCAGAAGCACTCTAGGAAGATGGTTCACAATATACTCAACTGGCTCGACGCCCAGCCGTCCAAGTCGGTCGTTGCTGGTATTACCACTGTGAACGAGCCGAAGGTGTTCGACAATGGTGACTATCACAACAAGTTGCGCGAATTTTACGACTTTAGTTTGAAGGCTCTCAAGCCACATGGCATTGCACTTGTGGCCCACCATGCCTTTGTGGCAGACCCTTACGACTACTGGCACGACTACGCCGACCGTCAGGAGCGTGGCACGTTCGTCTTCGATGACCATCCATACCCTGCGTGGTTCCAAAACCCTGAGCCAACGAACCGCAAGGACCTTATCCAGAACATTTGCAACTTCCGCGACCAGATGAGTGGATTCCCTGCACCTGTGTTGTACGGTGAATTCTCTGGTATCACCGCCGTTGATGACAATGATTGGGTCGGCCATTATGTCAAGACACAGCTTAAGGTGTACGGTTGGTCCGCGGGTTCTACCTTCCTCAACTTCCGCATGAACTTTGCTTCCAATCCTGTGCTTTCTCTGCCTGACCACCTGCAGTGGAAGTACTCGATGTTGAATCTTTTGGACGGTTTGATTCCTTCGCGTGACCAGTCGAAGTCTGTGGTTGACTGGACTGACAGTTTGTCCTCGAGGTGTGGCGGCAACCCTCATTTGAGCTGGTAATGATTTCGCATTTTTAATGCCACGAACTTGCTTCGTACATTGTTAGTTGTGCACATCTAACGTGCATCTTTGTTTCTGTTTGACTAGATGTTGCTACCACTAATCTTGCGTTAGTTGAATGAGAGGTAGTCATGCTGTTGTTTACGAAATACTATGTTCTTTGTTAGCAAGCTGCAAAGCCCCTGATAAAATGCCGGGGTATGAGGGTGACTGCGGTCTCACGGAAGAGGATGCTTGGCGGCGGATGGATGCGTCCTCTCGCCGGCAGCAAAGATCGGTTGAAAAATCATCACGTGTGTCTTCATGTCGGATAGTGCAGACAGACTCCCTCATAGTCTCGACGATATCTTGTGATCCGCAGTTCCCAGCCCTTTGCGTAACGGCGTATGAATAACACTACTTCCAGTCTGCGGAGTTCCTGTTCATGCTGCGCGATTGGAGCGTCACTCCATGTTTTGTGTGGGAATGTATCGTGTCATGCCGCTGTTCGGAATGTCGACCCTGTCCGTTCTGTCATCTCAGCTGGTTTGTCACACGCAAATATTACTTCCTATGCAAGTCTGCAGAATAAATACTCTAAAACTGCATGTGTTGGACAAGTGTTATTTTCCCATCGACATGCGGTTGTGGAATTGCGACACTCGCAGGTCGCCGCAGGCTGTGAACAACATGATTTTTTCAGGTACGCAACCAATAGAGCGTGTTACGAAAGATCGTGCGCCAATGAAAGTAAACGTCCTCGCGCTAACCCGAATGACCCGTCGACATAGAGTTTTACTTCATTTTATTATGCGGTCAGACTACTTCACGTGCCCAACTTGGTCTTTGCGCACTCTCTAGCGAAGCTAAGCTGACCACAAGTGAATTGATTCGGACACTTTCGAAAGAGTTGCCTGAGGTTCTTGACTGTCCTGCGTGAATTCATTCAGGATCAGACTTCGAAACAAACTCCTTCTCTAGATACTCAACTTATACCCGCGATGCCTGGCATACCAACGTCTTCGGGTACGAGGGAGACACAGTCTAGAAACCCCTTTTTGACGACGCTGCCGCGAGGAAATGAAGGAGACATGCGCTCCGCTGGTCGTACAGGCGAGTCGAGCTCGCGGATCACCTCTTCAGGTGGTTCGCCAGGCACCACCGCTCAGTCGGAATTCCATCCAGCTGCTATGGAAAGCCAGTCAACGTTTCATGATGCGAATGAGTTGGATACGTTGAGTGCATCCCATGGCTCGAACCGACCAAGCACTGATAATTCCGATTTTGGCGATGCTTCGAGCTTTATCTCCATCCCCATATATGACACTCCTCTTGACTTTGATTTTATCCATGAGTCTATGCCTCCTGTGAGCACATCAGGCGGAGCGCCTTTACCTCTTCACCGCGAGGTGTCCGGCCTGTATCCTCATCGGAACGGTGTCAACACTCCTACAGCGCATCTCGCGTCTTCTTCGAGTCAGCGGACCGTCAAACAGAGTACGATTCGCGACTCCAAGCCGTCTGATGCGGCTCTGCTAACTGATGCACTTGCAAACAATGACGTTGGTCAGCCCGCTCCTGCTCGTCGCACGACGGTCGGCGACGCACGTGCATCTAGGCCCATCGCAACAGATCCATACAAGCAACCGCAGTTCAAGAGAGATACTGCCTTCTCATCTATGGACAGTGCTCGGCCATCTTCTCGACCTCAAACGCCCGGCTCTGCGTCTCGACCCGCCTCTGGCATGGGTGCATCGCGCTCGTCTGCGACGCTCCTCAGTAACCGGTCATCCTATCGGAATGGTCAGAATGTGTCTGCGTTGCGTGCGGATGGGTTCAGATCGCCTACTCGTGCCGAAATGTCTGAGCAAACCAGAGCAGCAAGTGCGACGCCTGGAACTCCCGCCCCAGCCATGGCAACCTCAGAGTCAGACATGTTGGACGCACCTACGACATCTACGATCAAGCCCATCAAGCGTTCGAAGCAGAAAAAATCAGCGGCAACAGGGGTAGCGGCAGGGGCAGCGGCGACAGCAGGAGCCGGAGCAGGAGCTGCGGGTCTCTCATCGGTCAACAAGCCAGATGCTCCCACAGCTGGAGCTCAGGCATCACAATTGGCATCGGATCCTCCCAAGAGTATTAAGCCAGCCAAGCAAGCGCCTCAACATGCGAATGCTGTGCCGTTCGGCGAGAAGCCTGTAAAGCATGTAAACCCATTGTATGTGGACATCGCTACGAATCCAAAGAAGCCATGGTACAAGCGATTCCCCTGGCTTCCCTGGCTCCTTGGTGCATTAGCGTTGGCGGTTATTCTCGGAGTTGCTCTTGGTGTGGGTCTGGGTGTGGGACTGAGTAACAACGATGACAATAAGAACCTGAGTCAAAAGCCCAATTCGAAGGATGATGGTCAGAGTTCGGACTCCTCCGGACATGGTGGTAAGCCTGCCTCTGTGCCGAAGGATCTCAAGCCATTACCGAAATGGAACTGGACGTCTACCACAAATAAAGTATTTGGTACTAACCTCGGCGGACTGTTTCTCTTGGAACGCTGGATGTTTGAAGACTGGATGGTCGAGGTGGGGGGTCTTGATGCGTGGGACGAATATTCTCTGTCTGAAAAGCTTGGTGACAAGCTCCAAGAGCCATTGCGGCAACACATAGACTCTTGGTTTACCGAAGATGACATGAATACCCTACAGGATGCCGGTGTCAATATGATCCGCATCCCCCTGGGATACTGGCCGTTTCTCTCGACGAAACTCACCAATGAGCCATACCAGAATGCCTCACATCTTGAAAAGCTCTCCGACATTATGTATTGGTCGTGGAACCGCAGTATGTATGTCCTGATCGACATGCATGGCTTGCCCGGCAGCCAGAACAACGACCAATCGAGTGGGCACAACTATACATCCAATGACAACCAGCAAATATCTGAATGGTATTCGGATGCGAATCAGAATTACTCGCGACAGATGGTCGACAACATGCTCGGCTGGCTTGACGCACACCCAGCCAAGTCGGTGGTTGCAGGCATAACTACGGTCAATGAACCTAAGGTATATTCAAAGCGAAGCTACGAGTCAGCGCTGCGTGACTTTTACGACTTCAGTATCGAGAGGCTCAAACCGCATGGCATTCCACTTGTGGCACACCATGCTTTTGTTGATTCTCCTTACCAGCACTGGAAGTCATACGCGTCCAACAAGAGTCCCGACACATTCATCTTCGATGACCATCCATATCCTGCGTGGTTCCAGACACCCGAGCCTTCAGACAAGGACAAGATGATCAGCAGCATTTGCCAGTACAAGGAAGACATGATCGATTTCCCTGTGCCCGTACTGTACGGCGAGTTCTCAGCCATTAATATCCTCAACGACACCCAATGGACTACGGACTACCTGAAGACGCAGCTCAAGGTATTTGGCTGGTCAGCTGGATCGACTTTCTTCAACTTCCGTGTCAACAAAAGCGAGAATCCTGTGTTGGCCTCGCCTTATGCCATCGGCGGCAAGTACTCCATGTTGGAAATGCTTCAGGCCGACAGTGAGATCGGTCACTTTCCACCCCGCAACACAACTATGCCTGTCATCGAGTTCACCAACCAACTATCGAATAGCTGCGGAGACGACCCACAAATTACGTGGTAATAGACGATGGCGGCATAGCGGAGGACCTCTTTGCTTGTTTGATTTCTTCTCAACTTTGATCCACGTTGTTCCCCTTGATCCTTCCTCCACCAGAACTTTCTAATAGTCACTCGTTTTCTTCTGCGTCATTGCTTTCGTCGATGCTTGAGTGATGGATGAGTTTTTACTTGTTTTTATTTTTTTTACATAGATCTTGGATTGTATTTATCGAACAACTACTATGACCTGCGTGTTGCAAATGTTCCACTCTTGTTGCCATGTCGCACATTACTTTTTTGCCTTGCTCCTTTTGGCTCAGCCACCTTTCGAGCCCCGCTGGTTGATGTAGGCAAGAGCGACGCCTGCGCATGTGGTCTCGGTGCTTCTAGCATCGATGACGCCGATCCATAGTCAAACGCGACTGGTATTCCGCTGTTGGGTGTTGATTTTGCGCGCTGTCGCTTTCGAGTTGGGCCACTATGCTTCCTAACTTGAACGACAGGATCTGTTCCAACGTCATGTTCCTCAGTTTGTCTAGCTGCTTCTTCTGCAGCGCGAGCCTCTTTATCAGAGTCCTGGCGGTCTTGTGAAAATGCTCGCTTCACTGCCGTCGTCGCAACCTTTGAAGCTCGTTCTTCCTCGGGATTATCTATTATAGGATGCGTGTCCTCTTTCGGCTGATCATGGTTGTCCTCTGGTTGCAGTTCCGCTGCCGGTCTTCCCCACGCTGCTCCGACAAGCGTGCCTAGTCGCTGAACCAAGTCTGTCCGAATATTTTGCAATGTTCGGCTCACCTGCGCTGGCGCTCGTGCCGATGGCATTTCGAAGAGTGACTTACTTTTCTTCGGCTTCTCTGGCTCGTCCAGAACCTTGACGCCACGGAATAATTGTGCATCTGGACTGCTTTTGCCTTGTGGCTGCCTAGCCCACACGTCCGGATGCATTGGCACCTCTTGGGCAACGGCCATCGATGATGCTTCTTGCGGTATCGTAGAAGTAGGCATCCACTTTTCACCCAGATCTTCTTCCGCCTCTGTCTTGGACGATGACAGCGGTTCGCCCAACTTGTCTACTGTGCTCTCATCACCGAGCGACTCCGGTCGCACATCCGACAGGTATGCGTGCCATTCATCCTTCACAGTCTTGACAAGTTCGTCCAGACGACTTCGTACAAACTTGAGCGACGGCGGCGTCCGTGCTTTGGCTTCCGACAGATTCAGCGGCGGCCGTAAAGCCAACTGTATCAGAACACGAGGCGGCATGACGAACGCCGGACTCTCATCTTCTTTCCGTGCCACCTGGTCACGCCAGTGATGTAAGCGCCGCACGATTCGCTCCTCACGTCCAAGCGGTGCATCAGGTGGCGCATCTTGTGACGCCCGCGCCAGATCACCACCCATTCGTATCCACAGTGATTTCCACCCTCCGCGAGAATTGCCCCTTTCATCCCATGGCTCTTTTGCATACACTTTGGAGGCTGTAGGCTTACTTCGATCAAACACCTCCTTTACAGCTAGCGGCCCACCACGCTGAAGCAGCTCGTTGCGCAGGCAGTCGTAAACATAGAGAAGCGCATGCGTGTCGGAGCGAGCATAAAATAGCATCTCTCGCGGCAGTGGTCGAATACGCCAATCAGCCGTTTGAAAGCGTTTATCAGCTTCAAAATTCGTGTAGCGCAGCAGGAGGAATGCCAGGCTGAGTGCACCGAATTGCAGAGCGCGCGCCGCTTGAAATGTGTCGAAGAGATTCGTTACATACAATCCCAGGTCGCGCTGGAGCCACAAAATATCGTGGTCAGCTCCATGAAGCACAAGCACCTTATCGGGATGCGTGAATGCTGTGTTGAGTAGCTCAGCACTTTCTCGCACCTCGTCAACCAAGGTGTCCACGATCCAGTCGCCCCACCGTGTACTGATTTGCATCAAGCAAACAATGCCCTGGTATGATCGTTGATTATGATGCTCCAGATCTACCGCGATTTCCGTGACGCGCTCCTCTTCAAGGTGTTTTTGCAATTGCCGCACCTTTTCCGCCGAGTCAACCCACACAAAGTCACAAGGCTGTGATGAGCCCGGATTCTCAATCCGCAATGGTACTGGCGCTTCTGCATTGCCAACATGAAAAGCAGACTCTGGGACTGGTGTCTGTTGAATTTCCACATAGTATGGACCGAGGCGTGGATCGCCTTCCGTCCCATACTGCCCTTCGATGATCGCATCCGAAGATACATTCCACGACGGGTCTCTCCAACCGATCGGAACTCGCGCATTTGGCTTACCAAATTGAAAGGTTCGCTCCCACGGCGTATTTGCACGGTTGTCTGGCTGCCTGCTAAACTTGTCTTGAGGTTTTGGGATGTCGGCGCGCTGCAAATGAGGCGGCAGCTTGCCTGTGGAAGGTATCATCATATCACTCTCATCTGCTCCTGTCGAACTTGTTTCCTGGCTGCTCTTCTTCTCTCGACTGGGTGAAATTTTCCGTACTCCAGTGTACTCATCCAAGTAGATGTCTGCGCGTTCTAACAAGCGATCCACGGTATCACCCACGCTTCCGGCAAACGATGTGGGTGCCGACAAATGATCCAACGTTCTGTTCCCTGCTTCTTCACCCATCCAGGTGGTCATAAAATTCACCACATCCTGCAAGTCCGTGCTGATGCGTTCCAGCGCACGTTTGACGTCTGGGTCTATCGAGCAATAAAAGTCCAGATCCGTCGACGAAGGCAACAAGCTCGCCGTGCGCGTAGCTGGAACAAGCGCCTCACTTACTTTACTTAAGCGCTCTTCCATCAACTACTATACAGTGGGAGAAAAATCTCACCAAAATTGTCGGTATGATGACTGCAACGCTGAAGAGGCACTGAACCTAAGACACACAACCACACGCTAGCTGATGAAACGATGTCGTTTTCTATTTTGATTTTTTTTGGGACCGCACTGGTGTCTTTGCTGTTTTGTCAGCAATATCTATTCCTTTGGTTACTTTTTTGGATATGCGAGGCGCGTCCTACCCTCAAAGTTGCACTGCATCGTCATGTTGGTTTCAGACGCGGTGCCGTCTGTGCAAGCAACTGCGATGACCCAATCTTATACTTGGAGATCAGGTATCCCAGATGCATGTGTAAGCGGGACCGGCAAACATCGCGTCGAGTGCGCTTTGGGTGTGGATGAGGCAGGCCGTGGGCCCGTGCTTGGTCCTCTTGTGTATGGCATTGCATATTGCCCTATGGATATGCAGGAACATCTTCGAAGTATGGGGTTTGCAGGTACGTATCTTGAATGTAAACGAAGAAACGAATCTAGATTCGAAAACACTCACGCCCGAAAGGCGTGATCAACTACTTAAGGCTCTTTTAAATGAGAATCGGATGGGTACGTGTCGTGAGTCCAGGGATAGCCGTTGGTGTGTAATGGAGGAGGTGCGAGCGGTCCAGTAAGAGAGAAAAAAAGAAAGAAAGAGCTAACTTCTGCGAAAGGATGGGCTGTGCGAGTCATATCCCCACAAGATATATCAGCCGGCATGCTGCGCCGTATACCCCATAATCTGAATCAGCAAAGCTGCGATGCCACAGTTCATCTTATTCAAGGCGTATTGAATTCGGGCGTTGACGTCACCAAAATCTTTGTCGACACGGTCGGTGAGCCCAATGCTTACGCTGCGAAGCTGAAGCAATACTTTCCGCGGCATAGCCACATTGAATGGATCGTAGCCCGTAAGGCAGATGCCACGTACCCGATCGTTGGCGCTGCAAGTATTGCTGCGAAGGTGACACGCGATGCTTGTGTCGACCATTGGATGTATGCCGAACCACTTCAGTCCGTGCACCATCCAGAGATATCGAAATCCAGCGGAAAACGCAAGCGTGGTAATAACGATGACGAAGAAACAGATATATGGGCAACTGGAAGCGGATACCCAGGCGATCCCAAAACAGTGCGGTATTTAAAAGAAACGCTCGATCCTGTCTTCGGATGGGCAAGACTTGTGCGATTTAGCTGGGCCACAGCGAAGTCTATGCTTGAAGAACCTGTGCATGTGCGTCAAGACCTCACCTCGATGTTGGGTACGACGTATCCATCGTCCACCCGCGCTTACCCAGTACGCTGGATTGATGATGCCCAAAAGCAAGGCAAGCAGCAATCGACTCTTGCTAACTTTTTTAGCAAGCAGCAGAAACCAGCGTCGAATCGTAGATCTATTACTACTCAGGCAACTGCACCAGACACCCGGCAGGTATGGCTCAACGATCGAAAATTGCTATCCGAACATCAACCTCATCTATGGCAACAACTTGCCCTTGCTCCATCCTCTGCTACAGATTTCTTCTAGCTTACTTGATCCGTTGCGGTCTCTAGAATCATCTCGTAACGGGATAAGAAATAAAAAGAGAAACGAAAGTATGCGAGTAAAGCTATTCGTAGATAAGATATTGTTGTCATTATTTGACACGGTGAAGAAGGGGGGGGGAAGACGGGAAGTGAATGAAGTGACACCATGAGAGAACGGATAACATGCATGTAAGCAGGTAAAACCCCTCGCATCACAGCATCGATGCATAAACACAAGCGCATCAAAGTCGTGTATTACAGGAAAATCAGTCCGGCGGCCGCAGCAAACATAACCGTTCTGAAGATAACGGGTCCATACGTGATTCCAGTTCCTGAACTTGCAAATTCCATCGCATCTTGATATCCCTTCACATCCGAAAGTGACAAAATTGTGCCTTCCTTGAAGTTTGATGGCTCCGGGATCTTTGATTTGGGTGGCGGGGTGTATCCACTAATGCTTGCGGGCGTTGTCGCTGTCTCAATTGGTTTTTTGCCCCCTACTGCTGCACCGCCCTGTCCAACTTGCTGGCGTCGGTCTAGGGCTGGTGTTGGCTCCACACTACCTGAAGCCAAGACGGTAAGGATGCACGAAGCAAGCACCATCGCCACAATGAACGAGCGCATTTGGTCGTTGCTATGTGTGATGTAGACGCGGCCAAGGTCAGAAATGTGGTCGACGCAACACGACTCCTTGTGTTTCCAAGTGCCGACGCGCCGACCGACATCTGCCTCATCCACTCAAAGAGTGTTGACTAAGGCATGCGTCTACCTGCATGCATCACGTGCAAGAACTAGTCATCAAAGGCGAAGAGAAAGGAACCTTTTGCGATCGATGCTAAGTGTGATCTGCGCACGAAGCCTGCTGAGACAAGTGCCGATTGCGTTTGAGAGTCGCTTTTGTCTGCATACCACCCCTAGTGTAGAGAAAAAGCTCAAAAGAAAAATGCCGCCTAAGAAGGGACAACAGACCTCGGAGAAGCCGCGGCTTGGTCGGCCATCGAACAACCTGAAGATGGGCATTGTTGGTCTGCCGAACGTCGGAAAGTCCACGCTCTTCAACACAATTGCCAAGTGCGATCTTGGTAAGGCTGCCAATTTCCCGTATGCTACAATCGAGCCAGAGGAGGCTCGAGTACCAGTCCCCGATGAGCGCTTTCTTTGGCTCTGTGACTTGTACAAGCCAAAGTCGGAAGTGCCTGCTTTCCTTACAGTCATTGACATTGCTGGTCTGACCGCAGGTGCCAGTACGGGTGCAGGCCTCGGCAATGCCTTCTTGTCAAACGTTCGAGCCGTTGATGGTATTTTTCAGGTCATTCGTGCTTTCGATGATGCCGACATTGTGCACGTCGAAGGTGATGTTGACCCTACTCGTGACATGAAGATCATCTCCACTGAACTGCGCCTGAAGGACATTGAGTGGGTCGAAAAGGCTCTTGACAATGCACGCAAGAATGCGCGCTCAGCCGGCAACAACTCACTCGAGGACCGTAAGAAGAAGGAGGAAGTTGAGGTGATTGAGAAGATCCTCAAGCTACTGCAAGAAGACAATATGGACGTTCGAAAGGGTGATTGGAATGCGAAGGAGGTATGTAATGTGGTGCAGACGGTCATTTTCGGATGACAAAGGGTGCGCAGCACTCGAAATCTTAACCCAGCTCGTCGATGGCCTTAGGAAAGCCGCATGAGATAATGCATTGCAATCGCTGAGTTTGATCGTCTGACCTTATGGCTCTTTGTGTCTGTGCCGAAGCTAACACTTTCCAGGTGGATATCATCAACTCGCTTCTCCTTTTGACGGCCAAACCTGTGATCTACCTCGTCAATCTGAGCGAGCGTGACTATGCGCGTAAGAAAAACAAGTGGTATGTACCTGGACAATGACTCACATCGCTTCTAGGCTTCCCAAGATCAAGCAGTGGATTGATGAAAACAACCCTGGTGACCTGCTTATTCCATTCTCTGCTTCGCTAGAGGAACAACTTTACACGCTGAATGAAGACGATGCCAAGCAGGAATACCTCTCTAAGCTTGGCGAGGGTGTGCAGAGTTCTTTGGGCAAGATCACGAAGAGTGGGTATGATGGTCTCGATCTGATTCGTTACTTCACGGCCGGTCCTGATGAAGTCCGCGCCTGGTCGATCCGCCGCGGAATCAAGGCGCCACAAGCTGCTGGTGTCATTCATTCCGACTTTGAGAACAAGTTCGTGTGTGGTGAAATTATGGCGTTTGATGATCTTAAGGAGGCTGGCAGCGAAGCAGCGTGCCGTGCGAATGGTAAATTGGCCCAGAAGGGCAAGTTGTACGAAATGGTCGATGGCGACATCGCGCAGTACGTATCATCATGTGCGAGGAAGGGGAGCGAGCTTGTGGCACTAACCGACTCAGCTGGAAGTGTGGCGCGTAAAGAATGGAACCTCGTCTTCATATTGGCGTTATGTAGCGCTTTCATGATTCATACAATTAAGCATAATGAAAATAAAAAGAGAACGAAGCCGCGTCATCATAGGCAGATTTCATCATATTGCTTGAGCTAAGCCAATTCCATGAAAAAAATTTCTAAAAAGCATCAGAACGCCCGGGATCGAACCGGGGATCGCCTCAGTCCTCACTAAGTGTAAATGAGGAGTCCTAACCACTAGACCACGCTCTGCACAACTCGCACGTGTATGAACTAAGTCATTATAAAAATACAAATTTATTTTAGACAGGCAACTTATAAGCAGCTGCGACGTCCGTTAGTTCGTGACGCGCTGCCTTGAAAGTTGAATGTTGTGAAATTTAATTAAACTAACGACGGTCTCAATGAAACTGACTAAATTTATGTGAATGAGAGAATTAATGTATACTTGCTCTTGCTCTTGATCTTGCTCTCTTTCAATATGTGTCGATCAAGCGTCCACACTCACACGACCAAGCATGGGTCCGGTGATTGTGATTCTATCGAGTTGGGAATGTTCGCCGCGCTTGTTCCAGGGATGTCTAGCTGTTATGTTCATGTCCTTTAGGAAGGACTGGCGAGTTGGTTCCTTACCGCGGATAATACGGCTGAGAACATTGCGCCTCTTAATGCTCGTTACCTGACGCTGTTCGCAGATTTCTGTATCTGGCGTAGGGACATCAGAAGGACTAGGCACAACATGTTCACTGGGCTCCTTATTGGGCGTGTGAACATTTTCCGCACGTTTTTTCAGTGCATGATGCTGCTGCTGCTCGGGAAGTGTTTGCAATCGAATTGACAAGTTTTCCCAGTCAAGATTCTGATCACACAGGATCTTGTCCCATTCATTCACCTCGTGCTGACATACACAGCGGGCCACGTACGATAAATCCTTGGCTACGCACTTGATAAATTTCTTGAGTTTCCGATCATTTTTCTCCAGAATATCAAGCAGCTCGCATGATGGGACCACGGGAGTTACACGACTTTGGCCCGTTAGATTCATGAGCGAGTCTCTGTCAAGCCACAAAAGGAGCTTTGCATATACTTCACTCAACGAATCGAGCAAGGAGCAGAGACATTCAACAATATTCAGCTCTTGGCCCGTTGAGGCAGTGACGTCGGTTCCTGAAGATGTGCTAACTTCTTCGACGATGTCCGTCAAAATCTCGAGCACTTCATGCGGCCAAGTCACTTGTTTCGTCTTCTCGAGTGCTTTGCAGACTTTAGCACTATTCGCGCTCCATGTGTTCAATGCTTGCAAGGGCACGTTTGTCTGAAAGTCACTGATACTGAATTTGACTGAGTAGACATACTGCTGTTCACCCAACACCACTTGTCTGAGATATGACAAGGTCTGACAATGCTGTTGGAATAACGCACAGAGAGTGCGCACGTCTTCTTGGGCTGCCGGCGTGCCATTGGGCGCCATGCCTGTGGAACCGAGTTCCTCAGAAGGAAACATGAGAATAGGCTCATTAGCAACGGAAGCTGAAGCAGTGCTGTTGGAAAACTCTTTGGTATCTGGAAGATTCTCCAATGCACCTACATCCTGTGATGAAGCATGAACTCCGTTGGCGGCGGAAGGCGTAGCGGTGTGTGGGTTTGGCATGTCATTTTCTACTGTCTGTGCCGCTTCATCCAGAGCAAGCGTGTGAGCCGATATGGATGGCTCTTGGGTTTCTTGTTTAGAGTCAACATGATGCATAGAGAGAGAGGCCGGAGTCGCTGTTTGTAGCACGATCTTTGGAACAGGCAGCGGTGGTGGTGGTGGCTCTTGCTGTTCCAAATCCTGGTCCATCGAGACACGCCTCTCAGCGGGTCCATTTGCGTAACTTTGTCGTTTCAAAGGAAAGCTCCAGCGTTTACGCGCCTCATTCTTTGGTCGTTGCTGTTGCTCTTTGGTCTTTTGATCAAACAAGCGGAACAACATTAGATTGGTACCCATGCCGTACGTGGGAGGGAAAGCCGACTGTGAGCAACTCGGGCATTTTTAAGCGGTACATTTTTGTCCATCATACACTCATCTGTAAGGCTCCGACCCATGCTCATGCACAAAGACAAGACTGCAGCATTGTTAATTGGGCGTACATAGACGATGAGAGTGTGACAATGACGTCAAATGCCAACGCTACATCACGTGTGAATCAGGGCGGATGTGCGGGGGTAGGATACAAATAGTGGCCGTGACAGCGTCAAACCTTGCGATTGTGGAGACGGACAAGCACAAGTGGAGGGGATGTCGGTTCGTTGGCTGCCTAAATGCAAGACACGATGCGTAATGACTCGTCCAACCGAACCCAAAAGTAGTTGCATTTGAGCTACGTGATAGCTGGGTCGAGATGCCCATTGCTGGAAACTAAAGCGAAGCGACTCCGAGATGCTTAGTGTACCTAGTTTGCTGGACTGTTGGAGTGTGCGCGATATTGCCCGTTTCCGGAGAGTGCGTAAGTTTTCTTGATTCTTTGCATTGCGCGTGTTCAGCCGGACTAACGAAAATGTGTCTCCTATAGTGAAGGGCAACGCAACGGAGCGGCAATCATCGCGCATGCGATCACCAGCATCCTTTAGCTCCAGCGCTAATGGGATGGCTCCAGGACCGTGCTCACCAGCTGAAGTGAATCGCAGAGACTACTTTGGACGCACCGTGTTGCATCTTTTGTCTGCTAGTGACGATCCAGCGGCCAATGACTACTTTCAACTTCTTCTTTCACATCCGTCTGTGAACGTAAATATGCAAGACCGTGAAAGTGGTTGGACCGCTTTGCATCGCGCGTTGTACGCAGGCAATCTTCACATGGCTCTTGTCTTGCTGGAGCGTCCGGATATCGACTGCCATGTCCGCGACTGGGAAGGACTTACTCCTTTTGACTTGTACAACTCAACTATTGAAGGCACGTATCCTAATGATCAGAATATAGCAAGTGATGGCGGTGACCTCTTTGTTTGGGGGACGAATCGCAACTACACTCTTGGTCTGAGCCGTGACAACGACAGTGCACTTCCCGAACGCGTCAAACTTCAGGCTCGAGAACCTTATGAAGCAGGAGTTGCAGGTTCACGATTTAATCGGCCGTACGTTCGGGACATATCCATGTCTCGCTGGCACACTGTCGTTGCCACGAATGAGCGGCGTAAGAATGTGTATGTATGTGGCATTGGATCCCAAGCCCGACTAGGTCGGATGGCACAGACACAAACGAGATTTGAGCCCCTGCGCGACTTTTCCGAAACGGCCCAAACGGTCGTTGCCAGCTCTGATCACACGCTCATCGTAACGACGCAGGGCACGGTGTACTCGTTTGGCTCGAACCGAATGGGCCAGCTAGGCTTCTTGCTTGAAGAGGGACAAGGGATTTTATCCTCCTCGTCTGGGACCAAGCGCTCAGCTGCTACATCGCACACTGGATGTACATCTCTGCAAGGTACGATCATAGGCGCCAATGGCGTTGAACTGGATTTGCAAGTGACGCCACGACGTGTACTCGGTCCACTAAAACGAGAAGTCGTGCTTGGTGCTGCGGCCAGTCGCATCCATTCGGTTGCATACACTGCCGATGCACTGTATACGTGGGGCACCAACAATGGTCAACTGGGCTACGATCGGCATTCTGCCCCCTTGCAGGTGCAGCCACGACGCGTCACTCTCATTAGCGTGCCAGTTCGTCAAGTAGCCGCTACCGAGTTCGCTACGGCCTGTCTGCTGGAGACGTGGGATGTGACGGTGCTCCACGGTGATGCACATTATCGCATTCCGTTCCCGACACCCCGCATAACAAGTGACATGGGCATGTTTCGTCCTCGGCAGGCGCAGCCGAAGCCGACAATCCGCAAAATCACATGCTCCGGCACGACCTTTGCAGCCCTTTCTAACTTGGGGGACGTATTCACATTCCACATTGAGCATCCGAGTACCACAGGTCCGAAAGTTGTACTTCCGCGCCCGCAGCTCGCATGGAGTGTGCGTAGAAAGTTTTCGGCTGTACGGGACGTGGCTATCGGGAGTGATGGCGCTCTCCTTTTGTGTACTGCCGACGGACATGTGTACGCGCGTTCTCAAAAGTTGGATGTAAAGGGAAAAACTCGTATACCCAAGTTCCAGGCTATACCCTTTCTTCAACGCATTGTGCGCGTGGTGGCCAACGAGACCGGCAGCTTCGCTGCGCTCCAAGTACCTTGGCAATTTCCTTGCATTCCTGTGCGTGGGCGCTCTTTGGAAGAAGATCTCTTGGATCTAGCGCTCCCACGTGCCTCCATACCGGCATCCCTCGACACCGACCCTGTCGATGTTTCAGATGATGACAGCGATGAACATGACCCGGCCAGCTCACAAATGCGGCGCTATGCGGTGCAGGCGCGCACACTACTCGACTTTATTGCCGAGTCTCGAGCACATTATTCAATGCCTGTGGACATGCCATCATGCGCCCCTCGGGGCTGTGATGCTGCTCTGATCGTGGAGCATGGGTCGCATTGGATTCCTGTGCATCGAGTTTTGCTAGCCATTCGAATCCCAGTGCTTTCACATGTTATATGGAACGGCGGTGGTGAGTCGTTCTCCCACGATGTGCGCGTGTGCCTAGAGGAGGGCACATGTATGGTGTACCTTGATGCTATGTCGTATGTCTCGGCCATGTTCCTCGTCTACTACTTGTATACGGACGATGTACTTCCGGTGTGGGGAGTGAGTCTTGGCTTTATGCTCGCATCTCAGTGTCGAGATCAGGGTATCGATATTACTCATATTCGTTCGGAACTGGATGTATGGGCCAAGAAACTCGGTTTGGATGCCTTGTTTGACTTGCTTCAGTCGGGACTGGTGAAGCCTCCCCGAAAAACGCTGCATGGCGGGCTAGCTCAACTCTTTGATCGTGTGCTGACACGAAAGGGAGGCCCAGGTGCTGACATTGTGCTGCACTTGTCCGATGCCGACGTGGTGTGTCATTCTCTATTTTTGCGCCGCTCGCCCATGATCGAGGCGCTTCTGGACTGGTACCACATGCGAGGCGATCAGGGGAAGCAAGTCCATGTCGACATGAAGCATATGGCATGGGCTGTCGTGCGTGTCGGTTTGGCATTTTTGTACACAGATGCAGGTGTGTCTGCATTTGAAGGGTGCGACGAAAACAAAACACCCGATGAATTCATTGACTTTGTGCTGGATGTGCTGCAGCTTGCAGATGAATGGCTGCTGGACAAGCTTCAACTTGTGACATTTTCATTCCTGTCCCCGCGTGTCAAGCCAACAAATGTAGCTGCTTTGCTCACCGATGCGTTACGACTAAATGCGCCTGCCTTCAGTCATGCCTGTATGGACTATGTCGCCTGCAATCTCGAGACACTTCTTGAGCTGGGGTCTCTGTCGTTGCTAGGCGCGAACGAACGTATGCATCTCACGCAGTACATCCAGGCTCAGCAAGATCGTGTTTTGCATCGGACGTTTGCGAAGGATCACCTACTTGCCTTGTACATCAAGCACCAAGACTACATGGCGGACCTTGATTTGCCCAAGCCTTCATTGAATCTTGCCTGCCTCAAAGTTCCGAAACGATACAAGTCGCCGCGTATCGTGCCTGTGGATGATGCGCCCATACCGCGCTCGCAACGCCACAATCAGGATGGTGTCATCGCAGGTACGTCTGCAGTACCGCCGAACGCAGCGCCGGGTGATGAAAGCATGCTTTTTGCCATGGACGACGTGACGCCGGAGCGCACACCAGAACCTGTATGGCGTACTGTCAATGCAAAGCCACTTCGGACTCCTCGGCGCTCGTTGGATCCAGAGCCTACTGAGTTGCCTGGGACTCACACATCCCAAACGCCTTATCTTGGAGCAAGTGATGAGCCATCTCGGACTCTGAGCTCGTCTCCCTCTTCTGTGCCCTCGCCCATGACCCCTAAAGCACAGTCAACGGTACTGCAGATGCCATTGTCTGCACGAGTCTCGCAGAAAGAACGCAAGAAACAACAGCAGCAACAGCGGCAGCAACAACCTTCTCCTGCCGTGAAGGTTGATTCTCCTCCTGTTTGGAGACCGGGTTCGTTAAGATCACGCTCAGACGTGTGGGGCTTGTCCCCTTCGGGCTCTTCAACTGCTACTACCACGAGCACCCCGAGCACCACCGCCGCTGCTGTTGCCGCGGCTAAGGCGACGGGCACAGCCACAGGAGTTGGTGCTAAGTCTTCTAGCATCCCACCAGCCATGTCGTTTGCTCAAATCCAGGCTCAGCAGCAAGCAGCCATAAGCCAAGCGCGGGAACAACAAGACAGACCTAAGAGTTTCGCGCAAATTCTTGATGAAGAGCGGACGATGCAGGAGCGTGAACGGCGTGAGCGGCAGGAAGCTGAGGCATTTGAGCGCTGGTTCGAAGAGGAAAGTCGTCGGGTGCAACAAGAAGCTCGTCGCTCGCAATCTCGGCGGCAAGACACCCGCCGTGGCGCTCGTTCCAACAACCGCGGGCGCCGGCGTGGTAAACCTAACCCCGCCACAGCCCGCATCGACGATGATTAGTGTATTAGTATGTTGATAAAGGCACAGTTTGTATGGCTACAAAGACGAGGAAGAAGTATATCACGTTGATGGTGTCGGCTGTTCTGACCCTGGTCTAGATTCAGCACGACTGACAGTCGGATCCAAGCGGGCATCGGTTGGGACATGACTAGATGCTTGAGCTGAGAACGCACCAGCCGAACCCTAGGTAGTGGTTTCTGTTTCTTCTTTAGCTTCCGTTGAAGACTCGAGCGACTTGACAGATTCGACGATAGGCTCTGTCGCGGGAGCTGTGGCCTCGGGAGTGGAGTCTGCCGCGTCAGTCGATTTGACATCTTGAGGCGGAGTGTCAGGACTCTCGGCAGGCGGTGTCTCCTCGCTTGCCGCCGTCTCGGTCTTGGTTGTATGCAATGGCCCCTGTGTATCGGCATTCGGCGCCTCAGCCACAGGTTCCCTTTTCATCAAAGGCTCGGGAGAATCTGCTTCCTCTGTGGGCAGAGCGGAGTCGTTCGGCACAGAAAGCTGCGCATGTTTCTCAGCACAGGATCCGTTCGGCTTCCTATTGTCAGTTTGTATAGCAGATGATTCTGTCTCAGCTGGGTCTGAAGCAACAGTATCGGGTGCCTTCAACGCCTTGTCAGTCTTGCTTTGTGTCAGTTGCTTGTCATGGGCGGGAGAGTTATCGGCATGGATCAGATGGCTTGTGTCAACCGACTCATTAGGGGGGTCGCGATCAACAAGATCGGAAGACTCATTCGTAGGTCCAGACGATCCCAGGAGCTCGTCACGTTGCACAACGGGTTTGGCTGTCTCAGTGGACTGATTCAGACGCTTTGCGTCTTCAGAAAGCTCTTCCGTCTTTGTCCCAGTGTTTTCATCCGGCGTGGTAGTCGACGCATCACTCGTATTGGGCAAGGGCTCTGATGCTGGCTGTTCAGACGGCATACCTTTTTCTTGTTCGTCATCCACGTTCCGTGCCTCATACTTGCCCCGAGTCTCTGGCTTGTCTTGCANAATCTCGGGGCTTATCAATTCTTCTTTTGCCTCAGTCGTAAGTGCCGGGGAGACTTTGTCTTCTTTGTCCGGCTCCAAGGAGCGATCCGCCGCTTGCTCAGTCGTTGGATCTTGAGACAAGGCTTCACCGGATGTTGGATGGCTTTCCGCCACCACGCTCGATGTGTCATGGTCAGACAGTGCGTTTGCTTCCCATCCCATTTTCGTGCGCGTCTCAGACGGTGTACGTCGTTGTGGCTCTTCCGTAGGTCTGGCGTCTTGCTTCGTTACCCCAGCCAATCTCTCTGCTAGTGATGGCTTTGTTCTCATGGGTGTACTTGGAGCAGGAGAAGAAGGCCTTTGTTGTGTTTGACTTAGTGTCAGCTTATCTGGTGTCTGATAACGAGCTTGTGGCTGAACTTGGGTTTGCACCTGGGCTCTCTGCAAGCCACGTCGCTTGGCTGCCTCGGCCAAGCGCTGCTCTAGAGACACGCGTCCTTTCGAGCGGGGAGTATCTTGAGCAGGCGATGCAGAGGTGTCTTTAGAAGCATCCCTTGCGCCGTTGAGCTTGACTGGCGTGGATGCAGACTGTGAAGGATCAGCTAACTTTGGCTCAGAGTCTCCTGCAGCACCTTTGTCCGTCGGATTCTTCGCATCGCGGGTGTTTTCTGTTGTGGAACTGTCCAATTCAACCGGCGCCGACACTGATACACGTCTCGATGCTGCCTCTTGTTCTGCATCTAAGTGTTCTGTGGGCATGTGCTCGGGGGGCGGAGCAAGCCTGTCATTATCGCTTCCAGGTGCAGATGATGCAGGCCCGGCCGTCGTCTCTGGTGGAAGGGACGGTCCCCGACGTGCCTCATCGGGCTTGTTCACTTCAGCCGACTTGAGTTGAATCGCACCTAAGGGTGGCACCTCGCCCCGTGACACAGGCAAGGTTGAATCACTGAGGCTTCGTGAGGCTTCTTCACGACCTTTTGGCTGCTCAATTGGCTTATCTGGTAAGGGAGGCATAGGCTTTTCAGACGGAGCCGGCGGAGAAACATCGGCAGCGGCCGTCGCTGGTGTCGCCGAAGCTGAAGTCGAGGTGATAGATTCAGTAGTTGCTGGTGGTCCAGCGACCGCTTCTGTCACTGAGGGCATTGCCTCGTGGCTGATGGGCCCACTACCACTGCCACTCGACTCAGTCGAGGGTGCAGGTCCTTGAAACGCCTCGATTGATTCGAGCTGCGGCGATTGCGTCGCTGGAGGCCGCTTGCCCATGCTCTTGCGCGCTCGATAAGCAAGAGGCGGCGTCGCATTGCGACGAGCATCAAGAGATAGTCGAGGCTTTTTGGCCTTGGCTGCCTCGGTGAGCTTGTCGCCGCGCCAAGTCGAGTCGATGGATTGCATCTTTTCGTTCAGGTGCTCGACCTCGGAGACGATAAGTTTCTGCGCCTCTGACGAGCGTACGTCCATTGCACTGATCGCATGCGCCATGCGGACGTCGATATCAGCAAATACGCGCGCACTGATGGCCTGCACCACGGACGTTTGTAAGTACTGCGTCATCACTCGATGTAGCGTGCCAGTTTCGCGCACGAGATCCTGCATTGGCTGCAGATGTGAGTCGCATTTGTGTACGTCGAGCTGCGCGAGGGCTTTGCTGTGTACTTGGACACGATCACCCATGATCGATACGAGCTTTGCGTGAATTTCAAACTGGTGCTCACGAAAGTCCCGTTGCAGCTTGTCAAAGTCGCTCAGCAGCACGATTTGCGTCGTTTTCAGGTATCGTTTCATCAAGCCACGTAAGGACGGAATCAGCGCCATCATTAGTGAGAGTGTTTGAGCAGCAATGGCCAGGTGGCGAGCAGTGATATTTTTAAGTCCAGCAGAACGCATAGCTCCAGCGCCTAGCACGACTTGGCACGTTCGCGAATTGAACTGCTTCAGGAACTCGACGACCCAGCCCAGGGCCTCGGCGACAAACATGGGCAGATTCACCACGAGTCGCACATACTCACTAAGGAGCAAGATCACAGTCCCGCTGGCGCGCACGACAAAGAATCGATCGTTGCCCAGTTGCAGCAGTTTGTGTGACTCGGACTCCTGTGACTGTGCAGGTACTTCAGGTGCCTTGTCTGACGCGGCGGATCCCGTCGGTGCACTTCCTCGTAGATTCAGCTCCACCTGGTAAGCCGACACGTCTTTGCTAGCACTTTCTTCGAGCATATCCACGGTCTGCTGAAGCTCGGAAGAAATTGTCGAAGGCGCCCAGACCTCGTCTTCTACAGCCCGGACAGCGCGCTCAATACGCACACGATGGAATTGACCCAAGAACGCTTTGGCCTGACTGAGCATGCAGCTGCGTAAAGAAACGCCCGGACGTGCAGCTGCCGACTCGATCAGGCTCATGAAGCGCCAAACAAGCGAGAAGTACACGACAAATGCATTCAAATCGAGGTCAGGAAGCCGTGGAGCTCGTGGCGAAACAAGAGCCACTACGGTATTTTCGGTGGATGTCCACACAATCTGCGTTGCCTCTTGAAGGATCTGTTGCTCGGTCGCCGATGCATGCATCTTGAGTATCTCATGCACCGCTTGCATTCGTTGCGCAAAGAGCCAAAGGGCCCGCAAAATGGCCGCCAGCGCATGCAGGTGCTCAGGCCACGTATGGCTTGTAGCCGAGTCTTGCGATGCGGCTGATGCTTTGCCTGGCATGGCCCATGCAGCAAACTTGTATGGCGATACAACTTGCCGTACACCTTGGACTAAGAGATCTTCCATATGCTGTGTGTACATGCGCAAGCCCTGTTCCAAGCCATGACATCGCTGAAGCAGCGACCACATCGGCAACAGATCTGCGGGAAGGGGAATACTGGATGGTGCATTTTTCTCCGGCTTCGAAGGAAGAACATCGTCAATAGACGGGCACGTGGACGGCGCTGGTGACGACGCCGATGACGACAAGGACGCAAAAGACGTCTCTACGATGCTCAAGTCAATGCTTTCCCACGCCTCCTCTGATAGGTGCGCACGTTCAAGCATGCCCAGAAGCACATGCCGTAGTGACTCAGCCATCTTAGCTTGTTCCACCTCCAACTGTGGTCGGAGACTCTGGAGGGACTTGAGTCGATGAAGTGGAGCCTCTTTGTCGTCCAACGTCTTGAACAAGCCTTCCAAGAGTGTCATCGCATTCTCGTATTCGCCATGCTGCACGGACAGACGCACGAGATCGCGGCGCTCTAGCAGCGTCTGGACTTGATTCAACAGGTGTTTCTGCGCCTCGAGATATCGGCGTTCTGCTTGCAATTTTGCGATACTCAAGCCGTCGCGTACAAATGCATCGACGGCATCAAGCTTCTGCGCGACCGATTCTGTGCGGTCCAGGCAAGACTGCGCATCGGTCCGCAGCTGACGCAGCGTGGCCAGTGCATCAAAGAAGTAGACACTCTTAGCGCCGATCTCAACGATCAAATGCTGTTCAATGACGTCTGAGTAGTAGCTGAGTTTCTCCTGAAGCATGTGATTGAGCACAACTCCGTACTGCATCGTATTATCGTCACTCTCAACGCCCATCGCCGTCGACTGCTTGTACCGCTCCGTCACAAGATCAAAAGTGTACGGCTGCCCCAAATCAAAATCACTGCTAAAAAATACTTGTGGCACTGTACTGAGGGGAGGCAGTCGTTTCGGCGCCACATCTGTTGGTGTGTTGTGCGCGCGGATCAGCGCATGCTCGCGCTCGTACCTGTCCCACTCGCCGGAGAATTGTGTGACATAGTCGTTCAGGACCCGCATGTCGGTAGGCGGCATGGTTGGTGGTGCATGTCCCGCAGGCCCGATGGGCGGGAACCTGGCCGAGCTCGCGTGAATGGGTGCAGCCCTCTTCCGCGGGTGGTTGAGCATTGTAGAAATCGCATGCAGTCCCGTGAACGAGAGCGATGCATCATCGTGAGCCGCGGACAAGTCCCCATCGGCAGCGGCGTTGTGCCCACCTTGTGTTTGGGACGCCGCCGCCGTCATAGAGCCGTCACCTGCCATCAATACAGATTCGTTGCGGCAAAAAAAGGAGCCTAGCCTCCCCTATTGCGGTCGACACCGAGAAAAGTGCGTCGTGCACTCGTTCGTAATGGCGCCGTCGCTGCCAATAAACGGACAGGCCAAGTCAGCCAGCCAGATAATTCTGTGCGGTGCTTCTGACGCGGCCGGACGCTTCATACAGGCTTGTTGCCACGCGCGCACTTTTAACACACACCCACCCGCATGCACACTGCGTTATCACGTGATACATTATCTCCACGCGCGAATCTGGGGCAAGTTGTGCACGGATCGAGTTGGGATGGTCCCACGTTCTGTTTCTCTCCGAGCGGGAAACGTGCATTAACACATATGGCTACCATAACGCAGCCCATCGCACTGTATGCACATCGAGACGTCGATGTGGCACGTATTATGCACGAGGTTCGATCGTCTGGATACCTCGAAGAGATTGTTTCTGGAGAAAGCTCGCTAGAGGAATCTCCACTGTGGAACTTGGTCCAGCCACAGTCCAGTGTATCGACGTTAGACGAGGCACTGCGCGCATTTCAGCAGCTTGATTCAAATTATGTGAAGTGCGCATTTTTTTGGGTGAATCCCCACGATGCTTTTAAGAATGCGAACAATAGCGCATATGTCGTCCGTGTGTCGGAGTCGGGCGATTCCGAAGGGGAGTCGCCAGTAGACGTGGATCACTTGTTGGAGATAGCGGCGCATATCAGTGCAGGTGTGCGCTATGAAACACTCTTGAAGGAGTAACCGCGGGCTTTGTCAAAGCGTTTACCCGATTATATTTTTTACCGGCCAAACCGGAGTTGGTAGGTAATCTTGCCTTTTACCACTCTGGAAAAGGAGAGAAAGAGAAAGAGTGAGCGAACGAATGTATCGACATGACTTGAAAACTCGTCACAACTTGCAAGCAAGGATGCCCTATCTTGTATATACATGTCCGGTATTTCGCATCTAGTACCTTTGAATTGATGTGTCGCACCTCGCTTCATATACGCATTGCTCATAGAATGACGTTGTTACACCTTCCTAGCAAGCCATAGTCTATCTAATATTTTACGACCATCGCAGAGTACCCACATGAACCACGGTTTCTGCGCAGCACAATCTTAAGTATCTGCTTCCTCAACATACCACTACATTCTATACACGTTCACGGTCTTGCCAGCATGCTGGATGAGACGAGCGGAAATCTCACCCACCGCTACAATACATGCAACAACAATCAAAATGATAATAATCCAGGTAATCTTGCTCATGGCTGCATTCGAAAGGTGTTCGTGGATCACCTCCAGCAGCTCATTTGCCACGGCCAAGCGTTCATTCAGCGTCTGTGCGCGCTCATCAATTTCCAAGTATGTGCGGATTGCATCATACAGCGCTTGCAAACTCGCCTCATTCCAAAAGAGATCTGGCGTGTCCAGCACGTCGCTCGTTAAATTTACATCCACACGCAGTTTGAACAGATGACCTGACATACGCAAGGCACCACGTCGACTCACACGCAATTCACCTGTCTGTGCAAGCTCCTTGGGAATATGCGAAGTAAGCTCAAGTGTATTGTGCATGTTTTCCTCAAACTCTGACAGCTTGGTGCTCTGGGCAATTGCATGGGCTAACGACAACTTCAGCAGGTGATTCGGCTCGCGGAATGTGAAAAAGTCGTTCATGATGCGCGGCGCACGCACATTCGGATCATAACAGAAGTGGAACAGCTCGCGATCGTAAGCTTTGTGTGGATTGCGGATCGCGCCTGACGTCATCAGGTCGGCAAGAATTAATTCTTCCTCTTCTTGCGTAAAGTTAAACATGACGACAACACCATAGGGTAAGAGTACCAACTCTGCCATGTCGAGCGCATCTCGTACTGATTGTGGTGCATGCTCATTCACATCTGCTTCGTGTGTGTGCGAAGCCTGATTAACCCGTACTACTCGCGTGCCGGCTTTCATTTGGTGCCGATCCTGAGCATCCTCTTCGACCATCAACATATCCCGTGCACTTGCTGAATCTGGATCGCTGGGTTCTTCGCTCGCCGAGTTACTGGGCAACATTTGGGCGGGATGATGATGATGATGGTGATGCGCGGGTTGTATCGCATCTTCGCGGTGCTCATTGGGGATATAGCCGTCCGTATCAATGTCCCGCTCAGACTGAGGTACGAAATAGTTGCCAATATAACCACTCTCGTCGTCTCGCTGGATCTCTCGCTCATGCCGGCTCTCTGCACCAGGACTGCCTGTCTGAGGAACACGCGAACTGCGGACGGAGGCACGGCCGAAGCCTGGGAGAAGCGGCTTGAAATACAAGGCATACACACATCCTTCGTACAAACGCGGCCGGACTCCATGCTCTCGGCGGATAAAGGCAAGCGCTGTCTGAAGCTGCAATGATGTCGAGACGGCATACGACGTGAGACGGGGTAATGGCGTCGTCGCTCGTGTAAGTGGCGACATGCGCTCAAATGTATAATACACAGGATTCTTGCGCTGCTGTGGTCGACGATGTGTTCGGCGATGTTCCAACTTTGCACGATCACCACCATGTGTGACATGTCCAGACTCATCCGCGTCTTCCTCTTCGACTTCCTCGTTGTCTTCGTCATCCTCGTCATCATCGTCATCATCATCATCATCATCTTCTTCTTCCTTACCACCGTTTCCAGCACCTCCTTCTTTGGTATAGCCTTCTGTTTTCTGTTTCATGCCCTTCTTGCCCTTTGTTGTTGGCACGGGCAATGGTGCCAACTGACTCTCGCTAGGCAAAAGGACATGTCGTCCACTGAACTTCGAGGCACGCACCGGCTTCTCGGCTCTCACAGGCAGTGAGTATCGTGGGAGACGCGCAGGTGTGCCTTTAAATTGTAGGCCAGGCTTGTCTATAACTGCGCTGCCAGGTAATTTTGGCGGCGGCGCTCGCGGCGCACGGAGTGGGGCAGCGCCTGCCTTAAGTGTCTTTGTACGGCCACCCTGGCCCTTGGACGGATCTGTCATTCCTTGTGAGCTTGACTGTGATACACGCGAGCTCTTGACACTGGGCATAATGATGCCGGACGGCAACTCATTTAACGCTGCGTCACCTGGTGTCTCGACCTCAAAGTCGTCCATTTCCTCTGGGTGTTCCCCCGCTCGCGACTCATTACGCCGTGTGCGCAGCGCAGATGCCGTCGAACTAATGCCAGGCAGTGGGAGATGGCGTTGTGCGCCGCTCTCTGCTGTGCGGCTTGAGCCCGGACCAGGTCGCTGCGCCATGAAATTAAGAAAGATGAAACTAATGAAGCCCGTGTGTCACACTTTGATCAAGCGCGCGTGGCTTTAGGCCAGCTGATGTTTGCGCGCATGCGTGCACCAAAAAAATATCATGGCAACCTAGATGGCCCTGTAGGCCTTCTTTGCCCCTGATCCTTGGCACACGTGATACAAGTGATTTTCATATGCGCACCTTATCCCATGTATTCTCTACCTGGTGATGCTCGATCCTTCTCCCATTTGGCAAGCCAGGTCGGAACGTGCGTGTGTGTTTGCTTTGGGCACGACCCTTGAGTGAGCAAGAGGCACTATCGAAGAGACCCGACAGAAAATCAAGTAGACTACGAAATTATCACCATGGATCCAGGCATGCTGATGCAGGAGAGAGCTAGTAGAGGAGCTGGCGCTGGACGAGCAACGGTTGGGCAAGGAGCCAGTTTGGGGGCGGATGTACGATCGAGCCCAGACACCAGTAGTTCTAGACTGGCGGCAGGCACAGAACAGGAGTCGCAACATAGCGTTTTTGCTGCGGGAGTGGGAACGCAGGCCGTTCCCGTGCGAGTGGGGCCGTTGCCCTCTTTAGCGCGTTATTCGTCGTCCGAGATCATCGTGCCTCCGCTCAACTTTGACATGGTCGCTCCCGGGGTATACAGAAGTGGACATCCCAACGAACGCAACTTTAGTTTTCTTAAGCGGCTCAATCTAAAAAGCATAATATACCTCGCGAACGATGATTATCGAGAGAATGTTGTTCGTTGGGCACAAAAGGAAGGTATTCGAATCTTTCATCACCGCGTTACGATGAACAAGGAACCATTCACCGAAATGGATGAGCAGGAAGTGGCCAGCGCAGTTGCGCACGTGTTGGATGAACGAAACCTTCCTGTACTTGTCCATTGCAACAAGGGCAAGTACCGCGTAGGCTGCCTTGTGGGATGCATCCGGCGACTCCAGCGCTGGAGCCATATTAGCATTCTTGAGGAATATTCGCGATTTGCTGGTGAGAAAATGGCTGATGAGGAATTCATCGAAATGTTCGATCTAACACAAGTCAAACTTGATCCTACACATTCTCCTGCATGGCTATAGGGCTGTTTGCAGTACACGCTGCAGGGCTGGCTGTACGATCTTGCGATTCGCCTGCGTATTACGCTGGCGCCACACTATGCCACTGATTCCTGGCATTCCTCGCACCTGACGTGATACTTCGAGACCTCCCACACGCTCGCGCTGCCCACTGCTTGTGCGTCGCTCACCTTTCCATGTATCGAGTTGCAAATGCACACCATCAGGGAACAGCTGCTGCGTGCCATGCTGTTCTAGCGAAGAAGCAATGCGCTGCAGTATGTCTGGCGCGCCATGGAAGGCCATGGCAAGGTCACGCCGGCTCTTCATTCGTTCACCACCGTGCTCGCGGTCATTCTTCCGTTCTCGATACGACAGAAGAATGACGGCCATGTCTAAGCGGCTCTCACGCATAAATGACGCAATTTCTTTCCACCAGTTATGCCATTCCTGTTCCGCCACGTCATCATGGACGGTCTCTTGCGATGCACGGGTCCGGTAGGCACCTGATATCCATGCCGATAGTGATAGCGGCACAGACGCAAGGCCCACTTGCATGTTGGACCCTTGTGATGTATGTACATTAGTTATCTTGAGATCGCGAAGGAGGAGTGCTTGTGTGTCGAGCTGTGACACATCATTTTTAACCTGCTGCATCTGTTCATTCCATGGAACAAGTCAGAGAGACGTCCATGCGGTCTTGAGCAGCTCCCACTTGGGCCTCTGCATTGGATAGTGTCGATGACGCCGGCGCGAAAGATGATTGTGGTAAGAGGTAAGCATACGCTCTGGCGTCTGTGGGTGTGCCTTTCCCAACCGGCTGCATCTTAAGCTGACATCCAAAGAAAAGGAAACGTAAGTTAGCGAGAGAACTTATTCACGCGCGTATGGAGATCCACGTACATTTCTTGTGTCGAGAATAACGGCACTGAGCAGCAAGTCAGCTAGCTTGGACGGTATGATGCCGTTGGGCCGAGATTCCATCGCGAGTTTCGCGACCAGACTCGACGCAGACCCAACGGGCTCGCGAGAGGGTGAACTTATGAATCGTAATTTGGCGTCCTCATGTGCACCATCATCTTCATGATGATCAACAATTACTTCGACGTGGCGTGCATTGCCGATGCCGCTGCCTTTCCAAGCAGGACGTAAGCTTGGGTGATCCACTAAGCCGAGCGACACATTTGACGCTGCACTGAATGCTGTTGAAGTCAGGTCGCCAAGATCATCTACGCATAACAATGAGTCAACAGAAATGCCCACACTTCGATATACTAGGAGATTCTCTTGTCGGTAGCGCAGTTGGGAACGGGGTGTCTGGATCAGCGGCACATACACGCTGGGTGGCAGACTATACTTGGTGGTAAAATAGCTCTGCCTATGGTTCATCACATAGCTTAAGGCAATTGCCGATGCAGCTGAATCAAGGTCGCCTGCCTCGTTGCCCATAAGGATTGTCATATGTTGTTCTTTATGATTGACATGTGTGAAAGCATACGCTTTCGTCCAGCTCAAATACTCATTAAGTTCGCTAGGAATATAGTCCTCGGAAGTCATATTCAATATGTGCGGATACACAAATGTTGGCCGGCGGTACAGCACGAATAGGGGCCAAGCCAGCAAGCCCAGGACGCAGCAGACGAGTTGGACGAGTTTATGCTGTCGAAGCATTCAACCAAAGCCACACGCGCGACGTGTGGAGATCTGATACTTCGACAGAGCATATTTTGGGGCCAATTTCACGTCGCCTAAGCTCTTCCACATTGCTGTGCGGCGACCAACGGTCGATCGGTGACTTTGGTTAGGATTGAGCGGTGGAACGCACAACCTCTACACTCACCTTGTCTAGTTCGAGTTTCACTGCGAAACGCGTGCTCGGCGTATGTTTTGGCACCGCATAAGAACCAGCGGGTATGCCAATAGGTGGCTCACGTCGGTGAATACACGTTTATTATCTTTCAGTGTGCGTCGATCCACTCGTTCACATAAACAACACATTCCATTGCGGCATCGCCTCAGCAGGTTTGGTCCTCCCTCAAGCCAAGGCTCTTCAAAGGACGGGTATGCGCGTCCAGGTGAGCTCCCTGCGCTGCAATTTTCCCATGCGCAAGTGCCTGAGGCTATGTCACGTTCGTTCACGTCACCGCCGTTGTCTCCAGGCCTCGTCCGAATGGTTCATGAACTCCTTGGTGAAAGAGCAAGTCCAACTACACCACAGGCCCAAGCGCTCGCTCATTTCTTCTCACGTCAGACGTCGTCAAGGTCGGCTCAGCACACGCTCATAGCCGCCGAGACAGGCAGTGGGAAGACACTTGCGTACCTACTGCCGCTCCTGCAACGACTGCACGAAACACGCGCCAAAACGGAACATGCTGATTTAAGGCACGTAAGAGCCGGCGCTGCTTTGGTTCAAATTATGCCACGCAGCATCATTCTCGCTCCAACACACGAATTGGCACGGCAAATCGCCGAAGTGGCCAAAGTCCTGTGCCACGATGCCTCTCACAAACTTCGTGTCGCGTGCTCATCTAAACCCTCTTTCTCAGTGACCATAAAAAATGACTTGGCGCATCTCTCGGAGCTCGCAGTTTCCACCGGTGAATATCACGGCGCACCTTTGTCGCCAGACGTGTTAGTGACGACACCCGCCTTCATTGCTGAGCACATGGACGACGACCTGTCGCTGCGACATGTGCAAATGCTCGTCATTGATGAAGCTGATACCCTACTAGATGAAGGATTCCGCACCCTCACCCAAAAGATCCTACGTGAAACACCGGGTGAATCGGCCCATGTATTCGTCACTGCGACGATCCCTCGCTCCATGCGCATGTACTTGGATGATGCATACCCATCGCTTGTGACTCTAGCGTCTCCACACTTACATCATCTACCGCAGCGCCTTTCCGTCATGTTTGTAGATCCAGGCGGAAACAAGGATCTTGCTGTGGTGAAAGAACTGTTCCGCGTCTTCACGACGCCTGGATGCGAGAAGGATCAGGTGCTCATTTTCCGTGACAAGCGCTCCGGTGTGGAAAGCCTCAGTCGTTTCTTGCATGCTCGCAACGTCGATCATGTTGCTTGGACTGGCGCAGCTGAGGACAGAAAGACTCGTACTTCACAACATGTTGCGCCATTTCTTGCAGGTCCTTCAGAACACTATGCACGTCGTCACCACCGTGACGTCGAGACGCCGCGTGTGTTGGTGACGACCTCGCTCCTCTCACGTGGCCTGGACTTTGGCCCGCATCTACGCCACGTATTTCTTCCAGATGCTGGGAGAAATACAACTCGCTCCGTGCATGCTGCGAACAACAATGCGCTCGAGCTCCTTCATCGTGCAGGACGTTCCGCTCGTGCAGGACGTGCAGGTACCGTTGTCGTGTTTGACAAGAACAGTGCGCCTGGTAAGACGAAGGTGCTTTTAAATCGGCGTGGCCAAAAAAAAGGTATTGTGCGAGGACAGATGGACTTGCTCGTCCGGGCGCTGCAACGTCCCAGCAAGTCATCTCGTCGTCGTCAACGTGCGTCACCCAAATCAACATCCTAAACACGTTCTCGTTCAGCTATATACATGCGCATGCATGTCCTTAAAATGCATAAAACTCCTGCATTGATACGTATATACCTTTTCAAACGCAGTTATGCATGTGTGCATCTTCGTACTAATTATGAGTAGGTTGTGAGACAGTTGCATGTGTCAGAACCTCGTTGCTTCGCCTGCCGAGACATTTCCTCCACATGTATCGAACGTCGCTTTCCCTTCCATGCATATTTTGCCACTACCTTGAGCACTGAGCTTGGGCAATTTGTGCGTGTAAGCAAAGGAGTGCCACTAGATATGAATGACATTGTGTATCGTTGGCTCAGTGATGTGCTTCTTCCAGTGCGTAATGTGTTTGCATGCTAATTCAGTACACTGAGCGAACGCGAATCATCTCAGACATAGGCCAAATCATGTCGGAGTACCGCGCTTTGCGACCACGCACAGATGTCTTCAGTACGTGTCGACAGTCTAGTTGTCAGCGACTAATGAAACACAGCTTACGATGATGGCCGCTCATTTCTCCTACTCCGACTTGAAGGCACACTACCTGTGCCCTATGCTGGTCATGTGTACAATATACCCATCCATCTTTGGTTCCCTCGCGCGTATCCGAAGGAGCCGCCAATGGTGTTTGTGATTCCAACACAGGCCATGCTGATCCGTTCGGGCTCACATACTGCCCATGACGGCCGGGTCCATGTTCCTTACCTGGATGTATGGCAACGCAAAATCGAGGGCTATTCCCTAATCGAGTTGGTACGTGAGTGCCAGGCTGCTTTCAGCATAGAACCACCGGTTATGGCAAAGCCCAAGCAGCCCCTTTCGGTAGAGGCAAGCATTGCTGGCAGAAGTCAGGATGCTAGTGCGAGTCCTATCCGCAATGTCGATTCCGTGTCACAAAAGCCAGCGCCTGTGCCGTCACGACCTCCAAAAGCTATTCCCAACTCAACAGTCTCACCTCCTCATCCCAAGCGGCCAGAGCGACCAGAAATACTCGAACACCTGGAGCCTTTTGGATTTACGCCTGGTACTTTGTCCAATGAGAGCGCTTCACCATCAGGCTCATCCTCCTTACGGACGGACATCGCATCAGGAGAGATAGAGCCGTCAAACATACCGGCACCTCAACGTCCGATGAATCCAGCGCTTTTAGAGCTTCATGCGAAAGTTTATGCAAAAGTATCCTCGCGCGTCACAGAAATCTTTGCCTCGCACTCGCAATCAAAGCAACGGCTTCATTTGCTGCTGGAAGATCTGGAGCGTGGCACTCCTGCTATTGATGATGAAATTCGTCGCTTGCGCGCCGTGCGCGACATTTGCTTAACGAATGTGCATCGCCTAACAACGACCATCGATGCAGCAAAACGTTGTACTGCTGAGATGGAAATGCGACCCGAGCCAGATGTTGATCGCATGCTCTCTGCGACAAGTCTTGTTGAAAACCAGTATGTAATTGTTTCTTTGCGCGAGATGGCTAACGGACACAAACTTTGACACAGACTACTGCAGCTCATGGCTGAAGATCAAGCGATGGAGGATACTTTGTATCAACTTAGTCGCGCCTTGTATTCGGAACAGCTTTCGCTCGATCGGTTCATAAAGCACACGCGTGTGATTTCTCGCGAGCAGTTCATGAAGCGTGCACTTGCTCAAAGAATTGTCCAAGGTTTGGGCTGGGATATGTCAGCCACAGCAGAAAGATCTTTGTCTCCGGTGACATCAGCGCGTACTTCTGTACCTCTTTCTAACTCTACGGAGATGACTCAGGCAACGGTTTCGTTACCGATAAAAGCGCATTATTCGAGCTCTAGTGATTAGTTTCCCGTTCTCGTGATTAAACGCACTTCGCCCGGTTTCACGCCCACCGATGAAAGCGTAAGCTTGCCATTTTGATCCACAACAAAATGGCTGGGTGTGAGTGTCGCAAATTCACATTTCCTCTCCACGTACCTTCGCCTCGTACTGGATTTAGTTCCGGTGAGTGCGCCAATCAAGAAGCGCTTCGGATCACAAAGCAAGCGGTATGGGAGATTGTGTTTCTGCATGAGAATGATGGGACTTCAAATTGACATGGCGACGTACTGAGGCCCAAGAACGCTGTGCATTGGGTGAGTCCGCTGATAGCCCGAAGATGCTGTACCCAGCTTTGGTCCATTCATCCGTGGCATCTCGGAAGCACTGTGCCTGCTTCGTACAACCTGGAGTGTTGGCCTGTATATATGTAAACATCATACTTTATTCGTGTCAAGTCAGCGTACCTTGGGATATGTAAAAATTACCACGTTGCGAAGTGTTGATACTTGCACTGCTTGACCGTCCTGATCAACGAGTTCGATATTTGGCAGGTTATCTCCCACATGGAGGATAGCTGATGATGTCAATGGCTCCTTTGCTTGTGTTTCTTTTGCGGCTAATCCTGTAGATGGTGAATCCTTGGATGTTGCCTCATTCCTAGTTGGTGTCCCAGAGGTCATATCGTTTTTGGTAAGCTTATCGTCCTGCTTTGTCGGCTCCGTAGTCTTCCTTTGCATTTTTTTGTTTGAAGTATCTTTCTGAGCTTCTAAGGCGCGCTTTTGTGCCACGCGTGACGATTGCCGCCGCATGTGAGGGGTGTGGGAGTCGGCTCCTGTCATCAACTCGGGTCGAGTCGCTGAATCTGGCCTGGAGTAGAACCAACTGGACGTGCTCCATGTGGAGGCGTCGACTCGCTCAAACGCCAATCTCTCCTTCCTTCTCCAGCACTCAATCTTCACGCACCGTTACCCTCCACGCTGAGACCAATCTGAATGAAGCTCTGCTATTGGATCCGAAGTATTTTTTTCATAGCAGGCAATTTAGGCTGCCGCTCACACCTTCCGCACGTGCCGAGCGATGCGTCACATACTCAAATCAGTCGGACTATATTGTTATCAATAAGTCTTCCTTCCCATGCAATCGCTACAAGGACGTAAGTAGGCAGAGGTAGACATGAATATACTATCGCTTACTCAAATATGTTGAATTTGAGGGACTATGCAAATGTACGTAGTTGGGGGATCACAGGCCGCCACGAAGCGAGAGCACAAGCTGCGATAAGCAAAATCCCATACGTACATGCAAGACTGTGCCTCCTTCGATACCAAAGTCCTTGATCATTTTTTCGTCGGACCTGGAGTAAGTTGCAAGTTGTGTGTGTTTACATACATTTGCTTGCCACCAAAAATCAAGCGTTGCTGAACAGGCGGAATTCCCTCTTTCTCTTCGACGCGTTCTTTTATACGAAGAATCTGTAAAAGTCAGCGCTACTTGTTTTCGTTTGACCATACTTTATCTGTCGCATCGACATCAAGCTCGATCTCTATACATGAGCAACGGAGCTCTCATCACTGCACGCGCCGCATACACACGCACCTTTGCCAGTCAGAGTCTTGACTTTGATCAACATGGTTGTAGCTGGCGTGTAAGTCACGTGGCCCGTGCGCCCTGATAGCCCGAGCATGCACACGCATTTCCCTATTTAATTGCCAATCGAGCGAAGTTTGTGTTATCTTCGTATCGTTCCACACAAATGCATCTGCTACCTCGGGAGCGCGATAAGCTGTACGTGCGCGAGATTGGTTTGCTGGCGCAAACACGCCTAGCGCGTGGAATTCGTTTGAATGAGACAGAAGCGATTGCTTTGATCTCTGCAGTGCTGCAGGAAATGGCCCGCTCTGGCAAGTACACGGTAGCGTCGCTCATGCAGTATGGTAAAACGCTCCTAGGGTATCGGCAAGTTCTTCCAGGCATCTCCCAGACGATTCCAGAGGTCATGATTGAAGCTACTTTCAATGATGGAACATTTCTTGTGAGCGTCCATGATCCAATTTGCTCGCCTGAGGGGAACTTGTCACTTGCATTGCTCGGCTCAGGCCTGGAAGCGCCGTCACCAGATGTGTTCCCACGTATTTTCACTCCAGAGGGACCTGTTCCAGGTCGAATCATTGCGCTGGATTCTGCCCCACCGATCACGCTGTTTCCAGACTACCGTCGATTGTCGCTTGAGATGACAAATACGGGCGACCGTGCCATTCAAGTTGGTTCACATTTCCCTCTTCACAAAGTGAATCGTGCGCTTGAATTTCCACGTGAGGTAGCTAAAGGATATAAACTAGACGTGGCAGCTGGCACGGCCATTCGCTTTGAACCAGGTGTGAAAAAGCGTGTGACTGTAGTCGAGACGGGCCCGACGTACAGGCGACGCATTAAGGCAGGCGATTCGGAGATACTTCCGGGCCCAGAGCCATTTTCACTGTCGCGGGCGGCGTATGCATCACTGTATGGTCCGACGACAGATGATCGTGTCCTGCTTGGCGACACGAATCTCTGGGCAGTCGTTGAGAAAGATCACACCTCATACGGCGACGAGTCGACATTCGGTGGTGGCAAAGTCTTGCGTGACGGCATGGGTCAGTCACCAGGACGTGCTTCTTCTGATGTGCTCGATACAGTTGTCACGAATGCCTTGATCGTCGACTACTCGGGCATCATCAAGGCGGACATTGGCATCAAGAATGGTCTCATTGCTGGAATTGGCAAAGCAGGTAATCCTGATACGATGACATATGTGACACAAAACATGATTATTGGCTCTTGCACTGAAGTAATCGCTGGCGAGAATCTGATCGTGACTGCTGGCGGTGTCGAAACTCACACCCATTTCTTGTCCATGGACATGTGTATTGAGGGTCTGGCCTCTGGTCTCACGACGTTGGTTGGCGGCGGTACGGGTCCAGCTGCTGGCAGTCGAGCTACCACATGCACTCCAGGGCCTTGGCACATAAGAAAAATGCTCCAAGCGACCGATACACTACCGGTGAATGTCTTGCTGACAGGCAAAGGCAATGACTCTGGTGAGCTTCCTCTGCGAGAGCAGATTGAGGCTGGCTGCGGTGGTCTGAAGCTTCATGAAGATTGGGGTGCGACACTTGAGGCCATTGATACATGTCTTCGTGTGTGTGGGGAGTATGATGTTCAGTGTACGATCCACACGGACTCGCTGAACGAGTCCGGTTTCGTAGAAGACACACTAAAAGCCATCGGCGGTCGTACTATCCACACGTACCACTCTGAAGGCGCCGGTGGTGGACATGCGCCAGATGTGATTCGAGTGTGCGGTGAGCCGAACATTCTACCCGCGTCGACGAATCCAACACAACCGTATGCATCAAATACGATCGATGAGCACATGGACATGCTCATGGTGTGCCATCACCTGTCAAGAAATATCGCGGAAGATGTTGCGTTTGCCGACTCACGTATCCGGGCTGAAACCATTGCTGCTGAGGATGTCCTGCACGACATTGGAGCCATTAGCATCATGAGCTCAGACTCCCAGGCCATGGGACGTATTGGCGAAGTCATATCTCGGACGTGGCGTGTAGCCGACAAAATGAAAGAGATGCGTGGTCCTCTCATTTCCTCGCATGGCAAGGACTCGCTGACCAACGACAATGCACGCATCCGACGCTATGTGGCCAAATACACGATCAATCCAGCCATTGCACATGGCATCTCGCAACACGTTGGGTCCGTGGAAGTAGGCAAGATCGCTGACCTCGTACTATACCGACCCAAGCATTTTGGTGTACGCCCAGAAAACATCATCAAAGGAGGCCAGCTTGTCATGTCAAACACAGGCGACTCGAACGGCTCCATTCCGACGGTGCAACCAGTGTACTTGCGCCCGACATTCGGCTTCCAGCCAGTCTGTGCAGCAGATAACAGCGCAGCATTCGTTAGTATGGCAAGCATTCGGAACGTCGGCAAGTATGGCCTGAGGAAGCGCTGCTTGCCTGTTTCGGGATGTACCGGTCTTGGCAAGAAAGACATGAAACTGAACTGTGAGACACCCAAGATATCAGTGGATCCGGAAACGTACGTACGCAAATGATGTTGGCCGTGGGCAAAAGAGATGAATCTGCGACTACCAACATGCATCCTTGTTTTGTGCTTGACTAACCCATTGCAGTTTTGTTGTCACGGCCGATGGCCAAGACATGAAGACTGAGCCTGCGACCAAGGTTGCGCTTTCAACTGGCACAGGTATATTTTAAGCTGCGTTTGCTCGCTGCGTTTCGCACTCGTTGTGGAACTTGCGCCCAATATGCGGCCTGTGCCTCTCCATACAGAATGTATGATTGTGCACCAAGTTTTTCTACTAGCATCGACGCCACACTTGATGCTGCACACCGTATATAGGCAACAGACAATTCGGGCCGCACGTCGACATAGTCGATAGCATTCACAGACATTGCCGCGAAGTGTGCTTTGAGCGTATTTGGGCTTGGTGCTGCTTCTGGTGAGATACGCAGTGCCACTATCGTGTGAAGCGGATAGTCGACATGGTTCGATACCGGAAGGTGCTTTTGTCCTGGCGTCGCAGAGTGTGGAGACAAGCCTCCCTCTTTCTCTGAGTGCTTGATCTGTTGCACCATATGCAAGGATCGCATGTCCTCTGCAGTTTTTTTCGCCATCTCGATGTTTTGTTGTACAATCGATGCGCGCCATGCCTCATATTCTATCCGCAATCGCTGGTATCTGTCCCAAGACATGCAACGAAGTGGCGTCGTTCTAGGCGGGCCTGCCGTCGTCGAGTAGCTCCAATCCCAGTTACGCAGTAACAAGGTAGCCGTCGTTGTATCCACACACACAAATGCATCATGCATCAGATCTGTCGTCATCATTGGCTCTCCATTCACTGTAGGTGGAAACACCGCATACAGGCGCATAACATGTTTGGGATCAGCCGCTTGAACAAGCGCTAAAACGCACTCGGCTATATCCAAGGCATTACATGCATGTTCAGATACATGTTCCTGACGTGAGCTAACACGAGCAATGAATACGCTATACGTACGATAAACACGACCTGAACATGCACGGGTGGAGCGATTTTAACATGAAAAGCATCGCACCCACGCTTATGCGGTGTAAATGTCCTTGCATATGTGTGTAGAAAAACGTACCTGAATTACATGAAAGGGGTATAGAAATGCTAGGGCGGCACACATATCGGCACTGGACTTGCACCCAGCCACATGAAGTCCTTCGTTGGCCAAGATTCGTGCTACGTGCACCTCTTGGTTCGTAGCTCGAAGTATGAGTGCTGAAAGCGAATTATATTTATCAGTTCCTGTTGAAGACTGTGCTTGAAATACTGGATTTTCTTCCTGCTTAGGATCCGGGCGCCTACTGTTCTGGCGCTCTGCCCACCATGACGACAGCTGATTCAGCAACACTGATGCTACAGGACGCATGTCCTTTGGAACGGACGTCTCTGCCTTTACATGAGGTATCACAAGCGCAGAATGTCCTTGTGGGTGTATTCTTTTAGTACCTGCAACACTACGCGGTACAAATGGCAGCATGAAAGTGAGCACAAATGGCAGTCAGTAAGAACAGCAGCGGCCATGCGCCTTATTAGGTCGTCATGTCAATTTTGAGAGTGATGAGGCCCTGAATTGCATTGCGCGATAAGAGGAGACCGATCGGGCCGCGCCGCGCACGGCCAACCCCCAAGGTCCACGTCATCAGGACACACGCACAGGCCCCAGTCCATGTGACTGGGCTGCACTGCTGGGGTCCGTGGGCGGCCGACTTGGCCGCCCCGAACCGAAGCACAACCGCCAGTTCCACTAGTGTCCTCCACGAAACATGCACGCGGCGTGGATTCTCAGTGCATTGCTCGTGTTAGTGGCTGCCGTTGTGCAAGCCTCGAATGTATTGGATTTGACCGATACGAAGGCATATGATGCCGTTGTAGGCCAATCAATTGGTGTCATGGTCGAGTTCTTTGCGCCTTGGTGTGGACACTGCAAGCGTCTTGCTCCTGAGTACGAAAAGCTTGCGGATGCGTTTGCCACCAAGAAGAACAAAGTACTTATCGCCAAGGTCGATGCAGACGCAAACCGCGAGCTCGGTGAGCGCATCAATCTGAAGGGTTTCCCGACGCTGATGTACTTCCCACCAAACTCGCAAGAGGGCGTACCATACTCGGGTGCTCGGACGACGGAGGCACTTGCCGAGTTCGTGACCGAGCAGTCGCAGGTACGCAGCAGCCTCGAGCCACCGCGTCCGCCTGCGGCACTTGAACTGGATGTAGACTCTTTCGATCGTGTGGTGATGGATCCTGAGCTAGATGTGCTCGTTGAATTCTATGCGCCCTGGTGTGGACACTGTAAGCGTCTGGAACCAGTCTATGAGGAGGTCGCACGCACACTAGAGCGTGACGACCAGTGCCAGATGGTGAAGGTCAATGTCGATGACCCGAAGAATGCGGAGTTGAAGAAGCGCTTCCAGGTTTCGAGCTTCCCGACGCTGAAGTTCTTCCCTTCAGGCTCCGATGACAAGTGGCCTCGCCCATACCTTAAGGAGCGCACGGCCGACGATCTGCTTGCCTTTATGAATGAGAAGTGCGGCACGTTCCGTACCAAGGAAGGCACTCTGACGCAGTTTGCTGGTCGTATGCCCGCTCTCGATGGTCTCGCAGCCCGCTTCTATGCGGCTGCAGATGCGACGCGCGAATCGATTCACCAAGAGGTCGCCAAATACGTCGAAGGCATGAAGGGTGCTGTTTCTTCGAAGCGCAAGGCATCTGCTGGCGACTACTACCTGCGCGTGATGGACCGCATTACTCGCGATGGCACTGAATATGTCCAGCGCGAGAGTGACCGTCTTTCCAAGATACTTGCCAAGAGTGCAGAGGGTCTTACGGCACTGACGGGCCACAAGATTGATGATATTACGCGCAAGATCAATGTCCTTTCGGCCTTTATGAATGAGCGTATTGCCAACGCGGCCGAGAAAGCCACACAGGCTGCCGCGTCGGCCAGTTCTGAGGCAGAGGAGACTGCCAGCTCAGTGCATGACGAACTATAAATCTTTATAGCCGTCTGTAGACGTCTCTACCGACTTTTTTTTTCATACATAACATTGCACAAGATTCTATGGATCTGTCTCTATTCTTGGGCGGTGTGTGCCTTGGGAGTTTGTTCGCAAGCTTGAATTCCGCCTCCACTCTTAATGCAGACGTGTGCATAACGAACGTCTCGCGAACCAAAAAATGGGTGTATCACCTGGTCAAGACGCCGATCGCCGCGGCATTAGAATCCGACCTGGGTTCTTTGGCTGTTCCCGTTTCTTTTGGCGCATCGTGAAGTTTTTTGAATTGGAACCGCTTACCGTTCTGTAGTGACTCTTTCAGCTCTTGGACGTCGAGCATGGAAACACACGTGTCTCTCGAAGGCACAGTGCAAGGCAAAGCGGCCACTCTTCGTCTTGTGGGCCAAACCTTGGAGGTCATTTTGAACAAGAAGGAGACGTGGCTCCAGGTTCCGGTAGAACTGGTCCTGGATGTGTCGTGGAAGTCACCACATCTTCTGATTTCGCTTCTTGCTCCCAAACGCCACTCAGAGCACGCTTCTCGGATCCTTACGCGAGATCAATGGGCTCAACGACACGCGAACAAGCATGTTGCAAGCCTTTCCTTGTTCCAATTCCGCGCACACACGTATGATGGGAGCTCGTGGGCGAATACCATGATGAAAAAGGCATATGATCGCACCCCAGCCAGGCGCAGAGTGCTTGTCATTTGCAATCCATCGAGCGGCAAGGGTCATGCCAAGCATGTGCTTGAAGATGTGACGAAGCCTATATTTCAAGCGGCGAGATTTGAACTTGACGTTGTTGAAACTACGGCGCGTGGAGATGCATTTCGCTTTTGCACCACGTTGGACGTGTCTCGGTACGATATAATGGCCTTCGTCGGTGGCGATGGCACATTGCACGAAGCCATCAATGGCCTTGCTTCACGCAATGATGCAGTGCGCGCACTTTCCATTCCACTGGTACCTATACCTGCAGGCAGTGGAAATGGGCTGTATGTGAGTTTGCACGGTGCAGAGATTGGATTTTCTGCCCCCGTGGCATGTTTGACCGCGATCAAAGGCGTGCCCTATTCGCATGAATTGATGGCTGTGACGCAGCCGCTGGACGCTTTCGGATCAAGCGGTCGCTGGCCGTATACGCTACGGAAAACAACGAAGGACGGGCGTGGTTACGTGCAATTCTATTCGTTTATGTCACAGGCGATTGGTATTATGGCAGATATCGATATCGGCACAGAAGCATGGCGATTCATTGGTGACATACGCTTTACGTTGGGCTATGTATTTGCTGTTTTGCGAAATAAGGCGTGTCCCATCCATGTTGATGCGTATTTTGGTGCTTCCGGCACGGCGAGTCATGCCTCTATGTACGAATGTGCCCGGCAGACACCTGTTCGCGTGCTGCAGCGAAATGGGCAGCTACAACACTCTAGTGCCATTCTCCACCATGAACAGATGCAGCCTCATACGCACGTGGACACAACAAAGGATCTACCATCTGACGTGCACAGACTCCGTTTTGGGACTGTGCTAGATGAGCTCCCCATGTCGCCCACGCCATTTGATCCCACGTCTGCATCACATCCGCCTTCCGATGTATGGACTCGGATTCATACAGCTGTCTCAACGGTGTATACAGGCAAAGTGCCTTATGTTGCTCGAAGTCTCCTGGCCTTTCCATATACCTGCCCGGACGACGGCCTTTTCGACGTCCTTCTTCAAGAGCAACGCTCATCCGCTATGAAAAAGATTATGGCAACCACGCGTGGGGAGACCGGCGACCACATTTTCGATCATGGGATGGACTACTTCAAAGTCGAGGCACTTCGCATCACGCCATACGAAAATGCCATGAAAAAGAACCCGCGTCATTACATTAGTATTGACGGTGAATCGGTCCCCTATGCACCATTCCAGGTGGAAGTGTCGCCTCTGCATGTTTCGCTACTCACGCTGAGTGATGACGAATGGCTCGCTCCCAGCATTCGTGCACGTACAATCGATTCGCATGCAAGCCGATATGCGTCTACTGCGACTAGCCCCGATTCATAGTATTTCCCTCACCACGTCGATGGCTTTCTTTGAAAGAATCCCAGTATATGGCTTCTTGTCGAGCCTCTTCCTCGGCATCGTCGGCATCGCGTGTGCCATCATTTTCAGCTCGTTCCGCACGTTGCTCCCGTGGCGTTGGCTGCTGGCTCTGGCTATGTCCACCTCCTTGAATGATGTTGCCACGCCGAGCTTCCTCTTCGAGGTATTCGTCAATGCTCATCGTAGGTAATCGGTGCGAGGGGCGAAACACTTCCGAGGCAAGTTGCTCTCGCTTTGTTGCTGTGCTCGAGGCTGTGATTGTAAAAGGGCGAAGTGGACGCCCAGTTTCGCTTAAAAGCGGTCCATTAGCAGCAGATGCCGACGTCCAACCTGTATCAAGACGCCATGTCTTGTCTGGCTCTGCTGAATGACCGTGCGCATCAGTTAGTGAAGGCGGCGGTGCATGGCTCAAAAGTTCCAGTTCCTGCGTCGCAGACTCTATGGTGTTTGCCGTGCGTAGCGCATGCAACACAATCAGTAGACACAAATACCCACGTAATCCTGATACGGGCAGCACTTCATATGATGGCGTAACAACACGGTCCAAGTCTGTACCGTCGTCATCGTCATCGTCATCGCCATCGTCCTCGCCGTCGAGAGCTGGATCACTTGCATTAGTCTTTACTTTTGTCTGAATGACAAGAAGGTCGTAATATACATTGGAGGGGGCTTCTTGAGTGGACTTTGGTGCTTTTCGGGATCGGTATGCGTCCCGAAAAACAGAAAGTTGCGCCTGCACGGCCTTTTCAAGCTTGTATTGTTGGATTTTGTTCATGCGCTTTTCTGCCGGCGAAAGCATTTTTGATGGCGTCTCGGGATTGAGATAGGGCTGCAAGAGCCTTGTCAATGATGTCGGAAGGATCTCATGCTTGCGAGCGATGGTGAAAAACACACGCGCTGCACCGATGGCCGCTTGGACATGACTCTTGCGCAGCTGCAACCTATCAGTCTGGGACTCTATGCGGGCACACGTCTCAAGTTCTGCTTGCAAGCTCGGGATCAGGAAGAGTCGAAGCGACGGTGTGCTTATGTCGTCCTTGAGATCATTCGCACTAATAATCGACATCGCGTCGGCCGCGTGCGCTACCTCGCGCAATAGACGAAGTACGCTGGCATCATCACCGCTCCTTTTCTCAGCGAGCCGGAAGGCCGAATCAAGTTTCAAGGTCAATGATGCGTCAGAGGATTCTGGATCGTCTGCCATCATCTCTTTCTCTCAAGCGAGGCTCGCTGAAACAGCAGCAGCAGCTCTCACTCAATGAGCAAAGCCGTCGCTCTTACTACTACATTTTTTGACATCAGCACGCGATACACATTCATTGTCTTATGTACTTAATCATATTTACTAAACGTTTCTCCCCTCGGCTCGCACGGCCCCATTCATTCACACACTGGTACAGTGAGTCGCCGGCCAACTCTAATCGGACATGCCCCATGACATGTACGCGGATGTAACGAGCCATATGGATCCCGCCACAGTGACTTCAATACTTGAAAAAAACACGAAAAAGACACCCAAGGAAATAATTGGATACTCATACATGAGATAACTGTTTGATAATGTTAGAAAAATTGTATCGCCAAAGATGGCCATACGTACGATGCACCGGATAGGAACGCGTTAAAGCACAATGTTGCATGTTCAATTTGCACGACGCTAGGGTGAAGAGTGACGGGAGTGTATGTGGAATTCTCCAACTGTTTGGAGGTATTCTTTTCGACGTTAGAAGCACGCCCTATTCGTACGATAGCATGAGATGCCAAGTATCCTTTTTGACGAAATACCACAGGTGCATTTGGTGCATGCGATGCATAAGGGACAATACGACGCAGAAGAGGAACTTGTACAAGCTGTGTCGGTGCGACAGGCTCGCTGAAAATAGGTTTCCACAACATACGCCAAAAGCGTGAAGTCCAGCGCACAGCCCATGGGTCAGGCACAAGTAACACAGGCCGAAAAGACTCATATAGGATGATTCCATCACTTGTGACAAGAGACAACTCTACCATAAAGTTTCCCATCTCCTTATTGACTTGGTTCACAGGGATGCGCAGGCCGAGTGACACGTCGTACATCTGATCTTTCTCGAACATGGGCACCCTCGCCTCTTTCTGCCAGACGGGTGGATCAGACGGGAATGAATCAAGCAGAACTTCAGCCCATGGTGCATCATTCCCATATTGAAGCCAAACATCTTTGGACAGTTCGACTTGCGGTACCCAGGCATAGTAGAAACCGCCAAATGCGAGTAACGCCATTGCCATGCAAGTCATGTGCAGTCCACATAGCATGAGAATGCGCAAAATAACTCGATGAGATGTGCGAGAGAGAAATAATGCATATGTGACTCTGTATATGCATAAAAGAGGCCATACAATCGTGACTCGCCATATAGCATAGATGTATGTCTTCACATTCTGCGAGACCAAACCCAGATGTGATGGGGTATCTTTGGAGCGGCGACGCACCCATCCGCGTCGCTTTGCTGCTACTTCATTTGATGGTCTATTCGCGAGTGACACAGGTCGCGGTGTTATTGATCGCCCCATCGCTGGTGAATGAGTTCTGGCGCCAAAGTTTCGACTGGTAGACTCAGCCATTTCAACGCATCACTCGCTCCTCCGCAAATCGGGTGGATGCAGCATCAACATGTGGAGGCGGTTACGCACGCGTACTACAGAGATTTAGTTCACTCGCATGGGGCGAGTTTGTAAGAAGCGCACGTGGCCTCTGCTCGTCAGAGGCAGGTGAGAGGTAGGAGGCTTCTAGTGTGTGTGTGTGTGTAAATTTGTCAGGCGCAAGTTTTGAATAGACTTTGTCAGTCAACGACAACATGGCGACGACGAGCGGCGGTAGTGACTACAGCAGTGCTATGCGCAAGTTCAAGCTTGTATTCCTCGGAGAGCAGTCTGTCGGAAAGACGTCATTGATCACCCGCTTCATGTATGATACGTTCGATGGCAATTATCAAGCGACAATCGGCATTGATTTCTTGTCCAAGACGATGTATCTGGACGACCGTACGGTTCGCCTGCAATTGTGGGATACTGCAGGGCAAGAGAGGTTCCGCTCGCTGATTCCATCATATATCCGTGACTCTTCGGTGGCTATTGTCGTGTATGATGTGACAAATCGTGAGTCGTTCAAGTCGACGTCCAAATGGGTCGAGGACGTGCGAGCGGAACGAGGTAACGAAGTCATCATTGCGCTGGTTGGAAACAAGACAGATTTGAATGATAAGCGGTATGTATGCGTGTGAAGTAATCGTATTTTTCAAGTGTGGCCAGGTCCGACATTGTCCTGAGCACCTGCTAGATTGACATGATCTGGGCCTGCACACTGTTATCATGCATCTTTTTTTTTTTTCCGAACATACTAACGCATGACAGCGAAGTGTCTACCGAGGAAGGCGAACAGCGAGCTAAAGAGTACAATAACGTCATGTTCCTGGAGACGTCCGCCAAGGCAGGGCACAATGTCATGCCGCTATTTAAAAAGATTGCACAGGCTCTTCCTGGAGGAAACGATGCCCAAACAGATGGAGCTGCGCCCCATCACAGTACGTATGATGGCTGCATAAGCATTTCTCTCGGTCGCTTTTCTATACAACTTACACCAATTTTCCAGCCATCGATGTCTCTGCTCAAGCGGAACCTGAGCAGAAATCATCCTCTTGCAGGTGTTAACTACGAGATCCTGGCTCCTATAAGCAGCGCATATGCGTCCGGTAGTAAATGTACAAGTGATTGAATATGGTTGACCACGGGTGCCCAGGCTTCTCGAACTGTTATAGCGCTTGCGCGGATTTGTCGCAGGTGGTGCTTCCTCGGGCGAATGTCAATCAAGATGCCCCCGGGGGCATATGATGCATCAAAGTGGCGCATGCACTCCGTGTACAAAGGCAAGTCATAGAAAATATCCACCAGCTTCTTTATGATTGTTTTTGTACAATGTACAAAAAAGAATGGCACCGCACATGCCAGATAATACAAGAGCACGGTCGGAAACAAGAATACAAGGAGTGTGAAGAGGATTGTGCCGACAAACAGCTGATCCACCTCATGTTCAGCATTGTCAAGACGCCCTCCATGTAGAGCATTGCGCTTCTTACCCCGAAACACGTCGAATAGTTCGCTGGCCGCGTGGAGAAAGAATGCGTAGACATGCACCAAAATGCTGTACAAGACATGGAGGTGCAATGTCGCTACCGTCAGACAATCTGCAACCATGGCGATGGCGGCTGTGATTCCGGCTATGCGGCAAGCCACGATACAAATATGTACAAACCATGGAACATGCGTGTCAAAGAGTCTCTGCAGCATAGAATACCATAAAGTGATGCTTCCCAGCGTATCAGCAAGAAAAAGAGCTAGTTCGTGGTTCAACTTGATTCCAAGGGGCCAATGAACAAGCCAGTTGAAAAGAGCGTCAAACGCTGCTTGGTCCACGTAAGCGAGTAGAGCGCGGAATGTATCAACGAGAACAGTTTGCCATCGTCTCAATATGTGCGCAAGGAGCCACCCTAAACCCAGATCAAGCGCCAATGATAACAGAGCATTCCAGCTCGTTTGTTGTGCATGCTGCATTGCATGCAAGTTGTTGCCCACAGACCCATCCGTTTCGAGGTGGGAACGAAGAGTATTCCAGTGCATTATATATCTTGACCATGCAGTAGCAACTGCGACTCGCTTTTGCACTACGCACCACAGAAGCGAATACTTTGCGCAGCAATGAGGCAAGATAGGCAAGCGCAAGTGAGGCATATAATTGAGAAAACCATGCACACATGCACGGCGTGGAGGTATCGGGGTATGTATGCATGCATAATGGGCCATGTTCATATACTGGATAGCCATGCGCAAACTGCCTGTGCGTTTGGGGGATCGGAGCTCTTCAAAGCGCATGGGATCCATGGCCACAAGACGTTCAAGCCGTGTGAATGATGCTTGCGGATCTGAGACGTGCTGGATGCCAAGAGTGAGAGACTGCCCGTACAGTAATTTTGGTGGTGCATACAAGAAAAAAGACAACTGATGCGGCCTGACAGCCAGCTCGGCGTCGCATAGGATGACATGTGGTCCTAGCTCGTGCAAGCTTGCTAGCACAGGTTGGCGCTGGGTATGGGACGTGGATGATGGCGAATTGTGCTTTGGAATGCACTCTCCCAGCCTACGTGCACTGGGTATGCACGACCAAGGGCGCGGAGCTGTGTGCGAATGAACGCATGCCACGACCACGACAAATTCATTTTTGTGCGACTGCCAAGACCAGCCGTAGATCGAGCCTATATTCTCAGTCTGTGTGATAGGCCAATACACACGCACAATCTGCACGGATTCGTAGGACGCTTTGGAAGCGCAGAATGGATGAGGCCTGTTCGATCGCGACCGCAGCGGGGACGATTGTGTCAAGATGGGAAAGGATGAGGACGACCGCGAGTCTAGTTCGTCGAGAGCTATGCGGCGGCTAGCCAGCACGCGCGCAGTGTAGGAGATACATACTGTTACAACAAAAGCGATAGAAAGGGCACTGAGTGCATGTGTGTCAGTGCCTTGCCACATAAGCGGCGGCGAGGGACGAGAGAATCGAAAAGCAACAGATCTGGTTGGTTCATGGAACCTGGATGAGAGTGGGGGCTGACTGAATTCTGGAGTAGGGGGGGGGTCAGTGGAGGTGCATCACTTTCGCGCGGCGCGGGCGATAGTGAAGGGAGAATTGGCAGTTATAAGGATGAGCAGGAGTGTTCCATCGTACGGGTAGTTCCGCGAGTGCTAAAAAAGCGGGCGCGAAACTGTGTTCCTGACCACGCCAAAGATGAGCACATCATAAAGGGAAGGGGTTGACGAAGGTGGCGACAATGTGGCGTAAGCAAGAGCAGCGCACAACTTTTCCAAAAAGCATGGATTCTTTTGCATACAAACTATAGGCAAAGTCATATACGCGTGGCATACGCAGAGCCGACACACATGCACATGAGTGCGCAGGCATCCATGTACGAGGCAACAGCAAAGAATGATCAGGACGGTACGCAGTCACATCCATACAAATGCGTAGACACACACACACACACACATAGGCAAGAGCTTCATTCATCAGACTTGGGATTCCTGCGGCGTGTCTTTGGGACTCTCGTTCACATCAATGAAGCCGAGACGCAGCGCATTGTCTCCGCCCGCCTTGGCAATATCGCGAGCGCGCTTGGACTCTTGGTGCTGAACCTCGATCATGCGGTTCTGGATCTTGTTTGCACGCTCAAGCTAATCAGAGATGTCAGCACCATGTTTTGCGCGTGCGCCCGTGCATACACACACACATACCTCTTTTGTGTGATGCAAGCATTCTAGGTAGTCGTCTCTTAGAAGCGAGCATTCTGCTGGCGACTCCGACGACACGTAACACTTGCGAAAGTCTTGCCAGAATGAGAAGCAGCGCGATGGACCTCCATTCACACCGAAACCAGACTAAACAATGCACAACGAGTGTCAGCATTCAGCAGGGAAAAAAAAACAAAGACAAAATTCGTGCGCTTAGGTTCAAAGCACATGTTCGTCAACGTACCGCCATCCTTGCGAGCCAAAAACCAAACGGATCAAGCAAACAAAGATGAGCCCAGTTCGAATCAACGAGACTGTTCGACTAACGGACAGGCGCACGCACACTCTGAGGGCATGACAAAAAAGGGCGGCAAGCCAGCTCCGCCCGATGCGCACGACCACGTGATATATTATGTCATCAACACCCGAAGGGGGTTGGGCGGGCAGGTGCCGTGCGAGAAATGGGTGGCGGTGTGGAGGCGCTCACTGCGTGCAGGTGAGGAGCAGAGAGCTGGCGGCTCTACAGCTGGAGCCTCACCGGCGCAGAGCCGGGTGAGAGCAGCGGCTGTGTGGGGCGTGGTGCAAGCGGAAAAGAAAAAAAAAAAAAAGGGAGAGGTGGGCATTGGCACCACGCCCGTGCTTTCTTCCATGCCAACCCTATGTGAAGCGGGTCTGCGAGCATACGACATCGGAACGACCCAACTCCAAGACACACGTGTCGAAGCAGGTAAGCAGGTAAGTAGGCAAGCAGGTAGGCAGGCAAGTTGGAATCATGGTTGTTGTCATCAAGCTAAAGGAAATTGATGCGTAACTAACTACTGTGTCTTGGTAGATGCTTGGTCGCAACGATGACCGAGTTCCTGCACGGATTCGAGCGCAAGCTTAAGAGACTCATAGGCCTCGGTATCAGGGCTGGTGTAGGAGAGCAGGTCACGGAGAAGTAGCACGTAGCGAGGGATGCGCTGAGTTGGCATGATAGCGACATCAACAGCACTAAGCTCCTTTGGCGGCGGATCGTAGGCACGAGACTTTTCGCGCTTATCGGATGACGAGGTCGAAGATGTCGAGTCTAAAGCCGCATCACTGTAAGACAGGTCAGGCCGCGTTGCGCGGCGTGCCGCCTCCACGGTCGGTGCGACAGGGACGCGGCCGAGACGGCCTTTGCTTTTGCTCTTGGACGCCTCTGTCACTCGCATCGCACGCAGAGTCGCGCCGACGACGCCGTGCCAACTGACATGCACTTCTTCGAGTCGTGGGCGAATGGACAGGAAAGAACGCGCGACACCTTCGCTCGTTGGGCTTTCCTCAATACTGTACACAAGGACACGACTGACAGAAATGAGTTTCGGCAGCATGACACGCAGCGTCACAAGATGCGGTGGCACGGTCGTATTGGAGGCCATGCGTTGGGACGTATTTGACGGTTGCGACGGCATAAGTACGTTCGTCTGCATGCGCGTGGACGAGGACGTGCCAGTGCATTTCAGCACGACGATCAACAGACTTTCCAAATGAGCCGCGTAGCTCCGCTCTGTCTGCACGAGCTCTCGGATGAGGAAGAGCGCCTTGACTTCTTTTTTCCAGTCGTCATCGTTCGTGAAAGGGGCGCTAGGCACATTACCTGTGGTGTGCCCGATGCCAAGCTCATTGGGTATCGGCTCCGATACATTCGACTCGTTGCTTTCAGTCTCGTCGACATCGTCGACATCGTCATCGGGTGCATCATGCGCTCCTGCAGGAGCGCATGATGCGCCTGTGCCCAGTTCCATGGTATCTGGTGATGCTGCTGCTGCTGCGCCACCAGCTGAGGCCGACGATGGAATGGCAGCATCTGGTGGCTCGTCGCTGGCTGTCGACGATGCAGACATGGACTCGATACTGTCAATATCCAGGAAACTGGTTGACATGTCGGGCAAACCGGCTGGCATTTCAGGTGACATGCTCATGCGAGCACTGTCGATCTCGGAGCGGCTAGCAGCGGATGATGCACGGGAGCGGACCTTGCGCTCGTCACCGAGGCGTCCAGGACGCTCCGTGCGCTCTGAAAAGCCACGCGTCATGGGGAGCGGCGGTGGTCGGCGTGATGCTGGCGACGGACGCAGATTCGGCATGCTTGCTTTGCGTGATGTACGTGCACGTTCGCGGTGAGCGATGCGTTCCTTGTGCTGCATTCGGACTTGTTCGAGCGCCTCGAGGAACTCGCGGTCATCCGCGATCCGAAGCGTCGGCTGGCTCTTGTTGCGTTTCTTGCGGTACATGGACAAAGGCGTATCGGGCTTGCCCGTTTCCTTGCTGGTCGGCGCCGAGGCTGCCGTGTCTTGCGAACTCACTGGTGCGGATGCAGGTGGCTGGCACGACTCCCCGTCATCCGAACGTTGGGCCGTTTTGGACTTGCGTTCTTTGGCACGCTCACGATCGTCATCCTCGGACTTTGTCGATGATGATGCCACAGGATCGTCGTCATGGACAACCGGCCATGCATCACGAGCATTCTTGCGGATCCGATTCGCCTGCGATGCGACGGCCGTTAGCAAACTCGACGACTTCGAGCCGCGCAACGCACGATGCACACGTGTTGCATCGTCGTCGCCGCTGGCCCGCTGCTCTGCCGGAGCCTCTTCATCAAAGGAATGGTGCCCACTCGGGTGTGCAGACGGGCCAGGTATCGTATCGCCATCGACATTGCGAGGCTTGAAGCGCAAAGGCCACGTTGAGTTCACGGTTGGCGCTGCATTGGACGCCGTGTCAGTGTCGCCTTCCTGAAGGGAGAGTGCCTTGATGTTCAGTGGCTCAAGCATGCGGTTCAATGGGCGGAAGCGCGAGTCAGAATCGAGCAATGTGCCGAGCTCGGTCGCCGGCACCATCGGTGTCGACGGCGGCAAGGAAGACGATGGCGGCGTTGGCGGCGCTGGCGGCGCCGAAGATGAAAGTGCAGGGGCAGAACTGGGCCCATGAGCAGGCGGTGAAGGCGGGGGTGATCCGGAGAGAGACGTGACGGGCAAGGCAGCAGACGACGTCGACGACGGTGCTGCCTCAGCTGACGCTGGCGCATCAGAGGACCCACGTGCAGGTGAGGCGGCTGACGACGCGCGCGGCTGGCCACTTGTGGTTGTCTCAGACGCGTCGCTCGCAGGCGCAACGCGCGCCTCACTTGAGGGCCAAGACGACTTGGGCGACGGCGACGTCGCAAAGTTGGTGCCTGGCTCTTCGACGGGCGTGCCACCATGAGCCACACCAAACGCCTCGCCGGGGTGCAGCGGCATGTCTGGCACAGGCTCGACACGATCAGTGCGATCCGTGGACGCCTGCGAATGCGAGGAACGCGGAATCAGCCGCTGCGACTGGACGTCCAGTGCATCGAGACCCAAGTTGTCCAGCAGTTCCTGGGCGCCCTGTTCATGGAGTGGGGTAGTCATAGCATCCGCATTCCATTCATCCCACCTAGACTCGAGAAACAAGTCGTGCTCAGACGAATGCGAAGCACCAGCCGCGTGTGTCGTCGATTCAGCGTCGTGCAAACCAGTCATCATGGTCGCATCATCGTCGTTATCGTCATGTGGAGCGAGGGCTAAAGCACCGACGTGCGCCTGATCATCAGACATCGAGTCCGGTACATTATGCACGGACTCGGACGTCATCGTTACTGCTGCAGCTGCCGCCGCGGCTGCCGCTTCATCATGAGGCATGCTGATGGCCGTGCCGGGCACGCTGTGTGAGCGCTGGCGCATTCTTTCTGGCGTGTGAGTGCGGGAGTCGAAAAAGTCATTTGCTGTCGCAAGTGACGTCAGTGTGTCGGCGGAAGCCATAGAACGCGACGATGATGCCTTCATTGGACTCTCGTCCGGTGGTGGCGAATTGGGTTGCATCGTCGGAAGCTTGTGCAAAGGTGGAGTGCCCTGCATCCACGGCACATGGTCACTTGAGCGACGGGTCTTGGATGACGACTCTGTCGGTGAGACGAAGGGATGCGGCTGCGGCTGCGGCTGCGGTGGTGCTGACGGTACCAATGCCGAGCCGACAGCGGTAACTGATGCTGCGAGAGGTGGTGCAGCCATGGCCGTAGTCGTCGATGATGCTTTGCGACTCGTAGGGAAAGGAAATGGCGGAGACGGTGGCTTGGTAGCTGTAGCGGACGAAGATGACGGCGATTCTGACGAGCTAGCAGCCAAGAAAGGAGCATGTGATGACGTGTCGGTCGCATATGGCGCAGAATGTACAGGAAGACTGGGTCGGTGAGTCAGTGGCGTTGAGGGCATAAAAGCTGGTGGTGATGAAGGAGCCGTGGCGACTGACGAACTTGAAGGAACCGATGCGTCCCAGAGCAAATGAGAAGGTTGGTGCAACTGGGGCGATGGTAAGGCTGACGATGACTGCATCATTATACCTGCTGGGACGGTGCCAGGGGTGCCTGGCGTACCCGGCGTGACAGGGGTGCCTGTCATGCCTGTCGTTGATGCATGCTTCAATGCAGCTGGCGAATAGCCTGGAGTGGAAGCAAGCGACACGGACGACGCCGACAAGGGAAAGCCCGGTCGTGCAAGAGGAAGCGATCCAGGAGGCGAGGGTGCTGAAGCTAATGAGGAGGCAGCACTGGCGGCAACCGTCGCAGATGATGACGCCGGTGGGAACGAGGGAGGCGGTGCTGCTGGATTCGGCGCCTTGGATTGTGCAGCATCGCGTTTGTTTTTGCGTGACTTGTCCTTACCAAAATTGCGCAAGTTGAGCAGTTTGTGCATGTGATCGATGCTTTTCGTTCGCGCGCGTAGAAACATCGCACGCTTTTCACTCACAGGTGGCTCAGGTGGAAGCGGTGGTGGTGGTGGTGGGGGGGGCGTCGGCACAGCCACCGGCATTTGCGTCATGGCCAGCTTGGGCGAAAGATGATATGGGGATGCCTGCATGGCTTGTTGCGATAGCTGCGGTGATGAAGGCGCCTCGTGCGGCGGCAGTGTTTCGGGTATCTCAGAAATCGGATAGGCACGCCTCGAACGCTGCAACGAGCCATTCCTAGACGGTGGACCATGCACACTGCCGCCACCACTGGATGCAATGGAGCGACTAGATGCGCCACTGTCATTTCGATGAAGTAGCGACGCACCGCCGCCGCCATGATGGTTCATCTCAGCGAATGGGAAGGAGTCAGATCCGAACGAGACCGTCCGCTGTGATTGTTCTTGGGTGTCGCGCCTCCGACGAGACGATGTTTTGGACGATGCTGAATGTTCTTCGACACTTGGCGCATCGCTGTCATCATCGTTCGTGACGCGGCGGAATCCTGGGAACATTTGCCACGCATGGCGCATAGCATGCCGCAGACCGGAAGTCGGCTCACCGGCATCTGACACGCCATCCGTGCTATTCCGTGACGATCCCTGCCAAACAGGTGCTAGAAATGAAGGCACCCCACTACTGCCTCCGCCAGATGCGCTTCCTGCACTGCCGGGCCGCGACGTGTGGTGTGCGGAGCTTGAGTCACTCGCGTTGGAAGCTGTCGTTGCGCCCGCCACCGTCTCAGCCGTGTTTGTACGGCTCATCGATAGCGCTGAAGTTCCTACTGCCCTGCTGGGAACAGGTTCATCGTCTTTGGCAGTCATAGGCAACCAACTTCCTCACTGACACACGCACACAGAGTCTTTTTTTTTTCTTTTTCCCCGTTCGTGCTTGTCGGCGCGGAAAGATGAGCTGTGACTTTCGTGCACAATCCGTGCCGACTAACACCAAGGTCTGTCAAGCGTTTTTCACTCACGGACACTGCTAAGCTGCGTCGCGTCGCAAGTGCTGAGCAGCTGACAGGTCGTCGCGCTTTTGAAGCGCCGCGATGATGATGTCGAAACGCGGAACGTGCCCGATCTTCGCCTTTCCTCTCGCGACACGTGGGTGAAAGCGAGCCTGACTGCTGAGACTGATGTCGCGCAAAGCTCGGTGGGGCCCGACAAGCCACGCGTGTGTGGGTGGGAATTTTCTCGGCCGTGGGTGGTTGGCTAGCTAACTGGCTAGCCGCCTACCTAGTTTGAGTGCCTGCGAAAATGTGACAGGCAACAGAGAGACAAGCTTAGTTGACAAAGTACGCAATGTGTGGAGGGGTTGACTCGGGTGTTGGCTACGCAGCGTAGCAATCGGCGGAGGGGAGAGGGCCCCTTGGCCTGTCTTTTCGCCTGTTTCTGCCGATTGATGCACGCCAAGCGCGCAAGACTTGCGTTCATAGGCTCCATCGCGAAACATGTCCTGTGACGCGTGCTTGGCCGCGACGTGACCTCCACATCAAGTAAGAAAACGGGGGGAATATGTAGGAGACTCGGTGGCCTAATAGGCCCGTATTGGCGGACGCACACCTAGAGCAAGACACGGTGCTTGGAGAAAGTCGGGTGCATGCACAGCTTGGAGGGGATGGGAACAAGTGGAGGATGAGCAAGCCGACGAATCAGCTGAACGGGCGGCACACTAGCAACAGCAGTAGCAGCAGCAGCAGCATTCGTTCTGGAGGCTGGCCAGCCGCGTGTCAGTCTTTGCGCTTGGGCCCCAACGTTGAACTGAGCACGTGGGATCAGTCGTGAATGTCCCTGTCACTCCTTTGCTCTTTGGCTTTGCTATTGCGCCAGCTAATATCCAAGTACAATGTGGGTCTCGAGTGCTCGTGCGGCTGTGCGATGTGCGCAGCGTCAGTGCCGCCAGCCACAACGATGCAGTTTCGTTTTGCCGCAGATTAACACATACAGGAGCTACAAGACTATTGCTACGCCTAACGCGCCCAGCGCCATTGGCCCATACTCGCAAGCCGTAGTACACAACGGCACAGCATTCGTGTCGGGCTGCATTCCCTTCGATCCCAAGAGCATGCAGTGCGTCGAAGGTGGCGTTGAGGCTCAAGCTCAACGTGCTCTAGACAATTTGTTCGCTGTGGTTGAAGCTGCGGGCTCCGATAAGAGTCATGTGCTCAAGACGACCGTGTTTCTCAAAGACATGAACGACTTTGCAAAGGTGAACGTACGTATCTGTTTCTTTCCGTTTCATGCGCTTGTCCCTTTGACTCACACAATGGTTGTAGGCTGTCTATGAAAAAGCCTTTGCTCCCTACAAGCCTGCCCGCTCCGCTGTCGAGGTCGCACGGCTGCCGCGCGATGTCCTAGTTGAGGTCGAATGCATCGCAGCTGTCCGTGAGTGACTAGCACGGTACTAAGAGTTGGCCATTTTGTGTGACGGGGCAAGATGCTGACTCGACGCGCTACCGACAACGTTTGGATATGATGATGGGAGCACAGGATTCTGACCAACAACAGACTTTTCCGCCTCTTGATAGCATCCTATCTAGGCAATATCCAAATATAGCGATGTCCTTCCCCAGGCACTGCCATTCTGCATTGCATCATGTTACTCTTATCACTATAAACATAAGAACCCAACACACAATCACACTCGCAATGCTGCCGAGCGTGAACCAGCCCATGCTTCGTGCCTTTTTCGAAAATACACCCAGCTGCCCGCGAGTCCGCGTCATGAGACTCAAATTCTGATCCAGACGCCCCGTAGCCGACTCAACGAGCACACGGTCACGCTCAAGTGACTCGGAGAAGGCAACTGTGTTGGCTTTCAGCACGCCTGCCATTCGAAGAAGCTCTGAGGAAAGAGCATCTTGCAGTGAACGATCCGACTGCAGCATGGGCGCGCGTGACTCTGTACTATCATTCGTTCGTACACTCTCGAAGGAGAGTCGATCACCAGCTGAGGAGGAGGAGGAGGAGGAGGAGGACAGTGCACCTTCGTTTGCAGATTTGTGCCGCTGCCGGAGCTCTGGCTTGGACGGCAGTGCCGTACTACCTTGTTGAGGAGCTTGATTGGCCGTCCCTGTCGCTGAAATTTCACTAGGTGATTGTGACAGTCTAGCCGTTGACATTTCATCACTGCCCTGATCAGATTCCAAAGGACGTTGATCATCTGAGTCATCGTGCGCTGTTGCGGGGTCCACTCCGGTTGGTGACAGCAGATCGAGCCCTTCATACAGGTAGTCGTTCCAGTACTCATCTGCAGGCGATGCATGCAATGGCTTTTTGGAGATCCCCGTCAAGTTGTCAGCTGCTGAGCATATATGCTGGATGCGCTCGTGCATCTTGGGCGGTGTGATCTGCACGTCGCGAGCCATACGATCGGCATATGCCACAGCAGCGCGAATCTCATGCACGCGCGTTGTATCAGCTACTGCTCCCTGCTGATGCAACGCTGGCATGTTTGCAGCCCGTGCCTGCTCGTCGCGAACCATGCCCTCCACGGCGTCGACAAAACGCTCGAGATGGTACGGCACATGATTCATGTGTGGCAAAGGCTCTTCACGCCCGCGGTAAAATGCATCCAGTGCAGTCGCGGACATGACAAGCAACAGAGTCGAATAAGCGAGAGAAAGAGGGTATGTAAATGGGCGGCAAAGACGAGGCGTCCTACTTTGAGGACGGCGAGGGTCCGTGCTAAGAAACACGATAAATCCTCATCGAGCCATGATACGGCGTGGAGTGTGTTAGTCATACAACGCCTGGCTTGGACTCCACGCACCATGCCTCACCCTCTCCCATCTCTCTCCACTCCTCACCCCTCCTACCAGGACAAGAAAATCTGCGGCGACAATCACGCTGATGACATAAGCGTAATCTCCGGCAGTCTCTGCGCTGGCTTCTCTTTCTTAGATGATCCTACGCTGGTTGTCCACCACACCTGGACTGCTACGTGGAACGTGTCGTCTTGTGACAAATACCCAGCGGACCATGTCATCGTCAATAGAGGCCGTGGCGGCATGCCGTCGTCAAATGGAGGCACAACTCGATAAGCTACGCGCATTGAATGCGAGCGAGGCGCCAGCAGAGGCCGTGGCGCCGGAACTGGCCGCATTGCAATCGCTCAGCACGCAACTCAGTGAGCTGAGCATCTCGAAGAAGAACAAGGGCAAGATCACACTCAAGACACCGAAAGGCACACGCGACTGGGAGCCGCTAGCCATGGCGCTTCGGAAGCATGTGTTTGCGACCATTGAGCGCGTATTCACGACGCACGGTGCTGTGACGATCGACACGCCGGTGTTTGAGCTGAAAGAGATTCTTGCTGGAAAGTACGGCGAGGACAGCAAACTGATCTATGATCTGCAAGACCAGGGCGGTGAACTGTGCAGTCTGCGGTACGATCTAACGGTTCCGTTCGCACGTTTCGTGGCGATGAACCCTACCGAGTACGGCAACATCAAACGCTACCATATTGCGAAGGTGTACCGGCGGGACCAGCCGGCCATGACCAAGGGCCGGTTTCGCGAGTTCTATCAGTGTGATTTTGATATTGCTGGCTCGTACGACGCGATGGTCCCAGATGCTGAGTGCTTGTGTGTGTTGGTCGAGACACTGGACGCATTGGACATTGGCAGCTTCACAGTCAAGGTGAATCACCGCAAGATTCTTGATGCCATCTTTGCTGTGTGCGGTGTGCCTGAAGACAAGATTCGCACGATCTCCAGTGCTGTGGATAAACTCGACAAGAGTCCATGGGCCGATGTGAAGCATGAAATGGTCGAAGAAAAGGGTCTTGAAGAAAGTGTCGCCGACCAAATTGGCACCTATGTTCAGCAGCGTGGTGGTCGTGAGCTGATTGCTAAGCTGCAAGGCGATGCCGTCTTGACGCAGAATGAGCGAGCTGTCGAAGGCCTGGCCGAGATGGAACTTCTCTACCAGTATCTAGACGTGTACGGCGTGACGGACCGCCTGTCATTTGATTTGAGTCTCGCACGAGGCCTTGACTACTACACGGGTGTGATCTACGAGGCTGTGACCGCCCTCAGTGCCCCACCCAGCATGACTGCCGCATCATCGGACAACAAGGATGGGAGTGAGAAAACGAAGAAAAAGAACGTGGCCGCAGAGAACGGCGAGTTGGACGAAAGCACGGTCGGTGTGGGCTCTATTGCTGCCGGTGGTCGCTATGACCACCTCGTTGGCATGTTTAGCGGCTCGAAGCGACCCGACGCCGTGCCGTGTGTCGGTGTCTCGATCGGCGTCGAGCGAGTCTTTTCGATTTTAATGCAGCGCATCCAAGAAATGCAGGCTCGTGGTGAGCGTTCATCTGTCCGTCAAAAAGAGGTCGAAGCGTTTGTACTGAGCATGGGAGACGGCCTTCTGCTGGAGCGCATGCGGGTTTGCAAGATGCTATGGGACGCAGGTATCAAGGCGGAGTTCCTTCCAAAGAAGAAGCCCAAGTTGCAGCAGCAGTTTGCTGTTGTGGATAAAGAGCAGATTCCTTTTGCTGTCTTGCTCGCTCCTGGCGAATGGGCAAACGGCACTGTGCGAGTCAAGCAGCAGATCGGCAAGGGCGAGGCTGGCGATGACAAAGGCACCGAAGTGCCTCTAACCGAACTCGCTTCGTTCATTCGCAGCAAGCTAGCCACATCTGCGTAGATAGAGGTCCATGCAGAGCACGGCATAGCGAGGTGGAATTGATCATGGCAAGGCGGGGAAGCTGCCAAGCATGCGACGCCTCACTCTGCACACAGACGTATGCATCTGAAGCATTTCAAATGCCGTGCGACAAGGCCCTAGTTCAGGAACCCTTTGATGGCGCCGCCGACATTCGCGACGTCAATGAGGAAACTGTCATGTCCGTGGGGTGCGTCAATTTCATAGTACATGACGGACGGATTTCCATTCATCCGGATACATTCGGCCAATTCACGTTGCTGCTCCACGGGGAACAGGATATCACTTTGTACACCAAGAATCAGGATCGGCACATCCCTTAGACGATGGAGACCTCGCGCAAGGGAAGGCACATACGCATGTGCGCCTGGATGCGAGATTGTTGTAATGTGCTGTCTGCGTCTGGGGGTATGCTCGTGCACATGCTCCACTGGCTCAATCGGAAGGTGGCCATCGTCACCGTGCGCGTCGAAGCGCCTGGCGCCTAGCTCTGCTAGGGCCTCGTACGTCATGTCAAACAGATCCATCGTCTTGGAGATGTAAATCAGCGAATTCGCGTCGTACTTGAGGCAGAACTGCTCACCCTGGTGATCCAAGTACGTCTCGACCAAAAAGTCTGGACACAGTGCTGGCGCTTGCTGAGCTGGCGAGGAAGCATCGCGCAGCAAACTCCGGCGCTCACGTCCGAAACGCTGCTCCCACTCCGGTCCGGAACGGTAGGTGATCGTAGCGATTTGGCGCGCTAGTTTCATGCCCTTATGCGGTGGTACATTGTCAGGCCCGTAGTAAAAGCCCCGCTTCCAATTTTCGTCCGCCATAAGCACGCTGCGCTGGGCAAAGCGCAGTGCAATACCTGACGGCGAGCTGCGAGCACATCCGCTAATGCTCACGACTCGTTCCACCCGATCACGGAACAAATGAGCTGCTGCGATGCTCTGCATTCCACCCATGCTAGAGCCAATACTCGCGTACAGTTTTTCTATGCCTAGGTGATCCAGCAAGCAAAATTGGGCGCGAACCATATCAAATATGCTCAGAACGGGAAAGCGTGTCGCATACGGGGCGCCTGTGGGATCTAGCGGATGTGGACTGGATGGACCTGTGCTCCCATAGCACGAGCCCAGCACGTTCGTGCAAATGACAAAAAACCGGTTGGTATCGAGTGTTTTGCCCGGCCCGATGAATTCTTCCCACCACCCTTTGCTGGTATTGGACGGCGAACTTGCCGCATGTGAGCTGGCGGACAAACCAGTATGAAGCAGGATGGCATTACTCTGATCAGCATTCAATGTACCCCAGGTTTCGTACGCGATCTGAAATGACGGGAGCACGTTTCCATAATCCAGGGGAAAGGGTTTATCATGGACGTATGTATGATAACCGGACACAACGTTGGTGTATGACGGCTCTGGCCCGAGTATGTCATTCTCCTCAACTTTGGATGTTTCGTCCGAGACTCGCTTTCCACCTCCCTGCTGCATTTGACGTTGCCGGATTTCATGTTGATCCACGCAAGGGAGCGGCGTGGCATCAATGGACGGCAGTGCCCCCTTCGAGTTCGATGCAAACGCTCTGGATACGCCTCTCTGGATGGGCGCACTCCATGCACGAGAGCATGGCCGACACAGCGAACGTACAAGCCCACGCGCTATCAACATGAATGACTAGTTCTTCAAGTCACAAAGTACTCCAGACGTAGATGTAAAACAGGACAGACGGCTATGAAACGAACCGCTCGTCGCACTTTGGGACGGGTAGATCCACTACCGCTTCTCCAAACGATGCACGCCTCGAGTTCACCGTGATTCGTCCATCTGCCGCCTCTTCTCTCGTCATCCATGCTTTCACGCACGCCTTGCCGAGCCGCTCATGACGTGATCGGACGCAAGGGCAGACGTGCACGTGATACGGATGTCCACCCACACGCAGACGACCCCGTAGGATCGTGCCCGCACTCTGTTGCGTCGTAATGTGGAGATATATCCAAGTTCATCAAGCGACAACCTGATGACAAAAATTCGATATCCAGGAACCATGTGAGAAATTCCTTGTTCCATCATATAACAGAGTCAAGCCATGGTGCAGTAGGTGATGCCAATCAACATCGAGTGTCTTTGCACGCTCACTGACATAATCAAGTGCAGATGCTGCGAGAGTCTCAAACCAGATCAGTACCAAGGCCCAGTTTTACGAGCATGTTGAGCTTCAAATTGCTGGTCTGCTAGATGGCCAGCGCAACTGGGTTACGAATCTCGCGAATGTCAGCTCAGTTTTATACAGCTCTATGAATCGCTTTCATGCATGGAGTAACAAGCGCATCAATTGGGCAGGCTTTTACCTTCTAGCGCCGTTGTTTCCCGGCATATTAGACTCATCATCAGGACCCACACTTTGGCTCGGTCCATTTTGTGGACTACCCGCATGCCAGTCTATTCCATCCATTCCAGGTCGCGGTGTGTGTGCTGATGGGAGTGCTAAATGGCCACCAACCGTTGTGTGTGTGCCTCATACAGACGCCTACCGTACGTTGTCATCCTCACTCTGCCGTTCTCAACCATGTTCTTCACCCATACATTGATTCTTTTTTAATCTTATTTCGACTTGACTGACACGAGTATGAATACAGCTGGTCACATTGCATGTGACTCTGTTTCTCAGTCGGAAATTGTTGTTCCCATCGTTGTACCGCGCACGCGCTTGTCATCTATGCATCAGGCCGCAATTCGTGGCGAAGGCCCCGAGCCTTATGTGCGTGCATGGGCGGGGCGTGGTACAGAGAATGACCACGTCATTGTGGGTGTGCTTGATATCGACTGTGAGTCACCGAACGGCTTTGATACCGAGGATGCAAGAGCGTTACAAAATATCGTGCATCGTATCACTGAAGCCTGTGACTGGTGCATCGATTAAGCGTCTCTTGACAACACCATATACGAATGTGCGAACAATCACAGCTTGTTATATATTGTTTCACTGTAGACCATTCTTCACGAGATCTGGCTAAGTGACCTTAGCGCTGGTATGGGATTTTTACTGAATTTCTTCATGACATCGACTCACATCCAAGTGGCACATGAAATCGCGCATCATGCATGGATCAATGACAGCGATAATAAAAATGCTACGGCTTCCTAGGTCTGCGAAAACATAGGTATTCTAATGTAGAGTTGATCTTCCAATCACGCGTGGGTGAAAGGAATCGAACTGAACAGATATACAATCGCTCCATACCATAGCCTGACACTTGAGAGTCAAGGACCAATGAATGTGGAGGGAAAGCTCCACCTATGATCAGGGAGCTTGACTGCGGCTGTCACATTACACACACATTGACCGAGTCTGACAAAAGAAATTGCAGTTCTAATGTGGTGATAAGGGGAACTGGCAAGCCATGTGCCGATAATTTCACTGCCTAAAATTAGCTTCAAGGTATTCGTGCAACAGGAGGCAAAAAAACCCAAAGACTGGGAAAAATTCTTTGTGAAACACTTTGTAACGTGTGGAAGTGGCGTAGCTTCTTAAAACACTGGAAATTTCTTTCTCCAGCTTGAAACTGTCTTACGCTTCGGCACAACGACTACTAACACCTTGGCCCTTCTTCCAGCACTCTGACAAGCATTGTGTCCGGAAGAATTGGAGCATAGTGCTTACCTAGCTACCCGGAAGTTCAGCAGGATTCAACTAACCAACACTGTAAAGCACCGCTAAGCTGAAGGCGTGTGCTTTCCACTCACTCCCCTATCGTCCTCTATGAGTTCCTATTCAGCCAATTCCGTGCATGCGGAGAATGGTAGTTCCACCACTACATGTACGTATCCTACGTCTGTTCCACCCCTGGGGATGCACGCACATCGGAGTCCGATAGGCTCGCCATCCTATGGCTCAGAAACTGGCCGGATTGTACTTCATGGCAACGGCCGCGCAGGTTCCGAGGTTCGGAATGTGCCGTTCTCCAACCGTTCCCGTATGTCTGTGACACCAAACGATGGTTTCTCCAGGTCGTTTGGGGCTGCAGGTGAAGCTCTTTCCTTGGCCGATGGAATTCACCCGTTGTCTGGCACGAAACGTGTTGTGGATGTTCCTTCTTCGGCCTCTTCGGATTTGGACGTGAAGTCTGCGAATGGTCCTAACATGCGTATGAGTTATACCTTGCCGGCTGGCTCGACTGGTTCGATGGAAGCAGCTGCACAGCAGTACGGATTGTCGCGGGGTCCCCTTCATGCCCACCAAGAGCACCAGCGCAGACATGGCACGGAAGAATCGCCACCACCGCCACCACCCCTCATGTTGCCCACGTCTTCATCGCCTTCTTCATCGGTAAATGATGATTCAGAGACCAAAGATATGTCGCATCAAACCATTCATAAGTGCGAAAGCTGCTCGAAGGTATATCGTCATCCGAGTTGTCTAATCAAGCACCGTTGGGAGCATACTATGTATTGGAAAGAAGCGTCCAAGTTCTTGATGAGCAAACATCAACAAGTACAGCTCTTGGAAGCAGCGGCTATTCTTGTGGGCATGGACTCAAATGCTCGATCTCTTCCAGAAGAAAAGGCGTTGTGGCCTGCAGCTGTGAGTCCCCCATCGTCTGGATTGCTCGGCTGTGAACACTTCAACTTTGACACTTTGATGGCGTCGAAAGCCCGCAACGCCGCGATGCAAAATGACCCTGCTGCTGCTGCTCGTATGCCTTATGGTACGTCAGCGCCACCGGGTCCCTCTGTGGCCGACATGACAATGCGTGCTCGCTCTATGGACGGATTGCATGCGCCCTCTAAAAAGCCCATGTACCATCCACCTACTCCTGTTGCGGTGGATGAACCTGCAGAAGAAGGCGATGAGTCTGGTGAACTCAATCTGAGCATGCGAGAGGACTCGTATGGTCTGCACTCGGGTGGTGACGTCATGGCTGACATGGATATGGATGCCGACGAGTAAATGGTCTATGTGAAAAAGGGGGAGGCCTTCGTGATGATGAAAAAAAAAATAAAAATAAAAAACCAAAAATCCAAGCCGAAAGTGTGTGCATGGTGTGATGAGGGGGTATAAAAAATTGTGCACGTTCATTCGTAGTCTTGTGTGACTGCCATTGATCAGCACGCTTTGACACCCCTACGCCCTCGGACCCCTACATTCTCTGACGCTTGGATCTATAGCAGTTTTTTTTGTACAAAGATGGGTTTTCTTCACCGGATGAGCCGCTTATACTGGTTATGCCGTCGTGCATGATGAATCAAACCTGTCGACAGCTGCCAAGTATAACAGTGTCTTGGCGCTCCACACCTTTTCGGCCGAGTATGCTGATGTCCGTGTCACATGAGGCTTACCACACGCATGCGTGCAGGGGCGGAAAGTTGGTAGTGGTGCGCTCAGGCGCATACCCGTTGTTGAGGAGTTCGGCTGGGTTTTGTGTATACCCTCGGACTTGACCCTGACTCATTGTGCCATGCGAGCGAATGCCAATGCGCAGGGCAGCAACACAGGAGCAGATCCATTTAGCAGCCTGTCGCCAGAGCACGAGAAGGTGCTGAAAGATTTATGGGCTCGGCTCTTGGATGTATTTGCCCAGAACCATGAGCGATCAGATGAGCTCGATCGACTAGGAGGGCCACACACCGCTCGCACAGGACAAGAGCTCACAGCGAATTCAGATTCTAAAGATTCGGGGAAAAAACACAAGGAATCCCAGCAAGTCCAAGAATATCGGGCTGTGAATGACGCTATCCGCAAATATGGTGGCAGACATCTACAGCAGATGTTTTGGCGCACGGTCATGATGGATGCACCGGATCACTTGATGCTCCGGTTCTTACGTGCGCGTGACTTTAATGTCAACAGCGCGCTTGGAATGCTTGTAGGAGCACTGCAGTTTCGGCTGGATGTGGGTGTGGATGAGCTCATCTATCAGGGTGAGCTCGGACTCCGGAATGTCAAAGGGTTCCTGGAACAGTACCGTAACCGCATCTCATACATTGAGGGAAGCACAGACCAGCACGAGATGCCGATTTACTTTATTCATGTGGCGCGCCATTTTACGAATGCGCAGCCGCTCGAAACGATGCAGAAGTTCTTGATTCTTGCCTTGGAGAATACACGCCTTTTGTGCACGCCACCGATGGAGAAGTCGATCCTTGTGTTTGATTTGCAAGGATTCGGCTTGAAGAATGCCGACTGGCACACAATTTTTTTCATTGTCAAATGTCTTGAGGCGTATTATCCAGAGTCCATTCAGCGTCTGTACATTCATTGTGCACCCTGGATTTTCCGTGGCATTTGGTCCGCGCTGCAACCCATGTTGAACGCCAATGTACAGTCAAAGATCAAATTTACCACCAGTGTGAAGGAGCTAGAAGAAACGATCCCTCGTTCACACCTTCGAGCTGATATGGGTGGCACCATTCAGGGCGAATGGAAGTACGTTGAGCCAGAGGAGAATGAGAATGACCTTCTGAAAGACACCGAGACACGGGATCTCATCCAAAAAGAGTTTATATGCTTGCAAGACAAGTTTGAAGAAGCAACGCGCCACTGGTTGGACGGTGCTCCGGACGCATCTCACAGACGCGACGTGTTGACGAGACAGTTGCGTCTCAAATACTACCAACTTGCCCCATACGTTCGTGCTAGGACCGTGTATCATCGGAAGGGTATCTTGCGCAATGACTTCCTCATTCACTGGGAATATCCCCAAATGAACGGCAACATTTTGACACAGGATGTCAATGTGAGCGACAATGTGCCCGCATTGATCCAATGGCTTCGCGAGCACAACGAAGATACGCTTGAGAACTCGATCGGCGGTACGAAGAGTCCCTGTGCTGTCGCTCCACACTCATATTCAGCACTAGATGCCGTACATGCGATCAAGGCCGATCAAGGCGCAGGAGAACATGCTCGTACTGCCGAGAACAGCGCTTCGGCCAGTGATGGCAATCGCAAAGATTCTCAAAACGATGCAACAGCAAGTGCCTCATCAGCTGGTGCAGCTGGTGCAGCTGGTATGGGCAACTTGGCTCACAATGAAGCCGATACTCCAGACTCCCACAAGAGAAACTCTATTCACCGCAAGCCGGTGCCCGCGATGAACCAAGGCACAGAAGAAACGACGTCATCAGAGCATGCACAATCCCACACGGTGCAGTCTCCGTACCAGCCGCTGGATGGATCACGTGGCCAGACTGGCCTCCACGATGACGTACGGCAGTTGAACCTGAATGCGGAACACGAAGTAGGCGTGCAGAGCGCTTCAGACGAGGCTTCCTCTGTGCCTTTGGCGAAGCGAAACGATCTTGAGCCAAGCGATGCTTCAGCTAGTCGCGAATCTGTCGCCAGTAGTCCCACAGGAGCCGGAGCGATGGCTGCTACTGCTAAAGTGGCAGCTGCCGCCACAGTTGGAGCAGCAGCGGGTGCAACAACAGCTGGAGCAGGTGCAGCTGCTGTGGCTGGGGCAAGTCTCGTTGCAGGCACTCTTGGAGCTGTTGGCACAGTTGGAACCACGGGGGCTGCGATGTGGAGAGACAACAATCAAGCTGTCTGAAGTGCCAGAGGATTCAAAGCTTCATACCAATGGTGTTGACCGCTCGTACGAGGGTCAGGATGGAAAGCAACGTAATGAAGGAATGGAGGCCGCAGATGGGGTTGAGGATGAGGATGAGAATGACGCTTGGAATAGCCAGGACGGCGACGGTGATGCTTCGAGCTCAACGGATGCACAAGGCGGACATCGAAATAGTGCGACGATTGCGCATGATTTCGATATGGACGATGACGAAAAGTCACTTTGGAACGAAGACAAGAACTTCTCACATGCTAACGATGCCATCGTCGCACCTACCTACACCAATGTCAAGGTAACTCGGTCTATGTGTATGCAAAACGATGAAGAACTACGTTCGGATCTCGAGGTCGCACATGAAGCCATGCAGCTGTTCCTCAACTCACAAATGTTGGAGGCGGAAGAGCTGTGCGTTGAGGGAGCAGAGTCCCGCTTGTATCGGTCTGCGTGCATGTCGATGATCAATGTAATCAAAAGCCTCATGACGTTTGAGCCCGATGACTTGCGCATTGCCATCAAATGCTGCAAACATACTAAGAGTGTTGCAGGCGTTCTTCGCAAGGGGCACGGGAAGCTATCGTCCCTGCTACCTGGCAAGAGCACACTGAATGACATGTCAAGGCTTCAGCAACATGCTGAACTTGTGTATGCGGAATCCCTGCTGCACAAGTCCATTCTGAGCATCTTGTACACAGGCGACACTGTGGGCCTTATCCGCGAGGCAATGAGTCTCCGCACGGCCTACTTGTGTCTTCGCAACCTGCTAAAGATGGTCGAAGCAGGCGACGAAGTTGTGGATGAGGCAAACCGCACAGGTCAATCACCGACAAAGTCGATCGACGAGGATCTTCGCTCAGGCGTGTTCTTCAACATGGGCTGCTGTATGCTGGTCCTTTCGGTCCTCGAGCCGCGCTTGCTCAAGTTCATGGAAGGCGTCGACTTTGAGAACAGCCGACCAAAGGCGTTGGCGTTTTTCGAGCGCGCAGGAGGCTGGACGCGTGTGCAGAGCGAGCCGCGCATCCCAGTGACGCAAGAAGGTTTCCGCCGACCATTGTGTGACCTAGCGATTCTCGTCTACCATTTGGTCATTCCGTCGAGCGTGCCACTGCCGGACGTGGACTTGGTGATGGCAGATCATGTCCTGACTTGGAACCAGCGCCGCTTTCCGCAAGGTGTATTTTACCTATTCTTTTCGTCGCTGATGTATGTATCACAGGCTTTGCCTGACAAGGCGATTGACTGCTTCCGCCTTGCGATCGATTCTCAGAAGGCGTATAAGCAATTGCATCATCTCTGTTACTGGCGCCTCGCGCTTGCATATCTATCTCTTTGCGAGTACAAGAAAGCCTCAGAATGCTTCGACCTTCTAGTGCGAGAATCCAATTGGTCCAAGGCCATCTGCCAGTACGGCAAGGCAGCTGTCTTGTTTGAAGAGTCGTCCGACAACCACATGCAGGCTGAGTCTATGATGCGGACAGTACCGAGCTTTGCCCGAAAGATGGCTGGCCGTCACTTGCCATTTGAGCGTTTTGTTACTCTTCGAGCCGAAAGATTCTCGCAGCAGACGCCGCTAGGCCTGCCAGCGATGGAATTCGCATACTTGTGGCATTGTCTGGCTCAGACGCCCGTCTTCATCCTGCTCGATGAGCAGTTGAAGCGCATTGATCACGTGCTACGTGCGCTTCAGCGGTTCGAGTCGCCGGACTCGTTCCCTGGCGGAGCTACCGCGTTCTACTCCCAGTTCTGCTTGGCTCACTTCCTACGTGGTGTGGCATTCCGATACGTCGCATTCCCCAAGAAGCACACGGTCCTGCAGTATCCGCTGAACGACAGGCCTGATGTCGCAAAGGCTGCAGTCGAGGCCGTGACATCCCTATCCAAGGTGTGTGAGAATGGCATGCGTCTCGATGCTGTGGACCGCTATCTAGTGTACTTCGCCCACTACGAGCTCGGTAATCTATACTGTGCGAAAGGCGATTTTGCCCAGGCCCGCTTCGAATTTGAGCTAATTTTGTCGCACAAGGCCCTTGTGCCTCAGACGCGTCCTCTTAAGAGTGACAAGGCCTCATACCTTTTGAGCCACGCATGTCAAATGCGCGCGAATATTGCGATGGAGTCGATGCAGCACATGCTGAGCCAATTTGGACCGCCGCGATCTTCTGGCCTTAGGTCCAGCGCGCCGTCTGGTGCTGCCCCGCCCATAACAACGACAACCATGCCCACAGCCGGTGCTGCCACAGCGGAGAATATCGCAATGCAGATGCCGTTCGCTCAGTCGACAACCCAAAGACAGTTCACGCCCACTACTCACTACAATGACATCCCGGAACACTTTACTCGATCAAGCAGTCGCAGCCGGGACATTAGTCGCCGTGCACGCCAAAGCCGCTTTTTGTCTTAGGCTTACACGTGGAGATATGTTAATAAAGCCCTAAAGTATATAGTAAGAGTCGGTGATCCATTTCGACATGACGCACACGCACACTGAAATACGTCATCAATGCATGCTGCCACAATCGATTTTCATCGCGACACAAAGGGAGATCGGGTGACCACGAAATCACGACCAGGTTGAAGCCCTTGGTCTAGCACCACACTGGCTGCGGAACAGAATCGTACGATCACCCTACCATACACCTATCACACTAAACGCACATATCCACGCTGAAAACGCGTTCGCACGACGTATGGAGGAGAGCGGCTCCATGCGGATGTATTTACTTTCCACGATGTAATGCGAATGTTGCCTTGATCTCTTTTCCCGCACGCAGATCATCCATACACAGACCATCGACTCGGCGACCTTCTGAGGCTATTTCTACAACTTGCTCCAAAAGATCTTTCGGAACACTCACGACCCCGTCCAAATCCGCCAGCAAGATGTCACCAGGTTGTACTGTGACAGGTGGGAAAGCCGGCTTGCCAGTCTCATCCAATGGCACGGTGGGATCAGAAATAGTCAGGGGCACCTGCAGTTCACTAGGTCGCGTGAATGGCGACTGGCCCAGGACCGAATGGCCTCGCGCAAAGACTGGAAACCCATTGTCCCGGTGCTCAGACAGGTCACGACACCGACCATCAAGCACGACGCCCAACACGCCCACATTCTGCGCACGCGCCGTCATAAGACCGCCCCAAACGGCCGACCTTGTAGATGATGGGGATGAAATGAGCATCACAGAGTCTGGTTCAGCAGCATCGACAAAGTGCTTGGGCGGCTTGGGTGCAGTCACATCACTTTGGGGGACCATCTAGTGTGTGAGACGAGTCTCTTGGTTCAAAGCAGAGCAACACACCTTTACCGTGAATGCCGGGCCACACACCTTGGTAGAACCATCAATATGACGGGGAGAAAACATCTCGATGCCCGGCAGGTAGCCACCGTGTGGCAGCTTTAGTTTGATGAGTGCATCAGCTACCTTTAGATATGTTAAATTGCATGTCCCTCTACATTATCAACAAACCTCGCAGGAGCTAAATGAGCCCAGCTTCGATAAAATTGATGCGCCACTGATCATAGAGAAGCAGAAATCGGTATGGAGGTTGTGTATTCAAGGATGAGTATGGTGTGGGTTGAGTGGGGAAATGATAAGGGCTGGGGGGAAGCCTGTTGACAGCGTCAACTCCACATAGTCAACGGCGCGACGCCACGACCGATCTAGACTCGTTCGTACGATATACCTGTCCAGAACATGTCTATGGTACGTCTCGGTGAGAGTGGCATGTCTAGTAGTGCATCAGCTTATATTTTTTTACTAGTTCGGCCATATTGAGAATGGACTGGCTGGTTTAGGTCGCCCGGCACGATGGGGTGGCTTGAGCGACTTTATGAGCGGATTTGACCGTCGCTTTCCTGCGCCCCTTGATGCTTACGAGGATTACTTTAAAGCTTATCATATGTCGCGCTTTCCTGGACGTGAGCGGAAAGATGTTAGCTATGGTGGAAAGGTGATCATGCCGCCGTCTGCTCTGTCTACCATCACAGACCTTGAGCTAGAGTCGCCATGGACTTTTGCATTTCGAGGTACTGGCCGCTCGCGGTCACAACGAACTCATGCTGGTGTCGTCGAGTTTATTGCCGAAGAAGGCAAGGTTTATCTTCCATCCTGGGTAAGTTATCGAATCGTCGCGTTTGCGCTCGCCCGCTGTCTACTGACAACCGTCGACACAGATGATGCGCTCGCTTGACCTAGAAGATGGTGATCCCATCCATGTTCAGGGCACGCGCCTTCCTAAAGGGAAGTTTGTCAAGCTTCAGCCACAAACGGTCGATTTTCTCGAAATTAGCGATCCGAAAGCTGTGCTTGAGCAGGCCTTGCGGAACTACCCCACGCTCACTAAAGGTGATATCATTGAAATCAGCTACAATTGCTTGACGTTTGAGATCTTGATTATGGAAGTGCAGCCGGATGCAGAAGGCATCACGATCATCGAGACTGACTTGGAAGTTGACTTTGCACCGCCAAAAGGATATGTGGAACCTACGCCGCAGCCACGCGCACCTCCGCCAACGATGGCCTCCAAACTACGTATCGATCAAGACAAGCACGATATCATCTTACCTGCGCATGGGTCTGTCGGGCGTAGTTTGGCAAATGCTTCCTCAAAGACTGTTGGTGTCGCTACTAAAGAAACTAGCAGTGTGGCTGCACCCTTCAAAGGCATGGGACAGACGCTTAGCGGTAAAAAAACGAAAGGAAAAAAAGATAAGCCGATCACTCCGCTTGAACCAGGCAGTCGTATTCAAGACACAAGGTACGTTCGCACTCTCTTGCTCCCGTTCGACATTGGATCATGTATACTCACGACATCCAAGTCGACCGGCTGTGGTCACGAATGACACACTTTTGGAAGAAAAACGGGTGCCTGCTGCGTTAAACTTGCCATATGGCCATCTCTTCTTCGGCTATGCTGTCGATCGTCTTCGTGTGCCAGTTAGTCGGAACCATCAGGAAGAGGAGCCAAATGAGTCGCCCGCCGGCACGACGGCCTTCCAAGGTCAAGGACATACTCTCTGGTCTCGCCCCAGCGCCGACACCTCCACCCAGCCAGACGTGATAGAAATCGACTCAGACTAGCGCGTGGGTGGCAGTAGTCACTGATAAAAGATATTTGCACATATACCCTCATTGCGAGCCCCGAGAGTCGAGATTGGGTGGTGTGGGTGGAATAGAGAAAAAGGACGTGAGATCGAACGTGTCAGTTACGCCTCCGCTGACGCGTTCAAGTAGGTGTCTTGTGTGACAACGACGGCGGCGACGTCGACGGCAGCGAACAGCGAGACGAAGAGGAACCCCATCCGTTATCTGCATCTACATCTAATTTGACTGAAAGACCGTCTTAGTACCAATGTCGGCTCCAGTCGCCAGTAGGCAGTCGCAGCCAGGCTTCCGTGCCTTCAAAAATAGTGACAAGCCAGATGAAGTGAGGCGTTCTAACTTGTCGGCAGCCAAGGCTGTAAGTGACGCAATTCGAACATCTCTCGGACCGAAGGGTATGGACAAGATGGTATGTATGAGTCTGCACGCATGCGATCCGTACAATACACTAACATACCAGATCCAAACGTCGTCGGGAGAAGTGGTGATTACGAACGACGGTGCGACGATCCTGAAACACATGGCGGTTGTGCATCCTGCCGCACGCATGCTTGTTGATCTTTCTCAAGCGCAGGATGTCGAGGCTGGTGATGGAACAACATCAGTTGTTGTCATCGCTGGCAGTCTTCTCGGTGCAGCAGAGAAGCTCTTGACGAAAGGCATACACCCAACAGTCATCGCAGAATCATTCCAGCATGCTGCTACCAAGGCCGTCGAGTATCTGAACGAGATCTCGACCCCAGTGAATTTGAATGACCGCGACAGTCTATTGCGAGCAGCAACGACATCCCTGAGCTCCAAAGTTGTCTCGCAGTACTCGTCTGTTTTGGCACCTATCGCCGTCGACAGCGTGCTACGTATCGTGGATCCGAAAAAGGGAGAAGGTGAGTCGGTCGACCTTCGCGATATCCGCATTGTGAAGAAGGTGGGTGGCACGATCGATGACACAGAGCTAGTCGACGGTCTCGTGCTGGAGCAAAATGTGGTCACGTCAAGTGGCGGCCCATCGCGCGTAGAAAAGGCCAAGATCGCAGTGTGCCAATTCCAGCTAAGCAGCCCGAAACCTGACATGGACAATCAAATTGTTGTCAACGACTACCGACAAATGGACAAAATCCTGAAGGAAGAGCGACAGTACCTGCTAAATATGTGCAAGAAGATCAAAAAGACAGGTTGCAACGTGCTTTTAATGCAAAAGAGCATTCTGCGTGATGCTGTGAATGAGCTTGCGCTGCATTTCCTCGCGAAGCTCAAGATTATGGTCATCAAGGACATTGAGCGTGATGAAATCGAGTTCCTTTGCAAGTCTCTGGGCACGAGCCCCATCACAGACATTGAGGCATTTACAGAGGATAAACTTGCAAGCGCAGATCTTGTTGATGAAGTCCAACACAGTGGCGCTCGTGTGGTAAAGGTGTCCAAGATCAAAAATCCGGGTCGCACTGTCAGTGTGCTGTGCACAGGCTCGAATTCGCTTGTCCTCGAAGAAAGCGAGCGTAGTCTTCATGATGCACTGTGTGTCGTTCGCTGTTTAGTGAAGAAACGCGCTCTGATCGCGGGTGGTGGTGCGCCTGAAGTGCATATGTCGCGCATGTTGGCACAGCATGCGCAAACGCTCCAGAGCTTGGAGGCATATAGTTTCCAGGCTTTTGCGGAGGCGCTCGAAGTGATCCCTACGACGCTGGCGGAAAATGCAGGGTTGAATCCCATCACCATTGTGACGGAGCTGCGTAATCGTCATGCCATGGGGGAAAAGACAGCAGGTATCAACGTGCGTAAGGGTATGATTACAAACATTCTCGAAGAAAATGTGCTGCAGCCACTCTTGGTGTCCACAAGTGCTCTAGAGCTTGCCACAGAGACCGTCGCGTTACTGCTGCGCATTGATGACTATCACCTTTCTCGCTGAGCGAGTGTAAGATTCTGTCGCGTTTCGAATGTGTGTGTGTGTGTGTGTGTCACTGTGTGTCACTGTTGGTGGAGCCATACCGCACGCTACTTTCTCACTCCCACCATGGCAAAAGCGACTGCAGAGTACAGCCATTCAAGTAGGTGATCCTGTCACGACCCGGCCGAACCAAGCGTTGACAAATCATAATTGCGATCATACCACTATTGGGGCATCCCAAGTGGTGGGCCACGGCCAGTTCGGTCTGTTCTGCTAGATCGTTCTCCATAGAGTTAACCCCGTACTAATCTGGGGCAGTGCCACTCTCTAACTGGCTCAGGACCCATACACAGCTCTGCGCTCCGGACCGAAAGAAAAAATATACGCACGTCATACACAGATATGTCTTCGTCGGCGCCATATTTTGGAATGCCGATGAATCAGAATCGGCCTGTCCAGCTGCTCGATCCGCCGATGCAAGACCACATGTACGCAGGGGCGAATACATCGATGCAACCAGCAACGGAGTTCGAGCCAATGAGCGACAAATTTATTGATGAGCCAGCGATTGAAGAATCTGCCCTCTTTTCCGACGTCAACTCCATGGACCGGAATCCTTCTATGTACCTGGGTTCTCAGCGTAAAGGCATCTGGCTCCCAGAGGATCGCCGTGCTTTTCAAAACCAGAACTGTTTGATGCAGATTCTTCGTATATTGTTATTTATCCTTGTATTTGGCATCATTCTCGCATTGTGCGTCATCATGTTGATTTTCATTTTCTTGCGCCCACCGAACATTGGATTCAACGACGACATACAGCTTCCACAATCACAGCAGCAGTTGGATATTAGCGGCGGCCATTTCAGCGTGCCAGCGAACCTCTCGTTTGTCGTCAGAAACCCAAACTATGTGCCAGCAAAGATCAACAACATTAGCGCGCTTGCCTACGACAACTCTGAACAGACTACATCGATTGGAACTTGTAATGTGGCCCATCAAACAATTCATGCGCGTGACGACACCACGGTCACTCTTCCATGCAAGCTAGAATATGACTTGAACAAAGATTCTCATCTTAGCATTCTCAAAGATATTGCATCGCGTTGCTTCAAGTCGAACAAAAAGCTCCAGCTTCTTCTGAAAGTGCATGTAAACATCCAACTGTATTCATTCAAAGTACCTTTTGATCTGAGTCCTGTTATTTCTATTTCTTGTCCGATTTCAAAGAACGACATCAAGAAACTTGCTGGTGATAAACCTGACATTGATGACCTGATCAATGGTTTGAATTCTCGACGTTCTCAGTCACAATGGCTTGCGCTGGCTAAGCGTTTCTATGAACCATTAGCAGCGCCTCACGATGACAGAACCGCCTACCTGTAATGAGACGGCAGACCACCAGTTACCAGCCGCTAGCTGCGGATTTGCAATTGTCTTTATGCAGACACTCTACGTAGACTTTATGTACATATGGCTTCCAGGTTGTTTTCTAGCACGTATAAGCCGACGAGCAATCACCAGTTATGGGCATTTTCTTGTGAGCGTTCATCTATGTGTTTCCACTTTCGAAACACGACCAAGGTCGCTCTGCACCCATCCCCTTCTTATCGTTACACACGAACGATGAGCACAGATGCCTATGCTCCTATTGCGCATCTTGCACTGAACGTTGAGCCGCCTCGCACCGAATGGATGAATATGGGCTTGTGGAAAGTATGTATGTCAATATCCATATCCGACGTCTAACAAAAGCAGACTAGCACATCCTCCTTTCCTAAAGCATGCCAAGGTTCGTTCATCCTCGCTCATTGCGTCAATGCCAATGACGTTTTTAACCATGCTAATGTACCTTGAACAGCTCTAGCTGAGCTCCTTCACAAAGCTGCGATGATTCCCCCGCATGCACGGATCCTAGACATTGGACATGGATGTGGTGACTCATTGCTCATCCTAGCTAAACAATACGGGCCTTCATGTCTACATGGCGTGACGAGCGTGCCAGCACATGCACATCGCGCTCGCGAACGGCTTGGCCATCGGGCTACTGTCTGGTGTGCCGACGTTGTTCGGTGGATACGCTCTGATCAGGCTACGCACTCTATATATGATGTCATTCTGGCCCTGGACTGTGCATATCATTTCAGTGACCGAGCCGAGTTCTTTCGCGACGCATATGCGCGGCTTGCCCCTGGTGGCACGCTAGCACTCGTAGACCTCGTCAGTGCGTGGCCATATCCAGTCGCCACTGACGCCACTGCCTCAAATCTCTTCCATGCATCAACATTGCCCACACCAACGCGACCGCCCTCCGCGTGGCATAGAATCCAGCATTGGTGTGCATGTTATGTATCCGGATCGAATCCACATGCGTTTGTTTCCTTCGATAAGTACAAAGCCATGCTACTCGATGCTGGCTTCGACTACATCGAAATGCAGGATATTTCACATGACGTATTCCCTGGCTTTTCCTCGTTCCTTCTAAGCATAGGCGTTCACGACCTGGCGTGGCGTGGCGGAAGTGCCTGGCAATGGCGTGCATTGCGTGCGCTTGGCAAACTCGTTCAAACGTGGGCAAAAGGTGGCAATGCAGCCTACGTTCGCTGTGGCTTGATTGTTGCTCGGAAGACTCAGCCCCACAAGTAGACGTGCGCACTACGCAGTACTTGGACATTCGCATGATCAACATTGACCACAGTTCCGTCCACGCACATGGAGCGGGCCTGCTCATCGCCAGGAAGAGGTGTCCATTCATACCCAGCAGCACGAAAGTACTCGACAACGGGCCGACTGTGGGTGACTCGAAAGGGCCTATTTCCTTCATGGACGTGGTGCGCTTCATGATGATCCGTATAAGTCATGTCCACATGTCTGCCTTGTTTGTACATTCCCTGAAAAAGGGCAGGGTACAGCACATCGGAAGCATAGGCCACAGCCTCCTCGTCTCTGGACACACACCTGGACCCTGTTGGCCTGCGTTGCATCGGACGCATGACAACCACATCCATCGCATCACTCGGGCGCCGAAGCGGCTCTGGCGCATACACACTCGCAAATGGTGCGGGTACAAATGTCGGCTCGAGCCTGTCGACTGTCATGGCATTCATATATATAAATGGGCCACGAAGACGTACCCTTCCATCAGGCATACACTCGTATGACAGTGTGGCGTCTTCTTCTGCCATGCGCATCTCAGACTGATTGACTCGTTTCTCATTCACTGCTCGGAAGATGCGTGTCGTTGGATCATACACGGTGACTGGTGCCTGTTCCTGTGGAAGAAGCGTAAGTACAGCATCACACCAAACCGTTGCGTTTTTCTCTGCTGCCATTTGAAAGCGCTCTAGCCCAGGATGGTTCGATCGAAGTGCTTCTGAGTCACGAAGAATTGCCGTATGCAATGCGTGCGAGACGACTACACAGGCAAGTCGACTGCCAGGATTTGCTCGCATGACTGTTAACGCACACGATGCACGGCCTGCGGGGGCACTGCGAAGGAAGGCCTCGAGCGAACGCAGACGCCATGTAGGATCTCTTGAAGGTGATATATCGGGACCAAAGTGACTATGATAGAGTGCATTGCCCGTTCCCACGGGCACGATCACCAAGGAGACACCGTGGTCCGCAAGAAAGACGCGGCGCTCCAGGTACATGCCTTGCAGCAGCTCATGGACTGTTCCATCCCCTCCAAGTACAACATAGACACTAGCGCGATCGATAGCCTGCTGAGTCAATGCTCGGCCTGTGCCAATGGCGCCTGTTTGAGCATCAGTCTCGTGGAAATGAAGCATACAGCGAGTCTCACGATGTGCATGACACCATGCCTCGAGACGCGGACGCACTACCGCATCCAATAGTTTCTTCGCTTTATGATGCCCAGCATGCTGGTTGTAGACGACGTGCACGTCCATACAACACACCCCACTGTGACTTGCCTGAGCAGGAAGAGAAACACCACACGCACAAGTATTCGTACGATCCTAAAACTGCATGGATCCAAGCCGAGGCTCGTGCGAGACTCGACGCGCGGCACTGCAGTTGGATTATGTAAGGAGCTGGGCTCCCACATTTTGCATGTTTCCCTGTCCCCATACTTGCCCCACGTCTTGTACGAAGTCGAGGTAGCCCCCAAACCCTTCATTTCGAACTACTTGCTAGATATTCAGTCACTGAAGTGGATTGAAGCACGCTTTTTACGTACCGTTATCGTACAGGTTTCTTAAACAAAGTGTTAGAAGTGCACGATGAGCGGGATCGACGCCAAAGAGATCGATGTTGCGAGTCTTGGCGAAGCCCTCGAAGACAAAGATAACAAGATGAAGCCCAGTCCATCTGATGTCAGGAAAGACGAAAACAAACAGGAACATGATGAATCTTCGTCTCCATTCGGTGCCAAAGGAACTAATGATGCTACAACTTTGAATACTCAGGAGCGAACTGCGCCAGACGTGCAAAGCACATCGTCCGCCCCAGCTGCGCCGAGGCCGCTCACAACACACGATGACTGTGTAGATTACCTATGGACTATGTTTCCCACATTAAAGCGCGATACGGTTTCGGATATTCTGCGCTCGAAACGCGGAAACACTCATGCTGGTACGTGTGCTCAAGTGTGATTTTCCTTTCCTGCTTACGCTTGCCAGCGGTTCTTTGCTGCTTGAAATCAGTGATCCAGATTCTGTATCTTCTGACAGGACAATGCATCCACACACTTTTATGCCAACCTACGAGCCGCGCGTGCGTACGAATCGGCGTAAACCGTTCGAACCAAAATGGGATCCTGCCCTACTCCAATACAGTCCGCGAATTCGTCCACCCAGTACAAATCCACATCCAAGTACATTACAAAGACCACCGCCAGAGCCTAGTTTCTGGCCCGGTCCAGAAGAAGCGCGTCAGTGGTCTGATGACCTGAACCGATTTACTGAGCGTGAGTATGAAAAGCCCAGGGGTTGATGAGGGCCGGGGGATTGAGCATTTGTTTTTTTTTACTAACACACGACAGAGGGCATAGCCAAGGTTGGATCAACTTTATCGCAGCTTCGACAGAAAGCTGAAGCAGCTCTGCGGAATCGCGAGGCAAAGAATCGTCTCTTTCGTCCACAGAACGTAGGAACCGCACCTATCTGGGCAAGTAACGCACAAGATGCAAGCGAGTATGAAGCAACTGCACCATCATCATCATCATCATCTTGGAATCCAGTTGCACACTGGCGCAAGCAGCCATACGACAATGACCCGCAAATGCTGAGTGATGCACAACTCGAGCACTTCATGCATAGCTCGTCAGTGCCGTTACCCTCCAGGCTACAGAAACCATTGCCACCGCATACAGAGTCAGTACCCGAAGTCCCGCCAAGACCAGAAGATGGTGACAGCAGGGCTTCTTGGGGCCAGCGGTACACAAGCCAAGCAGAGAATCAAAAAATGACAGAGTCAACAGCGGGGCAAAATACAAACGAAGTACAGGATTCAAAGTTGGCTTCAATGGAAGACCGGCCTGCCTCTGCGCTGGCGACTGACAAGAAACTGTCCTCTGAGCCCACAACTCCACCAGCGAATGGGTTCACAGCTCAAAAGCATGATCAGGCACAAGATACCGACGAAGAGCATGCATCTAAGGCTACGCCATCCGCCGCAGAGGATGACGAGTACATCAATAATCCATTTGACGATGAGGACTAGTACTTTCATGTGTACATTAGTACCGACCATCCTTAAGCTATCGGTCAACTGGTGGCAGCCATGATCGGAACGAGTCGGCCGCGCTCTACGTGGTCTCGATGAGTATGTGCCAGCTATGACTGTGCAAATCACTGTCCTTATAGGCAGGGGTGCGGAGATTGAATGCTTGTATATCTGTCTGAGCCTTATGAATCTATTTTGTAGGGCAACATGTATTACACCGCCAGTTTTCCTGGGCTGCTGTGTGTTTTCACTCTCACATCCATCTATAGGACATGGCATTCCACACGAACTAGGCCGATGAAATCATTAACATGCATGTTGTAGAAAGTGTTTGTGGAGAGGTCACGTGTGTGTCACATCGTCGAAGCTCCCAATGACAGGGAGAAAAAACGGCGAAGAACCAAGTGAGAGTGTGCAAGTGGTGGAGAAGGACGAACCAAAGCGCCAGCAGCCTTGTGGCTGTCACAACCATGGATCATGGTGTGTCGGGCCCCAATTCTGCAATGAGCGCAGAGCGTAATATGCCGCGCACTGCGATCGGAGCCGTTCACCAGCTTCTTTTTGCTCTTCGCGAGTTGAGACAAGGTATGGGGCACACGAATGTATCAGAGGAAGTTCACGCTCTGTCACTTCGCAGTGCAACATATCTAGGACTGTACTCGCTCGAGCACGCATCGCTGAATCACGCGCATCGACTCTCGCAGGAGTATGTGTCTGACGTATTCGATGCACTCCATTCAGCTTCCAAGCGATGGAAAGAACACCTCAACTCAACTGTGACAGTGAACAAAAATACATCAACGCCGGCGCAAATCAGGGAATTGGCCACACAAGCATTAGAGCTATCGTTTGCGACGCAAGGTCTCCGCGAAGCTTCTTCATCTGCAGTTTATATACCCCCTCCGATACCCCCGAAGCTTTGGACGGGCGCCCTGTCTCGTGCGTCTGAGCCATCGACCGATCACCGCCTTGCCGTCGAAACACTGCACACATTGTGTCAAGTTATCATACCAACAGCATCCGACATGCATCTGGAGTGTTTCCAGGAACGTATCGATATGCAAGACACCAACTCCTCATTAGACAAGATCCATACGCTCACATGCGGTGGTCGCATTATCGTGCTCGACATTGAGCTGGACCTTGCTTCTCAAACATCTTCCTCGTGGATACCACATGTCTCGCTGCAGCTGTCATTTGCATCTGCGAATGGTGCCCAGTCACCGACCAGCAAGGATAGTGGGCTTGCAGAAGTCGTCCGCTTGCCACTCCAACAGCTGGCCCGCATCATGTTTGGCCTTCCTGTGGACCACCAACTTTTGCAGCGCTTCTGTAAGGGAGCTCGGCTCGATTCTTCCTATGCTCAGACAGCTGCTCTTTGGCATTCCTTCACTTCCACACTTGCTTCACTCGCTTGTATTGATGGATTACATGCGTTTTCCCCATATGGTGACACACTTGATGCATTCCACGTCCTTGAGCAATTGGGGTCAGCCGCACTCCATGTCTGCTCAGTCGAAGCGGATGAACTAGCTCAGCTTCACGCACAAAGCGTTGATCCCGCACGCCCGCTTCACGACCAGCCATCAATCACTCGCTTGTTGCACCGATATGGACATGGCCTTGCTTTGCATCACTACCATACCCCGTACTTGTGTATTGCATTCACGCCTGTCCACTCGGCTACCGTGCGCATCGCACCCAGCGCTGTCCCCTTTGCGCCAGACGCAAAGCCAGCGTGCACACTCGTCTCATCAGCACGCATGCCACAGATGGTGTATGAGCCATTCCAAGCTCGCAGTGCTGACTGTGACCAAGCACGGCCTTTAGCCTTCATTGCTCACATTAAGCCGGCGTTGCTGGTTCCGCACCGCGTCGCGCGCCACGTGTATCTGGCACTCGGCCTCGCTCGCCACCACTTGTCGACATCCAAGCCGCGCCGCCCCATTCATGGCTATGTCGCCCAGCTTGTTAGGACGAGCCACCGGTTCTGTGCATCACTTCGCGATGAGGAATGCCGCAGCATCACATCACTACCATTCCAGAGTCTCGCGCATTTGTATGCTGCGCTGGAAATCCTGCAGGAGCATGCACATTGGGCTGCCCTGTTGGCCAGCGCACAAGACGACCCTTCAGGAGAAAGCGGGTTAGTAACCACTCTTCAGCTCGAGTCTGACACCGAGCCGAGTAGCTCGTGGCTTCGACTTAGTACCCTCGTGAGCGAGCAGGACATGGTTATTAATGCCCAGCTGCGTCATCGTAAGGGTTGGCAGCTTCAAGCACAGGCCGTGAGCCTGAAGCAGCGCATTTCCACGAACCTCCCCGACGACAAAGCGCACACTTTTGCCGAGTCTCTAAACATGTGCGCACAACTGGGAGGCCTTGTTAATGATCTGCTGGCGTGGACACGCACACTACAGTAGACATGTGGATCCGTTCTTTCGAACGCCTAGAGGGGTGATGCAAATGACCTCGCTCCGTAAGTACATATGGCAATAGACTACATGCATAACGAAGTTCCGAGAGTGGCCAAAAGATTACATAAAGTCGCGAAGATGAACGAGTCCCATTAGCCATCGAGCTTGGCGGGGAAAGCACCATTTTCGCGCTGCTCGTCCCACTTCTCCAGCTGCATCCGTGTTAGTCACTGCACGACCATATTCAATGACACCCAGAGACCCAAATCCATAGAGAGGAGGAGGGCGAGGGGCGCTGAATCACGTACCCATTCATTTGGGCAGAGCGAGTGGAACGTCGAGAAGAACTGCTTGCAGGGCTCAAAGTCCTCGCCCTTCGTGTTTACGCAGCGGTAGTAGTCCACATAACTTCACATGTATTAGCGCTACTCCGACCACCTTCACACATACCTTTGCCAGCTGCATCAGAGTCACGCACATCATCACGGTGCGCCATGCGTTAGCATATACAAAAGAAACGCTTAGAGCGGCATTTCGGCAGCCGCAACGTACCAGTGGCGGGTTTGGTTCTGTTTGATGTGTGAGAATACAATCTTCCACAAACATGGACTACACGTACCTGGTTAGGGAACCGCGAATCGAACACGGCGGTCTTCAGGTCCAGCTGCTGTGGCATGCTTGCAAATTTCGTCAACGGTAGAGGGTTGACAACACACCTTGTCTTTGCACGACCGGTTGTGCCCGCCCATCGGCCCCTACCGCTCGCAATCGGCCGAGATAACCTCCACTTTTTGACGCGACGAGATCGACGCGCATATCGGCCACACACCCCACACTCAAAGGATGGGCGCAAGTGGGACTTGCGAACAGAACAAACGTGTACAAGCGCTAGAAGAAAAGACTGGTCGCCTGCATCCATCAATTGAAGGGTGATGGAGGCCCTCAAGGCGCACATATCTGCACAGAAACGCAAGGTCTCTGCTGACGCAGAGAGCGGCTCAAAGTACATGCGTCGTGGAAGTCGAGAAAAACTCGAATTCGAAAGGGAATCTTCACAAAACAAAGTATGTGTCAGCTTGCCTCGTGTGTAATGGAGTAAAGCGCAAACTGACCAGCCTACGCAGCAAGATCAAACCGCAGAAAATGATATTCAACGTACGCTAGCCACCTCGAATCAAGTTGGAAATGAACGTATACACACGCAAGGTACAGAGGAGATGCAGGAACGGTTCCACATTTCTGACGACGACGCAATCCAGCGACTACGTCAAAAAGGTGAGCCGATTCATTTATTTGGAGAGACAAGCAGGGAGCGACGTATGCGTCTTCGATCCTTAGAGCTAAGTGAAGAGCATGGAATGCGGGTGATGCAAGGCCACAACGACAGCAGGAGATTCATGCGCTCGACGGAAAAGGAACTTTTGATGGAACAGGTGGAAAGACGATCATCACCGCACCTGGCAAGCAAGAGCACGTCAATAAACGAGGCTAGGACCGAGCAAGATGCTCCAAGTACCGCCTCGTCGTCATCCGTGCCTGGTCGAGTGCCTGCCCGAATGCGTGAAGGAGTAGGTATGCACACGGTGATGGACCTCAAGCTGATGTGGACAAATCCAGCACGTGTATATCCTATTCTTTACTACACAATAAAGGGTTTACTCGCCGATTGGGAGTTGGCCTTAGCGAAAAGACCGGAGGACGTGCGGCACAGCGCGCAAGGACGTCAACTTAGTGCAATGCAAATGCAGACGGCCGAATATATCAAGCCGTTGTTGAAAGCACTGCGGCGACGCTCCCTGGAGCCTGATGTCCTTTTGCGCATTGCCGAAATTGTACATTATATGCAGCAGCGCGAGTACCGCAAAGCCAATGATTCGTACTTGCAGCTATCTATTGGCAACGCGCCTTGGCCCATTGGAATTACCATGGCTGGGTAAGTCGGAACTTCGGGAGAGTGCATGGAAGCGTTGGTGAAAAAAGTGCGCTAATACATTAGGATTCATGAGCGATCAGCGGATGAAAAATTGCAGACATCAAAGGTTGCTCACGGTATGTATTAAAAAGAAATATATCATCGGACTGGATCAAAAGCGTAGAAACTGGTCGCACAGAACTTTGGTCAGACGTGAGACTAACACATCGCCAGTGCTCAATGATGAAGTGAGTCGCAAGTACATTCAAAGTCTAAAACGTCTCATGACATTCGCGCAGTCACATGTACGTTAAGATTTCCAAATGGCTTTTGATACTAACCAGCAGTATCCCCCCGACGATCTGAGCAAACTCATGGGGTAGCCCAGCCCTCAATAGATATTGCGTTCAGTACATCTGGAACTCCTTGCCCCTTCGATAACGAACATGTCTGGTATTTCTTCACATCAACGTGCAGCACTTATTTTTAGGTGTCATACGAGATGCAGATTGTGAGTGCTCTAGCGTAGACAATAGTGGGTCAGGATGATTCTCACAATATTGAATAAGTCTTCCCATTCAAGCGCATCAGCATTACGTCACTCGCCACAGATATATGCATGTTCGACATACCGTCGGCTTGCTTCAGACGTGCTCTCGGTATTTCTAGACAGCTTTGCCTTCAGCAAGGCATTTTCCTCTTGCAAGGACATTAACTTCTGCTCGAGCCGTGCTGGAGATTCCTGTGCCACCATGATGAAGAGCGACGCTAGACACCCTGGAAATAGTGGGGCTAATTTCCCTCCACGTTGAAACGCGGTAGTGATTTGAAGTGTGCGCACGTGATACATCGGGAAGCCCACATCCAGACCCTTGGACATGTCCTGCCAGAACAGCATCTCTCCAATCGATACTGTGTACTCGCTGCTGCCTCAAAGACATATTGTGACAACCTAGTTGAACAGTGTCTTTTAAGCATAGGGGCTAGCGGAAGTTCAGGCATGTATTTCTGCCCGTGCAGCGAGTAAACTTTCACACAAAGAGAGCACTACTTTCGACACTTGCGCGTCTTTCACAGAACGCAGCGCGAACGCGATGCAGAACAACACCAATCCAAGCGCCATTGAGCGAGCAAGCCCTGCACGTCAAAGTACAGCAGAGAGTTCAACCTCAAAGTGGTCTTCCTCCGCAGTATTTTCACAGTTTTCAAGCGAAGCATCTCGCTCATATGACTCGAGCGAGCATGCGTCTTCGGGCGGATATCGGTCGTCTGATGGCTCAAGCCACTCAAGTCCTGCATTTTCCACCGGCATGCGCGCGCAAAAACTTACAGATGTGAAAAAAGAGCTCCCTGGCCGATTCTACGACGCAGATCCGGAAGACCTTTTCACACTCATATGTACGTACGCCTCCCAACCAGCATCCAATGCTCATGCCAGCGGACATGCTTGTTCAACTCATGACTCATAATGACACCATTCCATTGCATCCTTCTGATCTGACGCGCTTTCACTCCCGTGCGGCGCCGGGTATTAGCATCGATGCTTACTTGCGACGCATGGCAAAGTACACCACTCTCGACAAGCCTTGTATGTTAATTATCTTGATCTACATTGATCGCGTCTGTGAAAGGATGAGTGGTTTCACGATCTGCAGTTTGACTGTACATCGCTTCCTATGTGCTGCTGTCGTGTGCGCGAACAAGGCTTTGTGTGACTCTTTTAGTACGAACAGTACGTTACCCACCATGGTTTGCGTCAACTCACCCCATCAGCCCATTACGCTCGGGTCGGGGGCATTTCTTTGGTCGAAATGAACCTACTTGAGAAGGAATTCCTCAACGTCATCAATTGGCGCTTAATGGTATGTGGTGGATCTTGTTTGGCGATCGAAATGGATTGTCAAGTTCAGCTTGCTAATGTTGACACAGGTCACTGCTCCTGTCATGCAGCATTACTATGCATCCTTGGTGCAAATGCACCCAAACTACGTCCTGGGACCTACAACAGGCCCTCTCCCCAATGCTTTTCCTGCGATGCCTTCAAGTCATAGCTAGATAGCTGAATACTACGGTTTGTACAATAGTCATGACATCTCTGGCGACACCTGATAAGCCATCTGACTTCCTCCAAGTCATGCACAGACCACGTGGTATTTACGCGGACAAATTCGGTAACCAGTAGGTCTAGCCAATATTCGAGACTTGCGTGCAAATTCCGCCCCCCCCCTTGAAAAGTCGACCGAGAATTTCAAAGCCTATGGCGGTAGCAACAAGTTTGTCAATAGTCACGTAAAACGGACTTGGACATAATCGCAAACATATATTTACGAGCGAACTCGCAGGAAAGTGACCAAGCTCGTATCATAGCTTTTGGCACAAGGACTGTAACTGTGCTTCAATCTTAGCTTAGATTGGAGCATAGATACATTCCATCAGCTCAAAAGCCACTCAGTGCATTCTTCATGCGCATCAAGAACGAACCGATTGCTGATGACTTGACCATGGACAGGCTGGGAGCGAGGATGGTTGCCCTCGCCAAGCTCACGAATGTGACATCGACACCCTACGAATGCCCCACGATTGAGTCGCAGCAAGCGTCAGAATCATGGCGTTCTTTATTGCCAACCGATGGCCCTAAGGATCCGCCTACCCAGAAGGGCATGTCGACGCTATCCATACCGACACAAAGAGAATATGATCCTGAGAGTTGGCGCAGTTTGATCGCTGGACATGTCGAGACAAGTGAACCACAGAATATCTTCCTCGACCCGAACGATATCACAGGTCACTCTGAATCCTCACACATTGATGACAACGAAGAAATATCGCCTGTGTTCGGACGCCGCGCTGATTTATTTGTTCGCCGCCCCTCGCCGTCGTTGTCCGTGCATGCACCATTGGACAAGTTGCGGTCACGACAATCAGTCACGGATCCAGGACCATTTTCCTCGTCGCCTAAGCATTTTGACATGACTGATTATGCCTCGCATGCGAACGATAAATTGCAGCGACACTCGACAGACGCCTCTTTCGATGGCATAGAAACATTGGAGGGTGCGCGAGCTGATGTCAATGCCGAACTCTCTCTTTCCACAACATCCTGTGATTTTGGCAATGATCGAGAGAGCTGGCCAACCAGCTCCCGACAGGGTGCACATTTGTCTGGGAGTAGCCAATGGCCTCCTATGGCTACTCCGAGACCAGTGTCGGCACGAGTGGTGAGCGAATTGGACCGGAGTTTTTCAGATCCGATGGACATGCTGTCCAAAGAGAATCTACCCAATATCTCTACAGGCGCACCCACCTCAGCGGTCCAAATCCACAAACCCAGCCTTTCACAAATCGATACGACGCGCCCATCATCTCCTCAAACTAAAGAGTCCACAAGTCACACGTTAGGGAAAAGCCATGATGACCGCATCACCGTATCTACTTCCCACGACGCCTATACCGTTGTAAATGTATATGCCTGGATTCAGCCTTGATGGACTCACACTCACGACGAAGGGTCATCATCGCCGCACTCTTCATGTCATGGCAAATAAATGGGGTTCTGATCGTTGGGAACATTTCGAAAGACGAATTATATTCGCAGCAGATCGCGGACATGTCTCGAATTCGTGCACGATTCGAAAACGAGCGATTAATCGTCCAAGCGCCTCGCAGGAAGCTCGTAACTTTCCAGCATGATTTACATGTCCCAGCGGCAGGACCCCTAAGCTCGGGATTAATGATGGTGTCAGCATTTGAGAATCGACGCCACAACGTGAGGAGTGCCCAATTCTGATGCCTATGATCGCACAAACTAATCTGTTGTATATATTTGGATATGATCCATTCTTTCATACCAGCCCCAACATGTATTTCTAAACCATTAATAGACACGTTGTCGCCAATCCATATCGGAAGAAGACATGCAGACGAGCTGCGAACAATTGGTCTGAATCTATTCGAATCCCTCGGGCGGCACAACGAGCAACGATAAACTAACATCACTCGTCCTCAGGGGGCCCCCAACATGACAATGTTACAATGATTGGGGGGTAATGCGACTTGCATCATAAGCTATCTAGGCACTGTGGCCGTATGCAATCACGCGCTCATGGTCAGGGTTGTATGTCTTCTCCTGTGCACCTTGCTCAGGGTAACCAAAGACCATCTCACTCTGGATCTGGTACGAAGCAGGGAGCTTATATTGCTGCTTGAGCGCGTCACTCGTCAGGTTGCCGTAGTGTTGAAGGCTTGCACCATATCCAGCTGCTTCAAGGCCAGACCACACATAGATCTGTGCCATACCCGAAGAATGAAGTGACCATATAGGGAAGCTCGGAGCGTAAGTCGGGTACTGTTCTTGCTGAGCCTTGATCAGCTGCTGGTCCTCGAAGAAAAGAATCGTGCCGTATCCTTGACGGAAAGCTTCAAGTTTGGGGCGCATCGCCGCGAGACCCTCTTCACCTACGATAGAAACGAGTGCCCCCGGCACAAGCTCGCCCCAGTACTTGTCATGGTGAGCTCCAAGAAGAACCACACAGCGGCTCGACATCACATTGAACGACGACGGCGCTTCACGCACAAGTTCTTGGATGTACTTGATCAAAACATCATCTGGCAGAATGGTCTTCTTGGAGAGTGCATAGATGGTGCGACGGTTCTGGATGACCTGAAGGAATTCCTTGGTTGCCGTCGTGCTAGCCATGATCGATGATGGTTGTTAATTCGTCGATAGCGAATAGCCACTCGGACTTAGAATCGAAATTGAGTTGCCAAAATTTCAGCACGGGAATTTGGTCGGGCGCCACGTAAACCTGTGCTTGCATCATCATTCACAAATAGGTCCGTGCATAGCAAACCAGGCCAACGCTGATGACACACATGATTGGGCTAACGAATGAGCACGAAATTTCGACTTCGCTCAGTGTTTATTCAACATCTTGAAATGACGAGCGCAAAGGTTGTTGCGTATACAACCACATCGAAGTGACACATTGCTCGGAATGTCGACCGTCGTCACCATTCATACAGGTTCTTCGCACGCATATGTTCCCATATAGAAAAAAGTAATCAGGACACACCGCTAGAAAAACGCCTACACACTCTTAGTGGTCGTCCTCACTCGGCACTATACCCAAATACATAGTCATCGTTCATATTAAACAACATCGTCGATTCAAGAGTAAACTTATCTACTTGAAGACAACCACGCGCTCGTTATCCGGCAAGAATGTCTTGCTACCAGCTGGCTGCTCAGGGAAGCCAAACACCATTTCGCATTGGATCTCATACGACTCTGGCAAGTTGTACACCTTCTTGAGCGTCTCGCCTGTGAGGTTGCCATAGTGCTGCAAGTTCGCACCGTATCCTTCAGTTTCGAGGGCTGTCCATGTGTAAATTTGGGCCATGCCTGAGGAGTGGTGCGACCAGATAGGGAAGCTCGAGGCGTATTGAGGGAAAGCTTCCTGCTGGCCCTTAATAAGGTTGCTATCCTCGAAAAAGAGGATGGTACCGGCGCCAGCTGCAAAAGCCTCGAGTTTGCCCTTCGATGCCTCCATAGCCTCCCCACCTGCAACTTGGCGAAGCGCTGTAGGCACAATTTGTTTCCAATAGTTGTCATGCTGATTGCCCAAAAGCACGACGACACGGCTGCTCTGCACGTTGAATGACGAGGGCGCCTCACGGACCGCCTGCTGAATCAGCTGCACCACTTGTGCATCCGGAAGAATAGGCTTTTTTGAAAGAGCATAGATTGAACGACGGCTCTGGATCGCTTTAATGAAAGACTTGCAAATATTTGAAGAGGCCATGTTTGAAATTGGGAATTTGGTTGAAAGTTGAGTGCGTCTCCAGTAAAGTGAACCTGAGACTTGACACGGGACTTTGTTCTGGCACTTTTTCAAATCCGCACATGTCCTCCACATGGCCGCTTTTTACCCTACTAATCCTCCTAGAGACATACCAGCCACGACTACCCTTCAGTTGCGTCTTTTAGTAAAAATTGCCTAGGTATTTGGGCAGGCGTTTCGACGACATTCTATGATTTGTTCCAACTCTACACAAACCATTGACATGCTTGGTCGTTCGCGGGGTGACTGCTCCCACATGCGATTCAGTAGATCTACAATATCATCCCCAAAACGTCGTCGAATGCTTCCCGTAAATGGTCTTAGATTATTACCGTTAGTTGTGTGCAAATGGGATCATCAATTTCCTGCACATACCGTAGGTTTTTTTGGCGCACATTAAAGTAGATCTGGTGTTCGTTCATGCCCTGAAATGGATATCGTTTCTCGGGCTGATGCCACTGCAAAGTTTCCCAGAATGTCATGGCTGCACTCCATACGTCGGCCTTTTCATTGTATTGCGGCCTCGCTGACCAGAGCTCAACAGCTTGCCAATTGACAGTACCAACGAGTGAGCGTATCATTGCACGGGCTGAGCGTCTCACACGAGCCAGTCCAAAGTCACTGATCTTCGCAACACCATGTTCTGTAATGAGAACATTCGTTGACTTGCAGTCACGATGAACAATCATGGGTTTACGGGTATGGAGATACTCTAAACCACGGGAAATTTGCAGTAGAATGCCAAAGATCTCAACATCTGAAGGAGGAGACACATTGCGAATATAATCGAACAGATCGCCATTCTCACACAGCTCACTCACTATCGCACAAGGCACAGGGCCAGGACGAGGTGGAAGACTGATTCCAATGAATCGAACAATATTCTCATGTTGCAAGTCGCGTAAGAAAGTGAGTTCCTTGATGTCCATCTCCGTCAGTTCATCACGTAAATCACATATCGCGACCTTGATTACACGAGTACGCGACACATGATATAAGCCTTTGTACACATCTTTAAATGCGCCACTGCCGATTTTCTCCTGTTTCTCGAGTTTTTCCGGTAAAATCTCATGGTCGACCAAGTCCAAGCGTTCAAGATCCAAGCCAGGAAGCTCTTTTGATGTACTTTCGGGCATTTGCAATTTTTGGGGAGAGATTTCACATATAAGGTGATCTGCGAGCACGGCCTTCGTTGAGTCTGCCGGTACTGAAAGGCCACGCTCTTGGCACATGCGCATGAGCGAAGAGCGTCGGCGACGGAGAAGAATTGGCCGAGATCTAGATGGAATTTTTTTTTCCGGCTCATGTTCATGCAATTCAGATGTTCGTGACCCTGGTGTAGGGGGCTGTGTCGGGTTGTGTGTTGGATTTCTGTCAGAATCCGTTGAGGGGGGGCTTTTGCTCGGAACGGATGACAGTTCAGAGTCAGATTCATCGAGCCATATATAGTCGTTCTCAGCGCTGGCAAGCGCTTCGGTATTCTGCGAGTTATTAACGTTTCGCTGCACTTGACACGCATGAGATGTACGTATGGGTGATTCTGGGATTGATGAGAAACTTGGATAAGAAGGTATGCGCTCAAGTCGACGAAGACGACGAGAATGGGGTGAACGGGAAAAAACCGGGGCTGTACTTTGTTTTGGTACGCTTGGCTCGGGCTTAAAGGGGTGTGCATGGTGTACGGAAGAGCTCACTCTTTGAGGTAGAGGCTGAGCTCGAGTTCGGCGTCGCGGCAAATGTTTTCGCTGGGGGCTCCGCCGAATTCGAGCGCAATTTTTCTTACTAGGCGAGCCAGATACACGAAGACGTCGCCATGTAGCGAGGCTGTTGTTATGGCATCTCCTCGCCAACTTGGAAGGAGAATCTTCCTCAACACTAGAAATTGATGATGATGATGAGAATGATGAGTGCGAATAAGACGACACGGCATACCAGTTCGAGTCAGAGCTTGCCACACTTGATGGCACAGTGGGTTTATCATCCTTTAAAGTACCTTTTCGAGTCCGCTTCAGATTATTACGAACATTCGGCGTCACAGCTGGCGAAGAACTTTTATCCGTACCACGCATAGGCTGCGTCACCGAAGTAGGCATGGCATCTCTTCTTTGCGCGCTAGAAGAGACTGTTGGATAGACTGTTTGGTTGCCAGTGAAAGTGTTGCTCAGCGCAAATGTGGAGAAACCAATATTCACTTAAACGAACAAGCGACTCAGATATTTCTACGGACTGGTAAGGAAAGTTGGCCACGTGGTTATGTACAACAGACATTAAACCCTGTGACTTCGTATTCACCACTGTGAGAGTTGTTCAGCAGTGAGCGGTTCCGTTTCACGCTCATACTCGACTTCGACATGTGGATGACCTGGTGATAAGCACGTAAATATGAAACACTTACCTCGTTTGCCTCTCGAATTAGGGCGGCCGACAGATGGACGCTTCGGTTGTGGACGCTTGCCAGATTTCCTCTTCGGACCTTTTTCACTTGCATCTCCATCTTCTTCATCTTCTTCATCCTCGTCATCATCACCGCTTTCCGAATCATCAAACTGAAATGCGTTAAAAACTGACTATTACCACGTACCGAATCCATATCTTCCAGGTCATCTTCACTCTCATCTTCGTCGTCGGATATGAATTCTCGTTGTCCATATTCATCATCATCTTCGTTGATCGCGCGCATCTCCGCATCCATAGCGTCGATGTCCTCTTCAGCTTCTTCGTCACTGAGCTCCTCCTCGAGCTCCAACGCACTGCTTTCGGCATCAGGCACACGAGCTTGGGCATTCTCTAATACAGCATTCCACACATCTTCATTCACGTTAAGTGGGGCATCACCGTATGCACCACGCTTGAGACGCTCAAGCAACTCCCTTTCAATCGACTTCTCTAGCTTGGCCGCACGTAAAGCTTTTGTCTCACGAGTGGCTTCGCGCCGCTCTGTCTTTTTCTTGATACCTACAAGCTCTGGCTGTTCTTCTTCCTTCAGTTTGATTTTGCGCATTTTGATAAGGTACTGCGTGATCTTTGTGAGCCGTTGCTTTGCCTTGTGCACGATGAAGTTTGGCCAGTACACAAGCTCTTTGTCAATTTGCTCCAGAGCTGTGGAATATCGGTTTGACAAGCGAATACGCTCCCACTGTCGTCGAGGGGAATGTGCGCGCTCTGCTGTCTTGACGTACAAATATAGCACGCCTTCTCGCTCACGAACAGTGGCATATCTTGAGTTGGCCAGGGGGCATGACTGACGATTGCACAAGCCTGTTAGGTTGTATTCATTTCGGCAAAATGTTGAATGTGTCGATGAGCGTATCTTGTATGAGCAAAACTGATGACCGATGACTGACCATATGACGTCGTCTGCCTGCATTTTTCACTTGAAAAATTGTGTCAGAAACGCCGCAAAGAAAGAGACACGATCACAAATCCGCTTGCTTCCTCTGCACCTACAGCAATAAAAAACGTCGCTCCACTGTCAAATACCCAAACTTAGATCCCTCTGACTGGTGGAGGCCAACTTGAATAAGTCATGTACACACACAAATTAGGAACGATTTGTTGACGCCTACTAATCTACACACCGGCCAGGCCCACCACTAGACGCCAAGGAAGGCCAGGAAGATAAATATCGAGGAATTTGTGCATTTCGCGCCATTGCACGAGACCAGTATAGTCTGGCATTGAGTCAGATTGGGTTGCAGACTCGCTAGGAACCGTTTCAGTGGATCCAAAACGGGCAAAAGTATGGAGCTGTCGAGCCGCACGAACAAAATTGTCGATCTCTCGAGCGGCTAGATCAATCACGCGCACTGACTCGCTGCTACTTCCCTCCTTGGAAGCGTCTGTTACGGGACGATGCGGCGCTGCAGGCACTTGCCTGTCACTAGTGTATGGCACCAAGACATAGTCCGCTGGCTGCACAAATGCGCGTGTCAATGAGCCTAATAAAAATGAAATGATCACAAAAAGTATCAGAGTTGACAAGCGGAAGCGCCTTGCTTGTTGACGAACCGTGCGCTCTGATGCTTGCAATCCAGAGAGTGAAGATGATCCCAGTTGCTGTTGTTGGTGTTGGTGCTGTTGTTGTTCCTGCTGCTGTTGTTGTTGTTTTCGCTGTTGGCTATGCATCTTTGAAGTTTGGTCTGAACTTTTGGCGGACGTAGAAGAAGCATTCGACGTCGTTGTCTGGTTTTTTTGCTGGCCCGTAAAGAGAGAAACAAACCCGTCGTAGATTCGATTCCTGTACTGTGGACGGAAGATGCCAAAAAGAGAAGATGTGTTTGCCCCAGACTGCGGACTCGGTATTTCAGTGAGCTCATTGTATGATAGCGAGATATCCGCTTCCACTTTTGGCGCAGGCACTGCGTCAACTGGCTTGGTCGCGGGTGGTTGAGCAGTTATTGAGGCAACAGGCACGCTAAAAACACTCTGCCCAACATCATGAATACATCCTGAGCGAGAAACAATGGACTCATCTCTTCGAATATACTCGAGTTGGTCTTCATCAACGTCCAGGGCATCGCGTGCAGCTTCGTGTCCGTATATGATCTCCGCTACACGGCCATTGACAGTTACAGGAACGTGTGGAGAGGTCATTGGCGATACCGCAGTTGAGGATGAGGCTGGAGCTGGAGCTGCGGCGGCGGCGGCTGTAGAACTAGTCATGGCTGGCGTCCTCAGCGCCGGTGTAGATGATACGTCTTGACCATGCGAGCCTAGAGGCGAGATTACTAGACAAACAAGAGCAGATTTCATGCGCACATGTTCAGGCGCAGAAGAAGGAAGAGTGACTCGCACGCAGTGACGATGTGACCTCTCGTCAGGCGCATGCGTTGCAGCCTGCAGAGCACTTGGCGGGACATCAAATATTTGGACCTCAACAGGCAACGACTCGTTCGGAACCTTGTCTGGTCGGGTGGTTAAATCGCACGTGTCTGATGTTTCGCACCAAAGGATTTGAACAGCATAGCCCAGTGGATAATGCTGCAGCTCCACCTGGACATCGGCGATAGGCGTGGGCTCTTTGGAAGATGTGCGTTTGGGAAAGAACGCTGAAGACCGCGACGACAAACGCTGGGTAGAAGGGGATACGGGTCGGTGCGGAGTGGATGTTGCGGTGGCCGTTGCAGGCAGGCTTGAAACCGTAGATGGTGTTGTCACCGATGCAGCTGCCGTCGAGATGTCCGTACATTTGTTGTCTAAAGCCGGGGTATTTATTAATTGGTTCTTATCACCGGTGCCGGCAACGATGGAAGATGATGTGTTCCGGACATATAAGAGCACTTGCCATGTGCGTGAGGTACGGTCAAAGTCGCTCATAATGAGTGTCGATGCACGTCGACTACGTCGAAGTACCCAAACATGGTCCTGGTCATCTTGACGACCATCACCACAGACAAACAAGCATCGAGGTGGCGTGCGAACAGAAGGAAATGGACCGTAACTCTTGATACAACGCTCAAGTTGGAGAACAGCTTGCGCGAGTGACGCATTCCATAGTGTGTTGATCCCGCTCGGCACGCCACCGTAATCGATCGCCATAACATGAATACAGCGCGTACTGGGGATCGCATACTGTTCCATGCTGTAAGGATCCACGTTCTCAAAGATCCAGCCATCCAGAAGCACAGTGCCTGTCGGCAGCGACGCGGGGAGCAAAGCTTTCAAATCCCAGCGAGAAGCGTCACTTGATGCTGATGCATGAAAATACACGGGTTGGTGAGTCACGGTTGACGACGTGTCGATGGAGGTGGCATCATCACTGCGGCCGCCGCTACCGCTGCTGTGTGCTGACATGCTAGAGACGATGAACATGCGCGGAGAGAATGGAAAACTACCTTTCGATGTCCATAGCGACGTCGAGGCGCCACTTCCAAAGCTCTCGAGCAAACGGCTTGATGCCCAGTTCTCGTCCCAGGCACACCGGACGCTCGGATATGTTACGAGGGGCAGAAGTTCGTCAGCTGCGACGCCCTGTATGATCTTATCGGTCCTGTACACCATGACTTTCGCTGATACACTCTCGATCATTCGCCGATGAATGTACAAGCCGTGCTTCTCCGAAACAAATGACCAGTTCGCTTGTGGCCCAGCAGGGTTGGGATGTCGCTCAGAGTGGATGTGCCGAAGAAGTGTCAACGCCTGGAGAGCCGCATGCATGGCTGGGACTGTCAATTCTGGCCCCTCTTTGGTTTCAGCGATGGAATCCGTCGGAGCTTGGGACTGAGACTGTGATGGCGATTCTGATAATAGTTTCGACTGAGGCTGTGAACGAGATCGAGACTGAGAGGCTGAGCTGGAGGCAGACCGGGTCGTCTTCGACTTGATATCAGAGTTGCGCGCAGAACCTTCGCCAGCTTTGGGATCTAGAGCAATGCCATGTTCAGAGGCCTCTGGCTTGAATTCAGTATCCGGTGTCTCCACACCATCTGTATCGATTGGGACACGTTCCGGTATGTCTGAGGGCATATGACCTGCACGGGCACGCCGGCTAGCAAGAACGGAGTCAGCATCAGCACTTGTGTCGGCATCTGACATAGCATCCGCATGAGCAGCTGTGGCAGTGTCGTTGCTCAACGTTGCTGCCGCGCTCTTCGACTTGGGACTGAGGCCTTGGTACATCCAATCTAATGGTACACGACGCGGCTTGGATCGTTTTTTATGTGCCAGTGCATGCAGCTGCGCAGGATTGAGTCCCTCCGTATCGACGCGCACACGCATTCCATTCAGCAAGACGACGCCGCGCTCTGTGGACTGAGAAGGGCCCTTGCGGACGACGATTGAGACGGCTTCTCTCTGCGCATCATCAGCTAAGTGCTCAATCGTGAGCCAAAGGCCGCCACCACCAGCGAGTCGGTGGCGTCGGAGGCAAGAGACAGACGCCGGCGCCGGTGTCACTCTCACGTCTATGTTCGGCGACCAAACCTCCATATTGCACCACAACACACACTCTGTATGTGTCACGGGTTCAGCGGAGCCATCACGCGCAACTCCGTATTCCAAGTGATAGGTTGATGTGTCAGCATCGTATTCGAGCTTTTGCGCACGAGCATTCAGAAGACGCGTCGTGCAAGGTGGGGGGCCTTGGCGCAGCGCATAATCGCCGGCACCAGCCATGGCAGTGATCATCTGCGATGGGACACGTGTCTTCGAAAGCCATCCGCGTGGATCACTCTGTTCAATAAGCGTCACATGCACAGTGGTCGGTGACAAGGCTTCAATACTCCAGCCATACAAGTCCACGTGCATGCGGATCGTGCTAGAAGTTGGTGCAGGCAATGCCAAAGGCTCCACGAGATGCTCGTCAGCCGAGAAAGAAAATACATGGATGGACGAGGGTGACTTGTAAGATGTCTGCACGAGCGTCGCGTCTCGGGCCATAACAGGCCACGATGGCGCATAGCGGGTATGCCATACACTGCTTTGCCCACCCAAATCCTGCAAGAGGTCAGCACCTTGCATGCTAGGGCACCAAAGCTTCGCAAGAGATGGAGAAGAGAGTGTACTGAACAAGTCCCAAACAGAAAGGCCGACGAACGTGGCCTCGGCCCGGTACACGACGAGCGTCGGATCAATCGAGTCAAGTTGTGTCACGGTGACGCCGCGCGTATCACAGACGCGTTTCCACTTGGCTTCTGGTTCCTGTAGCAGAGATGTAAAATACACGTAGTTGCGCCGGACAGTGGCAGCCAGTGGCGGTAAGCTTGCACCATGCAAGGAGGTGTTCAAAGATAACACAGATGAACGATGACCTAGCTCGGATGCCGTACTGAGGCTTGGCGACTTGAGATCTGCCTGCGCGAGTTGCTCCAGGAATTTGTTCGGCATTATGACTGTATGACTAGAACCCGCCTCACTCGAGATTGCCCTCACTGCTGAACCATTGACAATCACGGTTGTCGAAGCAGCACCATCCTTGACGGAGATATTTGTTGTTTCTGATGTTTCCGAGTCTGCCTCAGATCCGACACTGCGCCTCAAAGTGTCATCGGATTTCTTCGATTCTAGCAATGTCCGAACCACGGCATTCGGATCTTCCAGCTCGGCATGACGAATACACAGCTCGTTCCATTTGTCATCCACGCGCTCAAGTGTGTATGTGAACTTTGCATGCACATTGCCGGTGGACTCGGCCTGGATATTTACGTCCCAGCTGTGTTGCGTCGATAGGCAGATCCGAATGCTCCGCGGTGTGGTTTCCCTGTGCGCGTCGGAGAAGAATTCGCTGTGCGGAGGCAGTTCGTCATCATCCATGACCGAATACTCTAAGCGCAACGCCGGCGTTGCGCGCAAAGATGTGATCTCGATACCTCGTCCATATCCAGCAACGTATGGGATCTGCGTACCGATCCTCTTGGCAGTCCGTACATATGCTGGGAGTAGCCGCGGAAATGAGGACGTCATTGCATTAGGCCGTACTCCTAGTACAGAGCCTCGCGCATCCACCGCCCAATACGCAGTAACTGCTATGCGGCCCAGGCTTACCTTCTGGGCAAATAGTGCTAGGATATGTACGTGCGCACGCACGTATGGCGGCGATGGCCGAAGATAAGAGGGTGCATCTGATGCACGAGGAACAGATGTCGCAACATGTAACACACGGACATGGTCATGTACGGTGTGTGTAAGCAGCACAGCATCGCGTGGGCTTGCGGGCCACCCTAGCTTGAAGCGCGTTTTGCACAGGCAAGTGTTGAGTCCCAGCGTCTCTAGTACTTCTGAGCTTTCGATCTGTGGAAACCATTCAGCCAAAAGTTCTTGGGATGATAGTAAAGCCAAGAGGGACCCTATGTCGGCGCCGGCGTGTGCATCGGCTCCCGCGCCATTTGCACCGGATTGTATGTCTGGATCAACATCGCTGTCTATGCCATTTGGGCCCGCCCATGTCGCACGAAATACATCGACACTTCTTATGCGCCGCCGTGCCACAGCAAGCTGGACACTCTCTGGCACATCTTCAGGCGCGGTCCCATCGCGGCCCGGCGAAACCTGCCGCCATTGCTTGGACGAGCTCTCATGGACGTGCAGTTCCTTGAGCAAGGCAAGCGCTGAATCCAAGGTGCTTTTCCATGTCTTATTCAGTCTGGAAATAAGTGTGTCCGTAGCATCGAAAACATACTGTGTTAAAGTGGCGCCATCCATCGCAGTGAGTGGCACAGCAACAATGCATGGACAAGCGTGACACAAATAAATTAGGCCGATTTTGTTTCAAGCCCCCGCGGAGGGATCCCCCAAATGCACCTGGATTTTGGGGACTTGGACTACTAGCGGCCGCGTCTCCGGAGAAGAAATTTTGACCAATTGGCTGGCTGACCGGTCCATACATAGCATGGGTACAAGACACTCGAACTATTGTCGCTGGGCAAAAAACGACATGGGAAATATATGAAGCAATATCATGTTAACTTCCACCCCTCACTCCAACAACTAGACCCTGTAACTCAGTTGGTTAGAGTGTGGAGCTAATACTTCGGTATAGTACACTCCAAAGTCGTCAGTTCGAGCCTGGCCAGGGTCAAGTACAATCCGCTCTCACGGCCCTGTAACTCAGTTGGTTAGAGTGTGGAGCTAATACTTCGGTATAGTACACTCCAAAGTCGTCAGTTCGAGCCTGGCCAGGGCCAGCGGGAAACATTTTTTATCTCGAGATATCGTTGTGTAGTGGGTGGTACGCCTTGTTCAATGGCATTCCATCGGAATGTCTTGTGTTTTTACCATTTTCGTGTTAAGTAATATTAGGCGCGTAAAGACTCTTGTTATATATATGTACTTTGTACAGAATGAACTGTGTGATCATACTACTATGAAGGATAGAAGCCATGCATAGGCATAAATGCAGCTGATTGTTGTTGACTTGGCCCAGGACCCGTCATTCCCATCATCATTCCACCGCCCGTCGGCATGCTGCTAATGGGTTGCATGTTCATCATATTTGATGGCATCCCTTGGGACATCATCATTCCACCACCGAACGGGGAAGGATCTACGATGCCGCCAGGTGCAAAACCTGTTGGTTGCGCGCGGAGAGCATCGTACCTGCTACTACTTTGCGGCGCAGAAGGAGGCTTGTTGTCACTGGCAAAAGCGCCTGTCCCAGTTTTCATTTGCTCAAACACATTTGCGGCACTGAACCGATCTTGTTGCTTTATTGGGCCGGTCGTGTCTTCTGTGGCTGCGCCTATCGTCGGCTGGGGCGGCTGCATCGAGGACGGTATTGGCGCAGTGCCAGTGGCACCAAACAGCATTGGCTGCGGCACGCCATACATCCCAGTCGGTTGCGAGCTCATGCTGAAAGGAGATGTCATTTGCGGCGCCATCATACCTGTAGGCTGCGATGCAAAACCGCCCGTGGGCACATAGTTCCCAGTACCTTGCAAAGGAATGAGCGGTTGCAGAAGACTTTGATTCACAGGTACAGGCGCGAACGGGGCCCGAGGCGCATTTGGATCAGGCGTACTTGGCGACGGGGCCGAAGCTGTTGTTGGTTTAGCGTTCGGTTTGAGACGTTCGAGCTGATCAAATAATGCTGAGTTCGGGTCGGCCGGACGTTCGTCTTTCTTAGCTGCCTTCTCGCGTTCCTCCGCCTCTTCACGCTCGCGGCGGCGAATGATTTCCACGGCCGCCGCAATTGTCTCGGGATCCACACCGGTCTGGGCTGGCTGCAAAGGTGCGGCTGAAGTGTCCTTTGTAGAAGCGATCGTTGCTGCATCAGACGACTGTTTGTCTTCAGATGCGCGAGGTGGGAGGGGTTGTGGCGACTGCTGGGAATCTGTATCCTTTGAGCGTGGCTGCCGTGGGGCTGCGCGGCGTTGAGCAGCGATTTCTTGCGCTTGCAAGCGACGAGCAAGTGCCTCATCTTCCCTGGCTTGCCTTGTTTGATCCTCTTCGGACACCGGCGCACCGCTCGAGGACCGCGCCGACATACTCTGGGACGTTGTCTTGTTTGCGTACTTTTGATGGATGTGGCGCCGCACCCGCAATATGTCGCCTTCTCGTAGTCCGAGCCTGCGCAAGGTATCGGGCTCGAGTTCCGTGAGCACAGACCTGTCCATGTGATCGCGCTCAAATGTATCGGCGTAGCGGGAACAGTAATTCATATCTACACCCGCCTCCAAGAAGAACTCGAACCAGTCAATATCGGGTCGGTACTGGTGCTGCAAAAGGCGCCGGGCTTCGCGTTCGCGTTCCCGCTCACGTTCGTGTGCCCGGTGATGCACATGCCGCTCGTGTCGCAGGGCGTCGTGGGGATCATGTCCACCACTTGCTCGTGCCGGCGGCGGACTCACAAGATCGCGTCCCGTGATCCCTTCGAGGAAGCGCAGGTCTGGGAGAGACATCTTGGCGAGCGGCACATCGATCAGCGCACCATTCCCTTTCAGCAGACGAACGCTTTCCCTGCGCACGCCAATCAGCTCAGCATCCACACGGAACTTGCCCGTTGCGTCGACCCATGTGCGCATGCGCCCGGCTGAGTGCGCAGGTGGCAGAGCTTGCAGTGGTGCTTGTGTCGCGCGGGGATCAGGCATACCTCGTTGATCGTGTGCACGATCACGTCGATCAACCGGCAGCCGGGGGGCTGAGCGCCGTGGGTCACGCATCGTGGAGTACTTTTCGTTCAGCGCACGCATGTCGGGTGTATTGTGTTCTTGAAGCAATTGGACATAGGCAGCAGGTACGACGCCAACTTGCCCACTCGCATTTTGCAGCTTCCACCACTCGTGGTTTTCACGCTCAACGAGCACCAGCTGGTCGTGTTCCGACACACTTAACTCGTCGTCGGCCTGCGCATCAAAGTCGTACAAAACCACAACCATTTCCTGTGCCGGTCTAGGAGAAGCAACGGCCGCGGATGACGAAACGCTGCCAGCTGTTGTCGCTGTCGGCATCCGCGACACAGAAGAGGATGGCTGATTCCGTGCTGAGGAGGCAGTTGATGACGACATAGCGAGTGACTTGGACTCGCCAATGCGAGCAGAAATCGCCTGATACGCCGTGCGTGAGCCAACATGAAAAGCCCAAGTATCGCCGTCTATGTTGGCTGCCGGGTCCAGCGTGACGAGCAAGTATTTGTTTTTCTCGAGCGTCGTGCTTTTGACGTGTCGAATGTCGACACGCGGCACAGCTGCGCCATCTGCATCTGTTGCAAAAAACATGCACGCGTTTCCCACGCCTAGTGTGCCTTTATTCTTACGCTTGCGCTTCTTGGGATCCACTTCTGTGACGGACCACATTTGGATCTCGTCCTTCGATGAGTCTGATGATGTCCATGAAGCTGGAACGGCACGAGGCGCCACGGTCGATGTTTGCCCATCTGTCTCGTCCATCTCATCATCGATGCCTGTGACTTGCGGCACAATCTCTGACGGAAGTGGTACACTTGCTGCTGGCGCGGGCGCAGACGCTGAAGCTGCAGTCACAGCCGGTGCAGACGGCGCAGATGGCGCAGAAGTGGGAAATGGTGGTGGGGGAGCGACCGTGCGAGTACGCTTGGGCTGCGACTCGCTAGTGGCGTTAGCAGGCGCCGCCGAAGCCGCCGTAGTAGTAGTAGTAGTAGTAGTAGTAGTAGTAGCAGCAGCAGCAGCCGACGGGCTAGATGTGGTTGTCGATGCTGGTAGACGTTCCGGTTCGGGCTCGAGTTCGGGCTCTGGTTCAGGCTTCGGCTCTGCCGCCGTCGACCCAGCATTCGGATCGACAGAGCTCGCGGTCAATGCTGCTGCTCCCTCATCTGCCTGGCCATCCCCTTGCATTTCCACATAGTTGGAGGGGATAAGACCAACCTCGGGTGTGCTTTGCTTACGAGCTAAAAGCCACTCCCCATCTCGCTCCAAAACATCTAGCACCTGACCTTCTGTGAAAGTGAGCTCATCATCTCCTTGTGCTTCATAGTCATATAAGGCGACAACGACCTGCTCTGGCGCACAAATTTCCACATAGTTCGCAGGCACAAGGCCTTGTCCTTGACGGTCGCCACTGCGTGGCCGGGCTTTGTACCATGCCTCATCTACTAGCTCATCCAAATACAGTTTGTCGCCTTCGGCTATCGTGAGTTCGTCATCGGCTTGCGCCGCGTAGTCATAAAGAGCTTCTGCAATACCGAGGCATCTCATGGCCTGGCGATGTCGGTGGGAAAGCCAACGCTCGGACGTGGAGGCAATTGGCGCTATCGCGGACGAACTGGACGTGGTCGGCGGCGCACGCCAATTGCTGCCTGTCTCCACTGACGGAGCAGCGAACAGTTACGCTTGTTCCACCGACGCCTGCTTCCACAAGCACGCACACACCCACACAGACACAAGTCGCACATGCAAGACGCGCACGCATATCACGTGACCATGTCATGTGGCTAGGGGCGGGAGGCGCCAAGCATGGAAAGGCGGGCGGGTGGGTTGCGAGTGGAACGAGGTGTCTCGTCGCGTCGCGGGTCGTGCGTGTGTGTGTGTTTCTTGGAAACGACGCGCGACGTGTCGAGGAGACACACACATTGAGTGAGTAACGACACGCAGGACACACACAAGACAAAGAGAACAAGCGAACAAGGTCTATTTTTGTCACAAACATCGACCTCGCGTATGGTACGTATAGTTGCAGATGCTCACGCGTCTCAGCACCCCATGCACATGCAGAATGGTGTACAAGGTATGATGCAGCGCGATATCTACGGCGGAATACCTCCTCGGTATCCGGTAAATAATGCGTCGCGTCGTCCAGCTCGTTCACAAGCTGAAGGGGCATTCCCTATGCCGTATCATTATGCGCCTACTCCTGGCTACATGCCGCATATGATGGAAATACCCCCGCAGCATGGTCCTCATGCACATCCCAACTCCATGTATGATGCTTCAGTGCAGCCTGTGCCCCACGATGTGCATGGAATGCCATCCTCAACGATGCCTCAGCCACTGCCACCGCCGCAGCCACCAACACCATACACTGCAGTACCCCCTTCTGCCCAGCCGCCGTCAGGGAGTGTTGCTGCTGCTGCGGCAGCGGCAGCTGCATCGGGAGCACCTCCGCCGGTCATGCATGCTCCCGTGCATATGCATTCTGTACCATCACAGTCTTCCATTCATACCCATCCTCATGCTCACGCTCATACCCATCCTCATGCTTATGCACAGCCCCAACCCCCTCCACCGCCACCACCACAGCCGGCTCTTTTGCCACAAGGCCAACCTGGGGCTGTGGCATTCGCGGCACGCCCTGCGCCTGTTGTGCCTACTAGCGGGCCCACACCGACCGTCTACCTAGCCACCTACTCGTCTGTGCCGGTGTATGAAATTACCGTGCGTGGCATTGCGCTCATGCGTCGTCGCTCGGATGGGTATTTGAATGCGACGCAAATCCTCAAGATTGCCGGCATTGAAAAGGCGCGGCGCACACGTATTCTCGAGAAGGAAATCCTCACAGGTGAGCACGACAAAGTGCAGGGCGGCTACGGCACGTTTCAAGGCACATGGATCCCTCTTCAACGTGCGCAAGAGCTTGCAATCAGCTACAATGTGTACCATTTGATCCGACCGCTGCTGGACTTTGATCCCACTGCATCTCGCGCTGTTACTGCACAGCAACAAGGTGCGAAACGCAAGGCCGAGAGCTCGGGAGCGGCTGCGCATACGACGGGAGCCGTGGCGGTAGGCGCAGGTGCAGGCGCTGGCGTTGGACCAGGGCTCGTTGCAGGAATGCCAGGCTCAGCGCCCAGCGTCGTTCCTGGCTCATCAGGCGGCAGCAGCAGCTCTTCCATCACGCCCATGCGGGCGCCGCATCAGCAACCCCGTTTCCTCACATTGCGCCCGCCACGCTCCAGCACACTGGGTGCCACTGCTGGTGGTCTTGTTCATACCCTTCCCCGGGACGATGATCTGCCCGCCATGCACGCTTCTGAGGGTGTGCCACCAGGCTCTCATCCCACGCAACGCACAGCTCTCGAGTCCTATGCTACACATGGATACACACCACAGGGCGTGCCGCTTCCGCCAGCCGAGAATGCTGCTTCGGCTGCAGGCGCTGGGTCAGAGCCGCTGCGATCGTCTGATGCAAATGCACACGTCCATGATCTCAATGTGCTCAGCGCGACACCATTGCACAGTGCTGCGCCTCCATCGACGTCGGTCGATGAGCCTGCGGAGGTGAAAGGGCCACGTTTTGCTGACAAGGCTGTGCCGCCACATCTGGGCGATGAGCGCGAGCGCCGTGCTCGCGAGGTACTGACGGGTCTTTTTGTGCATGAGTCGGTTCATGCAGGAGCTGCGTCGGCTTCGGCCACGTCCAAATCACCTGCTGCATCGACAGGTGCCACAGCGGCATCTTCGTCCGACGCTCCGCTAGATCAGCTGCATGCCCTGCTTCATGAGCTAGGCGTGGATCCATCTCGACGGCAGCATCGCTCGCCACTGAATCTGGTCATCGACGACCATGGCCATACAGCCTTGCACTGGGCTGCAGCGCTGTGCCGTCTCTCGCTCGTACGCATGCTGACTGCCCTGCCTCCTTCATGTGGCGGAGCCAACGTATTTGTGGGCAACTATGCAGGTGAGACAGCTCTCCATCGCTCTGTGCTCGTGACGAATGCCTACGAACTATCTCAGCTCCCTGAACTGCTCGATATCCTCGCCGCGAGTCTCGAGACACGCGACCACCGGAAGCGGACTGTGCTCCACCACATTGCGCTTGTCGCTGGACTCAAAGGACGTGCGGCGCCAGCGCGTTACTACTTGAGCTGTGTGCTTGATCGGATATCGAAGGATGCAAGCACCAAGGCCAGTTTGCTAGACGCGCAGGACGACGAAGGCGAGACAGCACTGAGTATTGCTGCGCGGCTCGGCAATACGAATATGATCAAAATGCTCTTGGACGCTGGCGCGCGTAAAGATCTGCCGAACTATCTGGGCATTACGCCATTGGACTGGGGCATTTCAAATGCGTCGCCTGATGGTGGCGTGTTGCAAGAACTGGGCTCCTACCGGCCCGCTGATGTGGTTCGCTCGCTTATGAAGCCATCGCCAGGTCCTGTCAAAAAGAGCCAGGATGTGCGTGAGAAACTCGTACAGACACTTGATGAGCTGCAAGTCATCTTCGATCGCGAAGTGAACGTGAAGCAGAATGCGATCGAGACCACTCAAACACACCTTCAAGCGGCGACGCGTGAACTGGCTGCGCGTCGCCGAGATATCCAAGCAGCACAGGCAGCCGTGACGGAGCGGGAAGAAGTGCGGCAGCGGTGTGAGAACCTTCAGCGAGCGCTCGCCTTATTCCCTGCCGCCGACCATCAGAGTGCTGGTCGTGACAATGACCAGAAGAACCAGGACAGTCAGGGTGACGGACATACTCTTGATTTGCAAGATCGCGTCCCACCGTCCGCTTGGTTCGATGCACCACTTGCAGAAGCCGATGCAGCACTCGCACAGGATGCGAGTGAGAGTGCGCAGGTCGCCGCCATCGTGCGACTGCGGTGGCTCCTTATGCATTGCGACGAGGCCATGAAAAGTTTGCGCGCCAATATACAAGAGCGACAAGATCAGGTTGCTGCCCAACAAGCACAATACCATCGAGTCGTCGCGTTGTGTGCGCAAGTGCCACCCGATAAGGTCGATGGGCTCTTGGATGAGCTCCTGGCAGCCGTTGAATCGATTGGCTCTGATGTCGATACGAGCTCTGTTGCAAGTTTTATGGACAAGGTTGGTCGTGCACAGTCTATGAACAAGGATGGTGCGGCGGCGTCTGGTATCGCTGTCGACACGCCACAAACGCCACCGCCCTTGTTGCCTCCGCAAACCATCATACCGCCAGCGCCTCAGAGCTCCTAAGCGACCGGGATTTGCTGTTGCCTACCCTGTGGAACAATGGATGCAGGCGATGAATGAGCTACGGCAGCGCAACGTTTGAGACGCATTTCTACAGTGTGAATAGCAACCCCAGAGATTGACGTGCGTACGAATTGAAGCAACGGACCCCAAGGGCTGTCAAGCGACGTAGGAGCCCAAGTCATGTTCGCGTATCTATAATAATCGTGACGTAAAAGAGACTATGATCAGTTCTTCTTGTGATTCCCGCAATGCATGCGCCCGTGTGCAGGGCTTTCTTTGTGGTAGCGCCAGGCCGCACTGCCTTCGTTTGTCTTTCGTTTGAAGCAAACTCCTCCTCCACGGACTGGAGCATTGCTTGTGGAGCAAGGCATGTGTGCCCTACGGCAAGGTCCAAGGTGCCTGTCATTTTTGTATCATGGTGTGGAGACTGCCAAGGAAGTAGTAATCATACTTCTCTCGTAAGGAGAGTAGGGGCGACCCACGATTGATTTGCCATTCTAGCATTGCATTTGCTACTTCTGAGCAACGCATCGGGTCATCACGCATCCAGAAAGCTCCTCCAATATTGCGCGTGCGCCTATGGAGGATGAGCTGCATGCATTCCGCGATGCATGGCGTCGCGATGTGGCAGCTCGGCTGCATAGCTCAGCGGCCCTAACTAAAGCAGCTGCGTCTCGTACGGACCAATTGTCACAGCCCCACGAGCAGCCTGAAGAACAAGACACGGACCTTCGAAAACATGACGAAGCTATTTTTCATGATCGATTCACATGGACGGACGGAAACCTACGAATACATGCAAATGCTCGACAAGATGCCCTGTCGTCCTTGCTTCACGCCCTCGCAGAGACACATCATAGCCAGGTCACAAGAACTCAAGGCACAAAATATTGAAGAACATACTGTATGGCCGGAGCATGTAGGGTCGAGTATCACGACCATGTACGCGGCTGATCCCGAGCAGGCACTCCCAGTGCAGCGCATGCCTGATGAAATCTGGCACTCTATTCTTTGGCATGTCTTGCTACCCCGGCCTGTCATGCAGGCATGGCCACCCATGCTGCCTGAGAACATGTCATTCGATCCTCCGCCTGAGCCATGGCGCCGCGCCACTGGTGCTGATTACATCTCCATTGAGCGTCTGGGCCGGGTGTGCTGGCGGCTTCGGCGATTAACGGCGCATCCGCGGTTGTGGCGTGCGATTGTGCAAGAGACATACATACCACCCTTACCCGAGCTTGATGCACGACTCGCATGCAGCTGGCGCGATGCATTCGTTCACGAGCCACGAGTGCGTATGAATGGCACCTACATTGCGACGTGTCAGTATATTCAGCAGGGCATGTCTGAAGAGAATGTTTGGGTGCATGTGCTACATGTGGTTGAATTCTTCCGCTACCTTCGCTTCTTCCCGAATGGGCGGTGTATAAGCTGGCTTACAACAGAACGGCCAGCTGATGTCGTACATCGCCTTGAGCCAGGTCTACGTGCTAAGGGGTGCGCTACAGGCCGTTGGCAATGCCTAAGTGAAGAGGGAGAAGCACCTGCCCGTCGGGGGGCCACGATCGTTATGCACGATCTGCATGACCCTACACTTCCGGGCTACACATTTCAAATGACATTGCATATGCGACCGTCCCCTGGCCGCTGGCACAGGCTTGATATGCTGGAGTATGCGTCGCTGAACCTACGCACAGGCGAGGTCTTGCCGATCCCACACAAGCATGCACGGCCATTTATATTCTCACGCGTCCTTGGCTATGGTGTTTGATGCATGAAAATCTAAAGCTTATATATATATATATATATATATATGAATATAAATATATATAGACAAATAGAAACAAATTGGGCATGAGTGAAAGAGGGACAAATCAGTGGACTCATGAATGAACAAAAAGGTAGATATACAGAGGACAGAGCTTGTCTGGCTGGGCTAGGTTGGGTCACAGCTGGCCCCTTACTATGCGTACAAAGCACAACGCTTCAGCAGTTCATGTGGCGTCAGTTCAGGAACAGCGGCAATAAGGGAGCGATCACGAAGAGCTGCATCCATGTCGTGCTGGACGAACCAGAGATCGTCCTGGTATTCTAGCATGTGGCACACAACGGCCTGCGCCAGAATTGCCTCGCCATGCGACGGCTCTGAATTGCGTGAGTAGAGTAGACTAGGCGCCATCACTGTTGCAAGATTATGCAAATCCATGCGGCTTCCAGCCTCATCGTCCACGTACGCAAACGTGGCAACCCAGCGGAGGAACACAAACAAGACTTCGAGCGTGTCGCGGTGTGCTCGAGGCAATAGCATGGCGATCAGCCCAACGAGGCGGTGCCTCTCTTTTGCAGAATCGATGGTTTGTGTCTGCAAAAACAGGCGATATAAGCGCGACGTCAGCAAAGGCTCAGGGAGCTCTCGAAGGAACTTTTTCAATAACGCGGCTAACTGAACTGGATGGTCATCCAGCATGTTAATTGCCTCGACTTCGCGGTCCAGTGCATCTGACAGTTCCTTGAGTCGCCGGACGCTCCCGTTCTTTCGGAAGATACCCTCAACAGATACGTCCATCTGCCGCATAGCCGACACAACATCGTCGACAAATGCCGGCACGCGCATCGGCGTCGGCGTAGCGCCCAGCACAGAATCTGCGCCATGCCGGTCGACTAGATAATCGAGCGACACACCAAACACGCCTTTCTTCCGCACGTCGCTACGCCGGCTGCTTCCACGGAATAGAATTTTGCCCCAGAATGTATTTTTGCGAGTCTCCACAAGGTCTAGGAGCTCGTCGGTATCAACAAGTTCCGCCAGTGCTGACTTTTGGAGGCGAAGAATTGCAACGCATTTTGATACTTGCATTTCCTCCGCCGAAAGCGAGCTAATGGGCCGGCGCACGTGCACACCCAACTGCTCGCGCTGTTCACGGTCCTGTTCAGCCTGCAAGATCATGGGAATGTCCGCCAGCGTTATTCCCTCATCATGTGTCAAGTCGATGTCAGTTCGCGACGGAATGGGTGTTCGTTCACGTTCACGAGAGCGCTCGCGAATGCGATCTCGTTCCCTAACTACCACCTCCTCGTGTGTAGGTACAATGGCCCGCTCACGCGTCAAGGGCGAGGGGTCTGCAGACGCCAAAACAGTAGTGGCAGTCCCAGCAACCTCAGCGGCGGCTGCGGATGTCCCAGAGTCGTCGGTTACGGTGGGCTCGTTGACGACTGTCGAAATCCGTGGAACACGTGCCTTGTTCGACATGTGACGGTTCAAGTACTGGTTTTCGAGCCGCTTGGTTTCTGGTGACTTGCGGTACGTGCTTGATTCGGCATCGGTCAGTTCGCCCACATCTGGCTCGTCCGAAGATGATGTATTGGCCGACGAGGGCACCTGCAAGCGCGCGCGTCGCTTTAGCAACGCATCCAGTCGATTCAGTGCCACGCACAACAGGAACGCATACTGTTCGAGGCGAGTTACAGGCAAAAAGTGGCCATTCGCATCGCTGGGCATGCATGTTGTACAAAACGTAGATGGGCGATCGTGTCGCCCCATGCTGTGCACGACAAAGTGTGTGATCGCTCCCGGCGCCGGGGTCGGTTCTATGTCTTCGTTGTCCTGCCGCACGGGGATTGTGCCATCGGGCTTGACCACAACTCGTTGGCAGTTTGTGCAGCGGATACAGCTCCAGTGCCAACGCATCGTAATACCCACTCGCAAGCACTCATCTTCGACAGTCTTGCCGCATGTTACGCACAGATCCGACGCACTCTCCGTGTCGTACGTCGGAATACATACCTGGGGCAAACTTGTGTAGCCATGTACCGTATCTGTGTCACCACCCTGGAGTGTCACAAGCTCATCCAGGCGGGCCAAGAATGACTCCAATGCCGTCGGCACGCCATGCTCTTGATCAAGGCGCAGTGCGCCTGTGAGTGAAATTCGGATTAGGATCTTGAGGTAGTGCGCGAGACCCGTCACAAGCGAGAGCAGCTCCTGCGTTATGTGCATGCGCTGTACGCCCATTTCCTGCGTGTGAGAGAGGAGCGAGAAAAAGTTAACAATTTTTTTGCATAGCATGCGTGCTTCACGCACATATTGAATCGTGCTTGCATGCGCCTTCTGGAAGTAGACCGCAAGCTCATCAATGGCAGAGAACAGCACTTCTACATGCAAAACGAAGCGCGCAGCAAATCGGACACCGCCCACATACTTACCATTGCTGACGTGTCTCAGCATGTCAGAGATGCAGCCGGCGGAAGACTCTTCAAACGACGAGAGCACACGCCAAATCGTAAATACACGTATCTCCATCGCTCGCTGCTTCTGCAAAACAGATGTGGGAGTTTCTTCATGTGTACGCCGCGTCTGGACAAGCTGTTCCTCCGAGCTGCTGGGCGTAAGCGTCAAGCCGCCTGGCATAGAGAGTGGGACCTCATCCGGCAACGTGTCTGATGGCGCTGGGCCTGCAGGCGCCAATTTGATTTTCCAATACCGGTGGATCATATAGCATTCCGGATGCCAATGCTCGTCAGCATTGTTCCGATTGATCTCGACAAACTGTTTAAGAATCGCTGTTTGGCAGCCCGTGCATTGAATTGCAAAGAGTGTGCTGTAGTGGAAATGGCAATACACCTGCCCCTCGTGCTCGTAGTAGCTGTCCTCGGGACCAAACGGCGTTGAGCACAATGAACACGTAAAATGATCGACATGATACTTGGAACCAAGCGCCGTGATATAGCTGCCACGCAGTGCACGCCCACATTTTGCACACAACAAGTCGAGGCGCCGAAAGTAATCCGTCTCACACAGTGGAAATTGCTCACCGCCCGCGGCCTTCACCATCTCCTCCGTTGCTGAAAAGAACTTTGACGCTACATTGCGACCACAGTCCGCACAAGTAAAACAGTCCAAGTGATACACGCCCGACAGTGCACGAACAAACTGCCCTGTGATGACCTCACTACATTTCACACACACTTGGTCCTTGCGCACGTGTCGCTCTCGTTCTTCTTCCATGCGAACACCAGGTCCCAACATGATCCCTGCAGCATTGAGTTCTGCTGCTTCAGTTGCATTCGGCACACTATTGCTCGTGGTCGGCGTCACTGTCGTGTTAGGCGTCGCTGGTGACGTTCCTGTTCGTCTCATCGAAGCATGCCTCTGCGATGACGTCGAGCGCCTATGCGGAGCCGCCGCACTCACCCCCTTGTCAGAATGCATCGCATTCTGCACACTAGGGGCATAGTCCACCATGCGACTTGGCGCCGCGCGGTGATCCATCGCCGACGTAAACGCTGCTCTTGTCGGTGTGTGGCGGTCGACGAAGTCCTCCTGATAGGCTTTGCAAGCCCGTCGTGTGTGTGTGTGTGTTGTCTGGTCCTGACCTACCAGGCACGCCTCCATGTTCGAAACAGACTCAAAACCCGTGCGACTCGTCCATGTCGGCGGACCCTCAAAATTATTGCACATGTGTCCCGTTGTAACACATAATTAGGCTGAACCCTGCAAAATATGTGGGTGCGTCGCACAGAGATTTTGAGGGGGCACTCTAAATTGGGTGCAAAGTGAAGCAAAAGGGAGGAGATATGCGAGGGAAACTCGCCTATGATTTAACCGTACTACATTTAATAGGTTGAGCCTTAACTGGAAGGAGGACGACGACGACGAAGACGACAACTACGACAACTACGACGATAACTGTATAGCTCTCTCTCTGTGAGTCTGGTGTTCCGCTCACCCTATTCCCCTCCCCTCACGCACATTTGCGCGCATAAATACATATATTCGACCTCATGTCCTCGGAGCGTGATTTCGAGCGTGATTACATGTCGCGACCCGCGCCAGAGAGCCGGAAATTTGCACCGCCCATGCGCTCGCTGAGTGCATCGAAAGAAGCCATGTTCGATGTGGACTCCGACGACATGGACGATGTCTTGTCAATGCCAGATCCACGCTACGTTCCATCCATAACAAACAGATCGCCAACCAAACCCAACAGGAAAACGAGCCAAAGTGCCTCAGAGTCTCGCACATCACTTGATCTACTCGGACAGAGCGTGCGGCAAATCAGCCAAAGTCTTCCGCCATCTTGGGATTCAGAGCAGCTGCCAGACTGGCTTCGGCGTGGTGCTGGCGTATTCGAGGGCACGGTAAATATGGCTAATAGCATTTTGGGCGCTGGTATCGTCGGCCTACCTTATTCCATGCGCGAGTCAGGCTTTGTCGCTGGTCTCGTTCTTCTCATTGGTATTGCTCTTTTGACAGACTGGACGATTCGTCTGATCGTACTGAATGCCAAACTCAGCGGCCCGTGCTACATATATCGATATTATGGGCCATTGCTTCGGCAAGCACGGGCGTATGGCCGTGTCGATCTTTCAGTTTGTGTTTGCATTTGGTGGCATGTGCGCATTTTGTGTTGTCGTTGGCGATACCATCCCTAATGTCATTTTGAGTATTTTTCCGTTTCTGCGCGGCTCTTTCCTCAGCAACCGCCGCGTCGTTATCTTTGTGTGTATCATGGCCATCAGCTATCCACTTTCGCTGTATCGGAATATCGAGAAACTCAGCAAGGCTAGTGCTGTTGCTCTGTTGTCGATGGTGTTTATTATTGTCGCTGTCATTGTGCGTGGGCCTGCTATGCCTTCGATCTTGAAAGGCGACCCCTCCCTTCGCGTATGTATATTTACTACAACAGCGTAGGCATTTGCCTGCACGATTTTTTTCTTTCCCGTTACTAACACGCTTGTTTGCGCTGCAGTTCTCCGTTGTTCACCCGTCGAACTTGATTCGTTCTGTCGCGGTGATTAGCTTTGCCTTCGTGTGCCACCACAACTCACTTCTAATTTACGGCAGTCTAAAGGAGCCTTCCATGGACAAATTTCGCATGGTAACACACTACTCGACGTTCATTTCTGCTATCGCAGCCATTGCTATGTCTATTGCTGGCTACTGGTCGTTCGAAGACAAGACACTCTCCAATATCCTGAACAATTTCCCGCGCACCGACACCGTTGTCAATGTGGCTCGTTTCTGCTTCGGCCTCAACATGTTTACGACACTCCCACTTGAGTGCTTCGTTTGCCGCGAAGTCCTCGAAACGTATTTTTTCCGCGGTGAATACGATCATCGCCGGCATCTCATCCTTACGACGAGTCTGGTAACGAGTGCTATGCTCATTTCTTTATTGACCTGTGATCTAGGTATCGTTCTTGAAATAACAGGCGGTTTGAGCGCAACTGCGCTAGCTTTCTTCTTTCCCAGTGTATGCTACTTGAAGCTCAGCCACGATGCCAAGCAAATTGATCGCTCTGCATTGTACTTTGCTGTACCTAGCCAGGAAGAGGAACAAGACACTGTGGAAGAAGGTCCAGAGCGTGTCATGGCCGAGAACATTGCCTTGCCACTTCGTCCTGGCGCCAATGCAGCAATGCGCCAGCCTCAACAGGCTTTCAAGTGGTGGGAGTCCACCAAACTTCTCAGTGTGGCGTGTGCCTTCTTTGGCGCACTTGTACTTGTGGTATCAGGTATGTGCGCATCTCCATATTCCTTTGTCTCCACAAAGCACTTACTAACACCTTTCTTTCACAGTTGGTACCGCCATCAGCGATGCCTGGAGCGGACGCGCTGGCGCCGTACATCAGTGCAATTGACCAAGACCGTAGTATTGATACGCCTCCACTTGAACACGCACTCCTAGGCTCACGTGGTTTCAGGCCATTCTCCGTTTGGCGCCTTTCTTTCGTCCCACCTCCATCACCCCTGCAAACGCGGGCTGGCTGTGCGCGAATACAATGTAAATCACGTGACACATGCACACGCGGTGCGCGACGCGCGTCCTCGCGTCGTACGAGGTAATGCGAGGACGCGCGGCGTGTTCGTGTTAGTGACTTGGACTCGCTTTTGACGCGTCAGGGCGAAGCGAGTGTGTGCGAAACTGCTTTTCACTCCTATTGCCACCGTTCGTGTGGGAGTCACGACCCTCACACTATGATATCGAACGATGCATTTCTTCACAAGCAAGGACCTTTGGCGCGTGTATGGATTGCAGCACACTGGGAGCGCAAACTGAGCAAGTCTCAGTTCCTTCAGACACCTATTCCATCGAATGTCGACATGATCGTTGAGGAGGATGAGGGCCATGTTGCTCTTCGTCTCAGTGGCCAGCTGCTCTTGGGGTTTGCTCGGATCTATTCACGCAAGGCTAAGTATCTTCAAGATGACTGTTCAGATGCGCTTTTGCGCATCAAGGTGGCGTTCCGGGGCACCGCCGTCATTGACCTTTCCCATGAACAACTACACGTCTCACGCACTGCACTCACTCTTCCTGACGTGTATTCACCGATTGATCTGCTCATGCCAGAGCCATCTCTAAGTGACTGGGGCATCACAACTGTACCCTCGGCGAAATCCTCACTCCCATCCCGCCACATTGCACGTCACTCTGACATCACTCTCCCCGATACTCAATTCACTGTGCCTGAAGATAATGACATGCCCATACATACAGATGAAGCGCAGCTGGAAACTTCTTTGCATGAATTCGATTTGGGCCTCGTTGATACAAATACGAACAACGGTGCTCAATTCTTTACTGCACCTCCAACGAAGCGAACACGGCGCGAACCGCGGCGTGATACAACACGGCACACTTTACCGGATGCGGACTTCGACGACTCGTTTGCGAGTGTGGGTGTAGCACGTCGTGCACCACAAAATGAGGGATCTCTTGTTTCTGAGGCGGAGGCAGCTGCTTCCCGTCATGTACACGAACTTGTGGGTGACTTGGATTTGAGCGCCTCAGACATGCCTTTGGATCCGCTTTCTCACATATCACCAGTGCCTTTAACGAACGAAACCTTTGATGATGGCGGTGTTGGTATAAACCCAATTTCTGCTGCAGATATTAGCACCGACTCGATTGGATTTGACGTGTCAGAACTACCAGTGGAGCCGCCAGCGGCAGCGACGCCACCACCAGCACGGCAACGATGGGATCATTTGCCATCGGCTCCTGCGCTCCCGACACCACCGCTTCTTCCCCGCCCACGTGCATCAAGTACGACACCTGCTCGTCATCTAACGCTTGATGACGTGGCGCATGCTCACCTCACGCCGCATACTGCAGCAAAGCTTCGCACGGCGGCAGAGCATCGTGCGTTGGGTGCACCATCAACGAAAGCTCCACGCAAACGGCCTATCCAGGACGACGTAACTGAGCTGTTTCCCGCACGCGCGCGTTCCTTGCAAGCACGCGCTGCCTCTGTGGCGAAAACGATGAACAAACAACCGCATGAGCAACATTGCCTTCCCGACTCACGGATTCAACTAGCCATTCTTGCTTCACATGCACGCGGTGCCAAGCCCGCCTTGCCTCGTAGTCTTGGCATGTCATGGGGTGCTGTGCTCCAAGGCCCTTTGATCGATACCATCATGCCTCTGACATGGGATACAAGGCGCGCTTGGCTCGCGACACAGACGGCCGAACGAGAGAATGACATGCAACATTGGCTTCGAGCTATCCATGAGCAAGCATGCGAGTTGAGTGCTGACGATGAATTTCCTATGGAAGTCGGTCGACGTGCGCCTGAACTCCCGGCCTGGCTCGCTCATGAGGCGGAACCTCATCACCAGCCGGATTTCATGGACATCGATTCTAGTATGGACTTGGGCACCGGTAGGCAAGACATGTCCAAACGTAACGGCATGGATGGTTTCGACATTTCTGACGTTACCGATGCGCCCCTCGATACAGAAATGCCACCAGCGCCTGACCTACCTGATCTTCCTCCTATCGACGAGCCACAAGAACCAACAAATCTGTCATCGCCAACTTCGATGCGACAGGCTGACGACCATTATATGTCGTCTCCTGTCCCTTTGCGTCGATCATCTCGACACCAGCACCGTAAGGCTGTCAACAGCGATGAAGCCAATACCCGACTTCCACCTCTCTCGCGCATGTCAACTCCAGACTTGGACGATACGGATGAAGTAGAGGTCAATGTGCCGACGACGAATCCCATTGCTGCATTCGACATGCGGGTGCGGGAGACATCAGTGGATGGCTACAATATTCGGACGAAACGAGCGGCACATGTGCTTCGTACGACGATGGATGGCGACTCGCATGTATCGTTCGATGCTCTTGCTTCGAAAGGGTCGCGGCGTGCGGCCGCCGGCTTCTTTTTCGAAATGCTTGTTCTCGGCACGCATAACTGTGTGCGCTTAGAACAAGATACGCCATACGGCAACATGGACATCCACGCGAAGGAGGCATTGTGGGGTATGTAAAAAAATTACGCACACATCTATATATATATATTTATATGTTTATTATGTATAGGCACTTGGAGAGTTGAACGCAGTGACCAAATCTCTCGCCCTTTTATAGTACATAGATTATGTAGTTCCCTGCTCAGCAGAAAAAGCAAGTATAGTGCTTCCAAATGGAATGATCCATTGCCATGTATTGCCGACACGAAACATCCGGTCGATGCGTGTCGTGAGCAAAGGCAGACGAGACGGTGGGTGCAGACCTTGTACAACGGAATTGCGCACGGCTGTACGTATCAGGGACTCAATGTCGATGGGAATCCGCTCAACCTGGAAAAAATTACCGCTCGTTGAGGAACTTGCTGTCAATGCCGACACGGTGGTCGATTCTGGTGAAGATGCCGACTTGAAGGCTGGGTTGGATGTAGAGGCTAAAGCTGTAACTGCAGCTGTCGTGCTTGGAGTGACATGTTGCACCAACGATGAAGGAATGCGGGCCCGCCAAATTTCCCAGCGAGAACTTGCTTCACCTGCACGACATATGCCTAACAGCCACTCAACTCTAGGCATGGGAACAATATCGACCGAGCCACGTGGATTCGGAATACTGTCGAGAGGTTGAAGCGGTAGACGTCGTGTATCAAGCCACTCAATAAGCCAAACGCGGTTGGATGTCTGTACGAGTAATAGCGTTGTGCCTGGCATGATTTGCATAGCTCGCACAGGCCCATCAAAAGGCATGTCTAACGCAAGATCCATGTCAATTGATGAGCTCCCTTTATCCAGTAGTTTCCATACGTGCAAGATTCCCTTTTCATCACCCGCGGCAAGATTGTGCCTATGTGCAGGAGATGCCAAGCAAGAAGATGAAGACGATGAAGTGGCTGTTGGTGCTGTTACCGTTTTAGGAGTCGCGCTAGTGGCGGATGGCGACAAAATCCCAGGATTCCGTGGTGGTGTAGGACGTATAGAAAGATCTTGCCGGTTCTGTCCATTAGAACATTGAGGAACAAGCACAGCACAGCGGATCGGCACGTTGGCAGGATTTTGGACCGTGTACATTTGGACGACGCGCAAGTCTTTTGACACATGATATATGGCAAGATGCCCACGCGACGACGAGGCGCCTATCCAAGTCCCTGGCTCATTCGTCGATAGAGACGCGGCTGTCCATGAGGGGGCGAGCTCGTTCTGCGATTCAACCAGAACGCGTGCACGACTCATGGAATCGCCTAGCATTGAGGGCCACGCATACATCGAGCCGTCACCATGGAGTGACAAGATGGACTCAGCGCAGAATACAAGTTTCTGGACCGAATGAAGACTGTCGCGCATGCCATTAGCATCCACACTATCCGCAGAAGCGTCGCTTAGCGTGACGGAAACATCAGTGAAAGTTTGGCCATCCAAATCCCACAGCGAGATGCGGCCGGACACTTGTCCAATCGCAATCCGGCCAGCTTCGGTGGCAAGTGCTGTGATTTGGGATGCATCCGCCATCAGCCTGTGTTTGGCACGCACAATCGGCAGCACATGAAGCGACGTGCGTGAACGATAGTCAATGCGTAGGGTATGATGCGTGTCAGCGCTGACAACCAGGTCTTCGGTGGCGGCTGTCACAAGAATTGGCGCGGGGTGAAGCTCGTCAGCATGTACACTCATGTGGATCGACATGGTATCTGATGGGGACGGGACCAAGTGGGCTCGAGCAAGCGACGCAGCTCAATGTTTTCGCTGTCGTGGTGTGCAGATGCCTCGAGTTTGTCTGAATGCAAGAGCAAATAGTTCAAAATCATCGACAGGATCACCATCGAGAGTGCGATCGGCGCAATGACAAACAGGAAGAACAGAAATACTGTCGTGCTGCGCCTGTCAAAAAATAGATGCTCGAGCCATGGCCCAGGCACATCCCCTGCCACTGATGCAGCATACCAATTGGGCCCCGTCGTCGTAACTAGAGTCCATGGCTCCAGCACCATCCGTACGAACGATTCGCCCGTCGGGTTTATTGCACGCCAGAAGGCGCCGTATGGGCTCTTGTCAAGTTCGGCATCCATAGGCATCTGCGAAATTGTGCGCTCATGCAACACGTGCTGGACTGCGTTGGACGACACGAGTTTAGGCCCATATGCGACGAGTGCAGCACATGCGGCCAATATAGTGATCGCTACACTGATACCTCGAGCCGTCCGGATGCGCCATAAGTGATATAGCAGAGAAAAAAAATGGGCCGCACCCGCGCGAGGGCCGTACAGGACCGGTTCATGCGGCAGATCAGGATGCGGCGTCACAGCCGTCGATGGGGCGCGAGTACCCTGCAGCAAGACTTCAGCCAGCTCCAAGCGTTGAATATCAATACTCAGCACGGTGATAAAGAACGTCATTTGCATGAAATAATCCACGACAAGTGCGCAAATTGTGAACAAGACAAACTGCGTTACAGCCTCTATCCGTAGGAGAGAGCTGAGTAGCAAAAGAAGCAGCACGTCCGTCGCTGTGGAGAGCGTAATGGGACCTGCTACTTGTGATAAGCCATACGCAACACGCGAATTTACTGTGAGCGAAAGTGGGGTGTTAGTGACGACTCGAATCATAAAAAGCATCGTCTCACTGCCAACAACAACGACGACAAACGGAAGGATGGGCCACGGCACAGCCGTTAGGTGGATACCCAGAAGTGCGCAAAGACTGCGGCTCATAATCAAGTCCATGACCAGCTGTGCACTACCAGTGAAGGCAATTCCGAAGCGCGAGTGAAGTCGGCGCATCTGGACAAGGCCGCGAAAAATGAATGTTAGAAGCAGCAAATACCCAGCAATCACAATTTTGTAGTCCAATGTTGGCCGCGCTCTGAGCGATTCTGGCTTGAACTGAAGAGTTGTTGAGCCTGCTGTAATGTTTTGAGGCATCAGAACGTGTGCTGGAACCACATGATCGACCGCGTCACGCACGACATCCGGCCACGCGTGCATGTTTGTCTCATGCAGGAAATACGTGAGTACCAAGTATTCTGCGCGGGAAAAGAGGGGTAGGAAGGGCCACCGCCCCGACAGAGTCGTTGAGTACAAAAGGGGAAGTGGGCTCTGCATCACAGTAGGCGCCACAGGGGGCGTTACTACAGCACGCACAGGACTCCCCGTATATGATTTGGCTGGATGTGGGTCGGCTAGCAAGACTTGCTCGTCTCGATGCCAGAACTCCAGAGGCGAGAGCACGAGACATTCATTCGTCTCATTCCGCCGTATGCAAGAGGGACCCGGAGTCTGAGAGTCTGATGTGAGGCGTTTGTCTAACTCATTTTGCAGCTGAAGAGCCATAAGTAGGAATTGTGGATGCAGCACACCGTATGGGGCACCGCCGCCGTGCCGTATAGCGTCTGAAGACAAAAGCACTTGAGCCACATGAACGACGGCAGGCATTTCACGCTGTTCATTGCTTACAACAGCAAGTGTGGGCGTCTCATCCCAAAGCAAGCGCAAGTCATGCACCGGGTAATCGTCGGAAAGAGCATGTGCCCGCACAGAGCCGGTGAGGTCTTGGAGAGATGCTTTTGCCATATCCCAAATGTTTGTCGGCGTCCAAGCGCCTGTCACACAGGGCGGCTCCATTCCAGGATGTATCCGATCACGCAACACACAAACAGGAGCATTCATGCTCGAGTCTGGGTCGTCAGATGTGGTCAACAAGTATATGACGACAGCCGGGTAGAACAACGACGCAATGACCAAGTTGCACAAAAGTACCATTCGCCGCTGGTGATGTGAGATCCAATTGCCATGCCATGCAAAAAACTCTGAAAATGAGAATTGCACGCGAGCATACACTCTTGTCAAGTGATCACGTACACGACCCCATGTACCTGCGCGCCATGGGACATGTGCTCGATGTTCTGACGCCACTGGCCCTGGTGCATTGTCACCAACTGGAAGCGACGCACTGTAGCGTTGTGTCCATTCATGAAGCTCGATGGATGCACGACTTGGGCCGTCATTGCGTCGTTTTAGACGTTTCAACATCTCTCACGACACATTCGTTCAGTCTCTTGAACCGTGAGCGGAGGGCTAGCAGGAAAAAAGAGAGATAATATGCGCGAAAATTGGAGCAGTGGCGAATGAAAAGTGCCTGTGTGGGGATTGGTTCGTTTGACGAACAATGAGCAAGCACGCCTAATAGCGAGCAGACCCCAACCACCGCGGCCCCCATCTCTTCCCCCAACATGGGCCAGCTGAGCCCGCCGCAGTGTACCCACACCCCACTAGGCACTGCTCGCACTCCACTGGGACTGCCTGTGCGGGGCTTGTCAGGTGCGCCGGCCGATATAATCACGTGATTCATCCACACCTTCACTGTGGCTTCCAGGCTGGTGCTAAGGGCGAGGGTGGGAGGGTGATTCGTGGATCGGGGGCCCGGATTGGAACCATATTACACAGTTTGTCTTAGCATGGTCGTCTCTGAATCGTCGAAGCCTCTCGCATTTGCCGTGGCATCTTGGCTTCATAGTCAGGAAGATGCACAACTGAAGAAGGCAGCAGACTCTGTGTGCGAAGCATGTGGCTTTGACACGTCCTCTTCAGCTGACAAGGATAAGTACGCTAAGAACTCGCCAGGTTTGCAGGCCATCTTTGATGTGTTTGTCAAGACGCAGCAGAAAATGAACAACACTAAGGATTCAGGAGCTGTGTCGGACTCTGGTGCGAATGTTGATACCAAACACGTGTCTGAGGAGGATTCGAGCAAGGCGGAGTCCTTGAAGAATGACGGCAACAAATACATGTCCGCCAAGGATTACGGAGCCGCTCTGGATTCGTATACAAAGGCCATTGAACTAAACCCATATTCGCCCGTATTTTATTCGAATCGCGCTGCTGCCTATAGCCAAATTGGCCAGCATGATGAGGCTATTGCTGATGCGAGGAAGGCTGCTGAAATCAATCCTACGTTTGGCAAGGCGTATAGTCGTTTGGGACATGCGCTGTTTGCTTCGGGGCAGTTTGCCGAGGCTGTCAAGGCTTATGAAAAGGGTGTCGAAGTGGACCCATCGAACAAGCTGATGAAGTCAGGCTTGGAGGCATCGAAGGCTAAGCTCTCGGACTCCAGCAGTGGGAACAAGGATGCGCTTGCGACGCAAGCGCCATCGAATGGCTCGAATGCGGATCCTCTCGCTGGTGCTGGCACTGGCACTGGTGCTGGTGCTGGTGGCATGCCCGATCTCAGCACTCTGATGAACAACCCTATGGTTGCTCAGATGGCACAGCAGATGTACGTGCTCACCACATGCGTTTTACGTACTAACGTAACCCAGGATGCAAAATGGCGGCCTTGAGCAACTAATGAACAACCCTATGTTGCGCCAGATGGCGGAGAACTTTGGATCCAGTGGTCAGATGCCCGATGTTCGAGCAATGATGAACAACCCACAACTCCGTCAGTACGTGTTCAGATGAAAAGTGTGCGCGCCGCAAGCTAACAGAGACAGGATGGCCCAGCAGTTTATGGGTGGTATGGGCGGTGGTGCACCCCGTCATTAAATGCGTGCGTGCTGCGCACCCGTAACATGCAATCAGTCCGATAGTCAAGCAGCGAGTTAGAGAAGGCACACCTGCATGATGGCATGATCGATTCCACCAAATAACGCACTCTAACTCCGTAGATTTCCGTCGCGCGGTTGCAACGCCCACACGTAGGGGCTATGTGATTCGGTCGGTAGAATAGAGGCGCACAATACACATATCACGTGTTTGGCCCGAGCGAATGGGCGAAAAGCGAATAAACGTAAGATACCGTCCGTGTCTAAGTCGCTGAAGTCTACGCTAGCCGGAATCTTCACATCGTCGACTGACATTAACAAGACGTACAAACCATGTCGAGAGAAGCAGTGTATGTACGACGACCGATAGTAGACAGGCTGGAATTACTCACACGCCATGTTCGGGTTGATTGCAGAGCGGACATTGGTCTGATTGGTATGTACTAGGGCCATGGACGATGCAGCGGCGCGATGGCTAGTGGCCACCCAATGCAAAGACTCTAACACACAAACAGGCCTTGCTGTGATGGGTCAGAACCTCATCCTGAATATGAACGGTATGTATGCATGGCACTGATCTTACGCATAAGACAAGGGATTCACTGTGGCTGCATACAACCGGACCACAAGCAAGGTGGACGATTTCCTTGCGAACGAAGCAAAGGGCACGAATGTGGTTGGCGCACACTCGATTGAGGAGTTTGTTTCGCTGCTCAAACGTCCACGCAAGGTCATCTTGCTTGTCAAGGCTGGTCCTGCTGTTGATGCATTCATCGAACAGCTTGTGCCTCACCTTGAGAAGGGTGATATTATTATTGACGGTGGCAACTCACACTACCCTGACACGGAGCGCCGATGCAAAGAGATCGAGGCGAAGGGCCTACTTTTCGTTGGCAGCGGCGTGTCGGGCGGTGAAGAGGGTGCCCGCCACGGCCCATCGCTGATGCCGGGAGGTAGTGAGGCTGCATGGCCATCACTCAAAGAGATCTTCCAAAAGACAGCTGCGCAAACTGACGGCGAGCCTTGCTGTGACTGGGTCGGTGATGGCGGTGCTGGTCATTACGTTAAAATGGTCCACAATGGCATTGAGTATGGAGACATGCAGCTCATCACAGAGGCTTATTGGATTCTGAAGCAAGGCTTGGGCCTGCGCGAAAGCGAAATCGCTCACATTTTCAAGAAGTGGAATAAGGGTGTGCTGGACTCGTTCCTTATCGAAATCACAAGCGACATTCTCGCTTACAACGACGACGATGGCGAGCCGATTGTTACCAAGGTGCTCGACAGCGCCGGCCAGAAAGGCACAGGCAAATGGACTGCGATGAACGCGCTGGAACTTGGCCAGCCCGTGACACTTATTGGCGAGGCCGTGTTTGCTCGCTGCCTTAGCTCGTTGAAGAGCGAGCGTCAACGCGCTGCGAAGATCCTGACTGGCGCGAAGCCACGTGCTTTTGAGGGCAACAAGTCGCAATTCATCGACGACCTTGAGCAAGCGCTCTATGCATCCAAGATCGTGTCATATGCTCAAGGTTTCATGCTTATGCGCGAGGCTGCTAAGGAGTACAACTGGAAGCTCAATAACCCGTCGATTGCGCTTATGTGGCGCGGCGGCTGCATCATCCGCTCCGTGTTCCTCAAGGATATTACGAACGCCTTCCGTAAGGACCCTCAACTTGAAAACCTTCTGTTTGATGACTTTTTCTCTCACGCGATCAAGAAAGCAGAAGACGGCTGGCGCCGTATCGTTGCCCAGGCTGTATTATGGGGTGTCGCGACGCCGGCATTCTCGTCAGCTCTTGCATTCTTCGACGGTATTCGATCGGAAACACTCCCTGCTTCTTTGCTGCAGGCCCAGCGTGACTACTTTGGCGCCCATACGTTCAGAGTCATGCCTGGCAAGGAGAATGACCGTCTCAAGGCTGGAGAGGACATTCATATCAATTGGACTGGCCGCGGCGGTAACGTGTCAGCTTCGACATACCAGGCATAAGTATATGTGCGTACTTGTATAGCTGGAATAAAAGAATCTATTTGTATGGACATTATTTTCGTCGCACTGGCGGTTTGCGCAGCGGCATCGCAGCGATATGGACGTGAGGAGTGGCGACAGGCCCAGTTGCTAGGCGGTTCGTTCGGTCCGCAAGCGGTCGTGCAGGCGAGGTAGTTATTGATGCTGCCGTTCCATTCTTCCCAGCTAGGACCCCTGACGAGGGCGCCGTGGATACTGACTGATGGGCTGCCGCTGGCGCTGCCACGGTCTTCATTCTGTGGGGACTCAATGATATGAAAGTGAGATCCATATCATCTGAAGACGATGGCGATTCCGCACGCACTGACGTCGGTCCATGAAGTGCTGCAGAAGTGTTCGAGCGTCTTGAGGTGCTAGCGGCGCCAACACTTGGATTACTCGGCATGTCAACGCGGACGGACAAGTGACCTTGCAAGAGTTTTGACGCATTGGGTCCGAGCTGTAGATAGTAGTTCGCGAACCGTTGGAATCTTGTCTTGCTCGAGTACTCTGCCAGGACCTTTTGGTTCAGCAAATGGTCGACAAGTCGCCGAACTTGATCGTCCGAATAATGAGCACCCGAGCCGTGGTACAGATTGTGATGGTGACCGTGGTCTTTGACTTCCTTTCTCTGACTTCCGCGGAATACATTGACGAAATGGATTCTCGTGAAGCGGGGAGGCGAGTTTCGCTGCTGGCGTTGTTGTGTGATGAGTTTCACCATGTTTGCAAAGTCTTTGGCTGATGTGGTCATATCCACGCAGTGAGCGGGGCTTCGCTGGCAATTGTCACAGCTGGCATGGCAGAGCTTGGGGTCGAACTTCTCACCAAAATACTTGAGAATATTCGTGCGACGGCACTCTGTGAGTGATTCACAGAACGTGCGCACCTGGTACAAGCTTTTGATTTGCAGTCGTTTTTGCTCAGCAGACGCATCGGGCGACTCGTCAATCATGGCCTCAAGCTTGCGACTGTCTTCCATAGACCAGAAGAGTATACAGTCCGACCATTTGCCATCGCGACCAGCGCGTCCCGTCTCTTGGTAGTATCCTTCAAGACTTTTTGGCATGGAATGGTGGATCACGAATCGGACATCGGCTTTGTCGATCCCCATCCCAAACGCAATGGTAGCAACAATGACCTTGAATGTGCCTGCTTCCCATCCCTCTTGTATGCGCAGTTTGTCTTCGATATTCAATCCCGCATGGAAGTGACGCGCTTGAATCCCGTACTTGTTGCCGAGGTCTGTCGAAACATTCTCGCAGTCTCGACGCGAGAGACAATAGATGATGCCACACTCATTCGCATGGTGCTTTTGAATAATTGCCGCGATGGTTTCCAGCGTTGCACTGCCTCGCATCTTCGGACACACCTTGTACGTCAGATTCGGGCGGTTGAACGACTGCCGCAGTACGAGTGCATTTCGCATGCCAAGGCTCTGCTGGATGCTTTGAACCGTATCAATACGTGCCGTCGCAGTGAGTGCCATGATTGGGACCGTGGGATATGTCTTGCGCAGCAAATTCAATCGCACATAATCGGGCCTGAAATCATGACCCCACTGGTCCACACAGTGAGCCTCGTCGATCACAAAGCGTGCGAGCTGATGTGTCTGGTATAGGTGCTGTAAAAGCTGCGAGGCCAAGCGCGACTTGCTGATAAACTCTGGCGTCACATAAAGAAGTCGTACATTGATGTTCTTGCGCAACAGTTCAGAGCTTGCATACCTTCGGTCAGCGTCGGACATGTCACCAGTAATAGCCATCGCTGGCACATCTTTACGCAACAGGCTTTTGACTTGGTTATGAATTAGTGCAAGAAGGGGGGACACAACCACAGTCAAGCCGTTAGTTCGACCTAGCGTAATTGTCGATGGAAGCTGATAGCAAAGACTCTTGCCACCACCAGTCGGCATGAGGCAAAATACATCGCGCCCCGAAAGTGTAGCGTTGATCGCTTCAAGCTGGTCAGCGCGGAACTCCTTCAGGAGGAAGATGTGATGTAGAGAGTGTCGGACCTGATCGTCCCATGGATAGAATAGAGTCGAGGAAGTGGGTTTGATTGGGCTTTGTTCAGATAGTGATGCAGATGGTGGCGCTTTGTTGCCTGCGCCTGTAGTTGTCGGTGTGGATGTGGGTATCTCCATCTGCACCAAGTCCTCATCGGGTATCAACATATCAAAATCATCGTCGTCATCAATATCATCTTCATCGAGAAGGTCAACTGATTCAGGCTCATGCTGCGACGGCACGGTCTGTGGCTGTGATGAAGACAAAAGCATAGAGGGTGAGGATGTCAATTGGGGCGTGGCTAATGGTGAATTCACAGGCTGCCCCCTTGATTTGAGTTCGTCCTCGATTGCACTCATTCGCGAGGCACAAAGCTGTTCTTCAATCTTGAGATAGTCAATGCTATCATTGAACAGTCCATCCCCACAGACAATAGAAGCACGTTTTTCCATTGCATGTAAACGCACCTGCTTCAAATGCGTGTATCGGTGACAAAGCTCCTCCAGACCCATGGACGACCAACGTGGACTTGGGATGGAGCCAGACGCCATGAATGTGGATCCCTGAGAAGAAGAGTCAGATCTCAGAACAGAATTGCGTCCTTCTTGGAAAGCACAGATTTTATCTTGTGAATCGAGAAGTGCAAAGTCCGAAGCTGGTGCCTGAGCGGGTGTCTGGACCAAGGATGATGCGTGTGGCGGTCTATTATCAGACACAGACACCTTCGCTGGGCCAGAATTGGTTAATTCACAAACCTTTTTACACCTCTCAGGCGAAGCATGCGTGTGTTCTGTTTTCGAGGGACTCGGTGGACGCTTCTTACCACGGTTATCTATCGTCGTCGAGCATACTGACTCCGACGATGCTGGCGGCGGGCTTGACAACGCTGGAACAGTCGGTAGGGATGGAGAAGGCACGAAATCATGCGTTTCCACAAACCTAAACCTGGGCATGTGTTGACGCAAGTTGAGGGAAGGAGCGTGAGCTGCTGCAGCTCATGAACAACGCGTCTCAAAGGAACGTTACGAGTGATGGACATCTAAACGCGCGCGCGTCGCGACGAACGTCGAAAGTTCGTCACGTGAATATGCCACAGCCCGCCACAAGAGGAAGCGAGGTAGGCTAAGAGTAGTTGAATTTCCTGAGATTTGAGGCTCCGAATTGCGTGGGCCGATCATTCAGTTCCAAACCAAATTGCCACATTCACACACCTCGCACACTGGCATATTCGGACGTGCAGGGGATGCACCACGCATGAGGGAACATCGATTGGGCACTAGCAGGGAGTGCACACCGTCATGGTGCTCCGATTCTCAGTCGCCATCTGTTTCTTTGACACCAGAACTGGATGGGTCGAACTTGACGCAATCAGACGAGCAAAGCCGACGATGCACACCTGCGCCTGCACGGTGTTCTGCAGCTCTACCCGGAGGTGACTGGGACACACTTGTACAGGATTTACATATGCTGTATCCACACCAAGATTCTGATAGTATAGCTGCAGCTGCGAGTGATGGGACAGCAGAGAAAAGGGACTTTCAGCTTCAAGCAGACGTGCCAACGTCTGACTGGATTTCTTCATTCACGGACACCCCCGCATTATTGACACACGTCAATGATACCCAAAGTATGAAGCGGACTGCAGCTGATGACAGTAGCAGCGCGATGCTTGAACTATGTCAACCTGCCAAGCGTCAACGCGTGCGACCGATTGGTGCGCGCCCAATTTTAGCATCCGGGTACCAAGTACCTGCTCTCTTGCCAATGGATCCCAGAGCTATTTCTAATGATATGAAAAGACCTGCTGCTGTGCGTGCTTGGCTCCTCGAGCGCCGAGCCCTCCTTCAAAAAGCTCATGATGACGTTTACAAAGATATGACGGGCCTTAAAAGTGATCAAGCACATTATGCAGAATTGCGCAAGCTTCTTAGTGATCGTATATGTACGTTACGGAAGCGACGGGGACAAACGATTTCGGACGTGCCTTTCGAACAGACTAATAACCACGTTGATGGCATAGGAGTTGGCATGGACGTTGTTGATGATATTGGAAGTGTCGGCGTGGACGTGAATGAGCTAGACGATGGCATATGGAATGCATCGAATGTCTCATCTGTTGCCGATTTATTGGAGAAGAACATCCTATGCCTGTAAAATGAACAAGAAATGGAACTTCAGACACATAAGCAAATGTGAACGTTCATGATGTACATTGCATCTATTTTAGAAAATGAATGATACCTACCGGTGCCTATATATATATATATATGTTTGTATGTATGTATGTGTCTATGTGCATGTAGAGCGGTCATGCTCTCTGTTCTGGAATAGATTTTATACGCAGTTATGTCTGTCATGTGTGAGTGAGCGAGCGTCATTGTCAGTGTCAGTGCGAGCGTGTATGTGTGTGTGTGGCGATGATGAATGCGCGGATAAAAATGAGTGACTGCGAAAGAATAGGAGCAAAGATACATCACGACGCCGATGCAAGCGCAGATGTCAAAAAAAGCACACACACACACACACACACACACTTTCTCTCTCTCTTTCTCCAAATCACAACACACTACAACGCTTACGCCGTAGCAAAGCGCCTTTCGTCCATTTCTTAGAGCCAAAAACTTCCTTAAAGAAGCCTGGAATACTTCTTGTACACCATCACCTGTTTTGGCAGAGCATTCGATATATCGTCGAGCTTCAATCTC